TTGAGGTTGACAACCCAAAACTCATTCGCAATGCAAACACTTTCCCACAAGGTGTGATCCAACTTTTAAACTTTCTATTTATTGTCTAAACAATAAAGTTTGTTATGCTTGTCTTTCTACAGGGGTCTACTACTGTTACTCAATCAGATAGTCTAGTCCTGATGCTCCTGTGGCCTTTCCTTGCCCTCTGGAAGTTTATCATGGCTCTGCTTTTTGGAAAATCCAGCTCACCTCAGCCTAGCAATCCAAGTACAGGAAACCTGCAGAGAAATATGCAAGGAAGCACTTCCGACCAATCTTCTGGGGAGCCTGGACCAAGTACAGGAGCTAGACCGAAAAGGTAATGCTCTTCTAACAAATTACAAGCCAGTGATGAATACTTGGACTATAACATTATAAATTAAAATTAAATGTTAAGCTTTGTACCGTGACAAGAATTCACACAATACAAATAACTTATTTAGCAATTAGTATAATTGCATTCTATACACTTGGGAAGAATTAGTACAATAAAGATTGAAAAGTGCATGAAAATGTTGCCTAATCATACTAATTCCCATTGTTTATGGAAAAACAGTTGTACTAATTCAAGGGGTCCAAAGTCTCACAACTTGTGAGAATCTTGTGAAAATCTGCAAGGTTCCTCAAATAAGCAAAAAATATCTTTGAAACTTTCCTAAAATCATAACATATGTTTTTTATGATTGTAATTCAGCTACAATGTCACTATATATTGTTGTATAGTGGGTACCAACATGCACAGCAAAATAGAAATAGATGCATTTAAATCCGGTTTCCCGGAGGTTTCCTGGCTTCTCCCAACTTGGAACCCCTACTAATTGCCTTATAAGCCAATCACTTTCCATTGTTGTTGCTGCTGTATATTATTAGGTTATTTAATTATTATTATTTTTAATGGCTATTATTGTTATTATTTTCATGGTTATTCATTATTATAATTGTTATTGTTTGGTATTTATATTATTATTATTATCATATTTATGGCTTTATTATTTCTTTTAATATTTTTATTGTTATTATTTGCCTTCCATTTTGGTTGTTATTATAATTGTCATCCCTATGGCAATGATTATATTTATTACTGTTTACTAAAGTTTTATATTTTGTTTATCTTTTATCATTATCATTATTATTATTATTATTATTATTATTATTATTATTATTATTATTATTATTATTATTATTATTATTGTTATTATTATTATTATTATTATTATTATTTTACAATCTACTTACTTAGGCCTTCCTCAATCTCTCTCATTCTATTTATGCAATTTTTTATTCTTTTGAGCTTTTTTATTCCACATTTTTTGGTCCTTCTGACTTCCAAATTTTTTTTTGTAACAGTTGCTATTTAAATTGTATTTTTCTTTTGACTCATCACATATAAATTGTCAACTTGGTTATAAACATTCAAAAAATTATGCTACTGAAAATACCTGCAAAGAAATAGACGCTCATGTTAGATGCTTCTCATTTCTTTTTCCAGTTCATATGGGCATCGTCGAAATGTTCCAAGTCGTGGAATGAGACAGGAAGGAAACATCTATCGCTTATCTCAAGGTGATGACGATGATGATGAAAACAAAACATGGAATGGTAATTCAACACAACAAATGTAACCCAACCTAGGCCTAGCCATTTGTAGGTTAATTTAAGTGTAATGTTTTGTGTATTTTCTGAAGGAGACCTGAGAAATCAGCAAACTAACTACATATTAATAAGGCAAGACTTTTTTTATACCCTATTTAGTGAACCCGCTGACAGCAAATATTGATGATTTCAAATAAAACTAAAATTTTATTTTTGGCCAGTTAGCACACCTGCCTCCACGAAAAAGTAGAAATTTTAAGAAAAAAATACAAGTTTTTCTTACGCGCTCTTTTTATTACGCGCTCTGCTGCCTTGAAATCTCCAAAGATATGATATATATATTTCTTCCTAATTTATAAATTTGAAGCATTTAAACCATCCTATTTTTCATTCACCAATACAATTTTATTTATATTTTCTCCCCCGTCTGGATAATTTTGGCAAAACTATTTGCTAAATAAGAAAACAAAATTGTATTTTTATTCCACCCCAGGCCTCAAATTTAACGGCGGCCACCGCGGCCATTGCCACTCTGATGACGACGCTCTGAGCAACAACATCAGATATTGAACTTCTTGAACTTTGACAGTTTTGTTTACGATCGCCGACCGCCCCTAAATCTAATCTAATCATATTTATTTATATGGGGCCTTTCTTAACACATACGAAGCGCTTCTGTCCCTGGTCATTGGATCCACATGCTAAGTGTTGCTGCTGTATTCAGCGCAGGAGCAAGCAACCCCACCAGATACCCATTTATACTCATGGGTGGAGAGAAGCAATGCAGATAAAAGTGTCTTGCTCAAGGACACAAGCGAAATGCACAGCGAGGGATTGAAACCCCGACCTCGAGGTTGGGAAACCAAACCTTTCATGCTGCGCCAAACTACTTCCACGGTTAAAGCTAAAAGTTTATTCCAACATTGAATTGATAATAGGTAATACTCTAAACAAAGTCATTTTACCATTGACAACAATTGCTTGGCTAGGCCTAGCTTGCTTAGGCCTAGCCTGGCTATGAATCAAGGCACTCGCGAGAGATTAGTCCTGAGGCTAAATGAATCAAATTTTGCCTTGGTGCCCTTTTATATATGAAATTTTTGGCCTTGGTGCCTTTTCATTTGGCCTTGGTGCCTTTCAAAATCATGTCATACCCGAGGCCATTTGGCCTTTCCCATAAAATTCATAAATTCGAGGTCTGCCACCCTCCGATAATCTTTAAACAAAAATAAGTATGCGAAACATGAAATAAAAATAGTCTCGCCTAACCATTCCACCATTCATTCTTGAAAGGTTTTATCCAAACTATTAATTGAAAAGTATATGATTGGTTAAAATTTAATCTACAAGTAGGTACATTTTTTAAAATTATATTTCAATTATTTAATTCCGTATGCAATAGAATACATTATTTATCATCTAGTTTGCACCAATAAGAACATATTATTAATATATAATAATATTATTAGCAGGGCTAGATCAATTTCAGAATTATAAATTGATATTAAGGAGGCCTTTTGATGGCACAATGACATCACATAATACAAGACACTTTCTTTAATCATATCATGTTTGCTTGTACAGTTAAACTTGCCTAAGGGTTTGCTCACAAGTATCAACATTTTGCAAGTGTACAAACAGTACTCTTTTTCAGTACCCCTCCCTCCCAGGAGCAGATCCAGAGAATTTCAGATGTGGATCCGCCCCTTCCTCCCCTCTGAAAGTGCTCATAAATATTGTTGATTTTGCAAAACCATTCTGCATTTTGTTTGTGAAGTCAAAAAAGTACTATAATGTGTGTTACATCCATGGTTGCATTATAATTTGTCGTAACAATCTATTATTTAAAAAATATTGGACGTTATTTTGAGTCAACACTTTCATGCGTATGTTAAAGTGTACAAATTTGTCTAACCTCCCCCTCCCCCAGCGTACTGTTTGTACACTTGTGTGAAAATGTTGATAGTTGTGGACAACCCTAAGTCGAATCCAAATGGCATTGGAAAAATTGTTCAATGTAAATAAAATTTGACTTAAAGATTGTTAGCTAATGGAAAACAGAACAATTTGGCATGTAAAATAAGATCAACTTAGGAATTATTCGAATTAGGCAAAGTTGACTTAGGAAAGTATAAACTGTATTGTCTATCACATTTGTTTGTATTGTCTATGTATCTATTTTTTATGAAACATTCAACAGAAATATAATCCTAAGTACAATTGTACACTTAAAGAAAGGAGCAAAATTATTACAAATCTTGATGAAACATTGTAATAATATCAATTACATGTTGATTAGTTGAATGATATCATTACTGAAATGATATAACTTTCTGAAATATCATTTATTGGATTCAGTATTTACATCAGTAATTATTGCTAAATACTTGTATTATAAAAGCTAATGCAGTAGCAGAGCGCTGGTATAATGCCACACATTGTGAAATTCATACAATTGTTAATTAATCTCAGTTAATTTTTATATTTTCTTATGATATACTTTTTTTCAAAATTTTTATGTATCAATGAAAGTGTAATTATTAGTTTCAGTTAATTTTAGGTGGGCTGGGGTGGGTGTTCACACCTGACAGGGATCTTAGACATTTCATCGGGGAACTTTCTGAAGAAAGGGAAAAAGCCAGCAAAATCGAAGCCAATTGTTGGTCATAGTACTTTGCCTTCGGGTATAGTACAGACTTAAGATTACCTTAGGGCTTTATTTTAAACCATGCCCTCAAATTTGTCCTCATTTGTATACTACTTTATTCTAGCTATACTGTTGTGCTAATGATGTTTCTCACAATATGGTAAATAATAAAGTCTTAAATATAAGTATGAACTATAAGAGATTGTTTATTGCTTTTCTACCCATTCGTATTCTTATAAAGTTAGTAATATTGTTGATGACACAATAAAATTATAAAAATTATTAAGATTCTGTTTAATACATGATCATACATGCACACACATCTGTGGGCTTAGTATTAATGAAATTCATAGTTTCTCATAAAATGAGAGATAATTGGAAAAAGAACCTAATGTACTGTAATGTATATTCTTACACCATTAAAAAAGTTGATATCAACAGACATGATTTGTGGAGTTTTTATTTCCTTAGAAATTTCCTGGAAAATTATTGTTGTGCAAAATGTTAATATATTCATATTAATATTCTGATTATCAGATATATTCTAACAGCATTACACTTGTTTTATTACTACAAATGTATTAAACTCAGATTTCACCAGATAACTTAAGTTCAACCTGATGTATATTGACTATTTATTGTCTATTTCATAATGGTAACAATTTGATTTTTTTTATTAACTACTGTAATTTGTAACCTAAAAAGGATTATAAATGTATCAGTAAGTGATATTTGACAATGAATCGTTATGTTGTATTTTGAAGTAATGAAAATAGAGTGTTAATTACTTGGCATTGAAGTATATATCATTAACTTTTACACCAATTATTATATAGCCATCTTTAGAGCTGCAGCAGGGGGTGAGATATAGAATGCTGTAGGATTGGAAGAGTGGCATAGGTGCCTGTCTTGTGTTGATTTTGCAATTTCCAATTTAATGTACTATAGTAGAATAATTGTGTATTATACAGTATAAACATTAAAAATATTTTTTTCCTCAACTGAAGATAAATTTTAGTCAGTGAAGTATTTCATACAGGTACATACTGTACTGCCCCGTTCCGCAACCTTTTTAGCCCACGACCCAAATTATATGTCAAGCACTCTGACGCGACCCATTTTACCCGAAGTGATTAAAACGTCTGTCTTTATACGCGCGAGGTATAGCGGGAAGAACCACCCTCTTGATTATTTTGTGAATTGATTAAAAGATATTATCACCCACAAAATTATGTAAAAGCCATAGAAATGAAAATATGACTTTGAATTACTCATTTAACAAAATCATGCAAGTTATCAAATTTTTCGATAAGGTAAAAATTTTTAAAAATTAATGATTAACAGACATTTTATTATAAATTCCTAGTGCTGCCAGAGATATGTGTTGTGCAAAGACATAGACACATTAAATTTTAAAATGTTTTCTCATTATAATTTGTAGCTGAAAGCCTAACACATTGAAACGAAGAAAACTAATACTTCAAAGTTGTCATATACCTGAAGTACAAATGTTTTGATAGTATATTTTTAACATGAAACTGTGATAACGCACACATAACAAAAGTAAACTGACGCACTTGTCACACTTAAATTTCGTTTACTGTATAATTTAATTTCATTTGTCTTCGTTTGTGTTAAGTAAAGTTTTCACATTGGGTCGCGACCCATAGGTTGCAGAACGGTACTGTACTGAATTCCTTGTAGTACATATATGTTATCGTTATGGATTATAGATATTGCAATAAGTCTACAGTGCCCTGAGATGTTTAATTGAGATTATTACACTATTAATATTAATAAGAAAGTATAATACATACTCCAAGTATTGAAATACACGCCATCGTGTTGGGATTCAATATTTCGACATTAATTATGTCATCATCAGGAATATTAATATTATGTACAGTATATGATGAACCTGGCAAATTGCTAATTAATACACAGCACAATATTTGCGTTTAAAAAAAGTCAGTCATTATTCCATAGTAAGCAGCTAAAATATGCCTTGGAATAATAACTCATAAATGAACATTCGTTTGCTTGAATTGGGAAATTTATAATGGAGTTATAATGATAATATTATTAAAACAGAAATCATCTAAAAAAATAATGTTTCTACGCCCAAATTTCCCTACGTAAATAATGGTTCATTCTCATTGAAATTCAACCAATCATAATAGGATAGAATCCTTCCATTCATCAACAAATACAGTATGCTGATCATGCGTGGGAGATCGTACGACAATTACGTAGTAATTCCACAGCGACGGTATTTTGTATTCGAATAACCTCATTGTATCCGCTTCTATTTTGTTTATGATGTATTTACGATAGTTTGTTTACAAGCAAACAACAATTTGACGATCCACTGTTCTGTGATAAAGATAACGGCGACATCTATACGTATAGTTTTGCTATAAATTGAATTCATTCAACCCGATTGTAGTTGTAAATCTGGATTTCATATCACGGATAATCGGCGCAACGAAGGGTGAGTATGTAAACAATGCAATGTGTTGTTGTGTTGATGGCTAGGCGAAGCCCCGGCCGGGGAAGAAAGGCGGTGGCTTAGCCTACTAGACTACACTACACTGCTGTACTTACTACTAGTTTCCTCGTGTTCTTCAATCTTATCACTCCATATATATACATTTTTTCTTTTAAAATAAAGTGGTAGTGCTATTAAAATATAACCCGAATGTAGGCTACACTAACTAGCCTAAACTAAGTAATATTATTAAGTTTAACTGGTGGTATAACAAAATATGTGTTGTGACTTGTGTGGTCTGAATGAAGTGGTGGTGATGATGATTCATTCATTGCTCTCGATACTGTAGTGACTGTGCTTACTAGGTAGGCAGGAATAGTTGATTGTAGCCTCTAAGGAGTCAACGGCAGACCTACAGTTACTCCTATTCAATTGATTATAATGTTCAGTTGAAATGTGCGTTTTGCAATAATTAATATTATACTATTACTGTGTCGGTGTTGAGTTCCTTCTAGTTTACAATTATTAATTAATATTCTGTTTTATTATTAATTTAATAATGAATAATTTATCAATTTATTTTTCCAATAAATTACGAAGATTTTCAGTACTGATCTTATTTCTCATCCAAAACAAGGGACACAGAGTGATACTTACTAATTGTGTATGCAGACTTGTGAGTCTGAGGCTGTAATTGTATTCCTTTAATTAAATGACAACACTGTCATATTTATGATTGAACCTAAGACCTTCAAACACCAGGCAGAGTGATTGGATACTAACCATGATTTTCTTTTGTATGATACAGTGATCATGTGTTAATGTCATCATAGAACATTCTACTGTCATATCTTTTCATAAACATAGAGTAGATAGAAAACTAATTCAGATGTTTGCTGATACAGACTTCATTACAGACATCCCTCAATTGATTACTTGTTCACTAAAGGCTTAGTTGCAATATTGTACTAGAACGATTTGGGTTTGGTAATTAATATTTCCTCATGCAATAGAAAGCTAATTACGGTGCTTCAATACAAAGTACAGTAAACAATTGATTCAAATTCACAATTTATTGTTCAATATTATTAGCTCTGATTCTGTATTAAGTTTTCAAATTAAGATCTTTTTATATAGTATTTCAGTAATGTATCTGGCACACTTCATTCATAAAATTTGTATACAAGGCACAAAGCACCAGGTATCCCACCATCGTAGTATTAAGAACTTGTAATCATTTTACATTAAATTTTTAAATACAGTATTCTTACATTTTTGTTTGCGAAGGTAAATTTCAAGTATTTTTTGTGTTCTGATTTTTAATTAATCATCAGCATTTTAAGCATCTAATGTTTTAAGCCATTATATTTTTTAATATTCAGGATATTTTTCATGGTTTGCCTTTATTAAGATTTCTGGGAGACATCTGCAACTTGCAGGACACTTAGGACCATTGGGTACTGCAGGCCAAATACTACTGTAGGAAAGATTAAATATTATTTACTGTAAATATTTAGTGAAGATATGTTTTTTCACATCATTCCCATTTGCACACAATGGAAAATTTCAATACCGGTAGTAATTGTGAAGAAACAATGTCAACTGCAGATGACATTAATTACAGGCCCACTACTTTAGTGTAAAGGTGAACGTACCTTTCTCACAAGATGTTATAACACTACCAGAATATTGCAGAGGTGTTAAAATACACCTGCTCTACCACGGTTTCCTCAGGATTACAAATTAAGGAAGTGCAATACTGTAGAACAAAGTCACAGCCTTTTAGGTTAAGATCAAAGGTCAATTTCTTGGTATTTGTGGTCTAATCCCTTTGTATCCTCATACCAAAAATCACAGTGTACTCAAGTTTTTTTCCCAGCTTTTCTCATTTTCAAGGCACAATACATTTTAAAAAAAGGAAAAACCTCTGCCGCTTCTTTATAAAAACAAATGTACAGGTATCATGTATATCTTTTATTGACCTTATTTACTATGATGAATAAAGTGATTAAAAGAAGTGGTATTCAATAAAATGCATGAAAAATTGGAAATATAAGAAAATGGTTATCTTTATTCTTAATTTGACTATCATTGTCATCATTGTCTCAATTCTAAGTACTGTAATCATAATACAGTAAGGCCTACTGTCATTATCTACTGTATGTATTATATAAAACACATGTGAACAAGTTTTGCAACATTGTAGTTGAAAGCAATAAAATTACCATATGTTCAAGTGCATGTAAGGTGTAATAATTTTCACTGGAATTCATAATGACATACAGAGTTTAAATAGTGGCATCATTTTGACATGTTTTCTTAGTTACCAATTCATGCATCCGCAATAAGAACATTTATCTAATAATTGCAATCACCTGAAAATATTAGTTTATCAACAACAAACGCACTATGAGTGGATCATGCTCTCATGGTGGTTTTTTGATTAAAATGTTCTGAAATTTTTGGTAGTGCCCATCTCCGGCACATCTTGATGTAGGTCAATGATTGGTTGAATTGCTCACAGCCACAGACTACAGATACTTTACCGTTGATATAAAATTATTTAACCACTTTACGTAACACTACAGAGCTGTGTGATACAGTAATTGAAATTCTTTGAAAGACCGTGAGATTTCACGAATCATGAATGTTCATCATATTTAATAAATTTCAGTAAAGCAGACCTTAATATTTATTTTATACTGACAATATTCCCAAGATTCAAAGGAATTTGGAATACTGTATCGTGTTGGTGATGATGATTAAGCAGTCTAAAGCTCTATCCACACTATCAAAATTTGTGTGACAAAAACATGTGACATGCCCAAATATGGTCATGATGACATCACACCATGACCATATATAGGCATAGCATTACTATATATGGATATGTCACATTTTTTTGTCAAAGGAAATTTGATAGTGTAGACAGAGCTTTAGCCTACACTTTTACTTAGTGATTATTTATATTGCTGAGATTAAGGAAGCAGTTAACATCCATGCAAAGGAAGCGGTATCTAAATTGCAATGCATTGTCTTTATCACAGTAATTGATATCTATTCATATAAATAATGGCAGAGTTATATAGCACCGGTATTGCCCAATGAAAGTGTATGCTTTTCCTGAACATAAATACCTGGTAGCATTTTACCTCGTAGTGTACGTGTGTGTTACAGTAGTTGTTTCTGATTGGTGAGACCACTTCTGCAGCAACGGATTCCAAGTTCATTTCAATTCCAATATGATTGAAGTCAAGGGTTTTTAAACATTATGAATATAAATATTTATGCACATGCCTCAAAACTATGTACTGTAAAACCATCCCGGATTACCAATGTTGTCTCAGAACTAAAACTCACTGCCATACATTATACTATACCCAAGACATTGGCAATGAGAACTCATTGTGTATATAGTATACAAATAAATAGGAATCGTGAATAAACATCTCCATTTTAGAATGCCATTATTGTTTATTTTTATATCTTTTCAGTGAGGAAGGATAGGCTGAGAATATGATGCTTATGCATCAGAACTTGGTTATCTCTGTTCATTGGTAAAAAATACAGTACCTTAAAATAAAAATGAGTCTCTTTTTTTGAGGTTTCTGTTTTCATATAGCTGCATCTGTTTTTTTTGGATATGAATTACAAAACCAGAGACCTAGTCATACATGCTACTCCAGGTTCCTGTCTTTCGGTGGTTACCAATCGTTCCTCTGCTTTTGTTGTTGCTGTTTTAAAAATTCTTTTTAGTTTCAGTTTTTGTGTTGAAAATATTAAAATAGTTAATAATTTTAAAAAAACAAAAAAACCACGAAGAATATTTTGTAAGACAAACTTCCATGATGAGATGAGTATGTGAGGATTTTATCATAATTATAAATATTATTATTGTTTGAATTATTATTACTCTAAATTAATTTTCTAATACCGGTTCTTAGTGCCTTTCATTTATAGTTATTATAAAATGTGAATAACATTAGATTGATATTAATCTGTTTTTTCTAATAATTATTGTCTTTGTTATATTAATGATTCATTGGAAGTTTTCAAGAATTTAATGCAAAGTATTAAAATCATAGCTAACTAGTTTCCTACAAACTGGGAACCTGTTTCACACCTGACTTGGTGTCAAGCTTTGTTTTTTTTGCCTTAAAATCACTAAAGTCATACTGAGATTTTCGTTAGAAACTCAGCAGTGCATTCACTTGTGACTTTTCTTGTAGGGTTGAAACACAGCGCTCCAAACAATAAGTAGAGGGTCCGCAATTAAGTAATTATAGTCGTGTTGCATTTATGAGCCACATCCTATCAATCCAGACAATGGGATTGTTCGATATCAAAAGTAAATAAAGCCTCAGAGTGGGAAGCTTATCTCATTTATATCTGTTTTGAATCATGGTAAGCATAATGTTTTAAAAGTACAGTATTTTAATTAGTGTGTCTCCATACCATATTACATGAGGGTTTATCAAAAGTAAACAACCTTTGTGTGGTCATACACATACAGTAGGCCTATGTTTTAATACTTGGGAGATATTGTAAAGCATATTTTGAAAGTATTTAAATAATGTAGTGTACCCTTCATACTGTCAGTATGATATGAAAGTAGGTCCATTCCATTAAGCATTTAAAATGTATTACTGATCATAGGCTTACAGTATGTTACAGTATGTGCTTATTTATTTTGTTGGTAGATAATGGTAAACCTGGGTGAACATACAGTAATATTAGTTTGAAAGTATTTTGATAGCATGTCACATATGACATGAAAATATTTTTATTTTTTTAAATAATAAAGCTGTAGCATCACATTTTATTATTGTATCGGAATACCCATCTGTACTTTGTTCAAATTTGAAAGCAGGGTTGTGCTTAAGTCAACATCATGTATAGTAATTTCACTGAACATAAAGGGGAAAAAAGAATGACATCGTTTAAATTACTGTATATATAGTCTTTGTTGAGTATGATATCTTATACGATATTGATCATATTTTTCATGTGCTAGCGCTACTGTATGTACATTGTTTGCCATTGACATCGTTCCTACAGCAACAGGAATTCGTACATCAGTTCATTCTTTTATTGTTTTTTACATTTTAATTCTCTTAAAAATATAGTACAAAACTACAGTAGTGTAATACTTTTGATTTACTGGAAGATCAAGGTGAGATTAGGATTAGCTTTTATAAACCTTATAATCCAGTATATATCTTTAAGAAAAAATCTCAATACAGTACAATATCTAATTTTGTTCCTTGGCCCTGACCATTCTGAGTACATTACTGCCTAGAAGGAGTTTTTGAAAATTCTATACTATGCAGACATTGACTATTTTGATTTACTGTACCACCACGCCTTGGGCACACTGGATGTTTACATTCTGACTAATCACCTAGAAATGAAATATTCCCTATGATGAAGATACCATGGTTGTACCAGTGCTTTCACAAATTGGGCTAACAAAGAAGGAGAAGAAAGAAGGAATTGCAAGGAATGGAAAGTTTATTTTATCAAAATTTCCAAATAAATAGTATGATTCAACATAATTATCCCTTTATTAAAGTATTTCTAGAAAAATATCTCACTTGAGTGCCATGGAGTCCAATTCTGAAGAGTAAGAATGAGTCATAGTTATTTCCAAGTATCCGTAAGAAGGTGGGATTTATGATAATGCTCCATAGTTAATGTATTGATTTTTAATGTTGCCTTCCAAGATCAATCGACCTTGGTGTCAGTGGGAATTTATGAAGAAAATTAATTTAACTGTACCGCTTGGTATATCAATAAGAAAATTAAGTACATTCATAACTATTTTTTGGTTAAAATTTAGATTTTTTTAATGAACAAATACTTGCAAATACACCACAAACCTCTAAACACACTGCAAACCCCATCTAAACCATATAATTATGATTGTAGATTGTATAAAAAAAATAATAATTTGATGTTTATACTAACCCACTGTTTTGGGGTTTACCAATACACAGATTGAATTTCTGGAAAATACAGATTGAATTTCTGGAAAATTGTGATTCTGCTTCCGTGAAATTGGCCAAAAGTAAATTATTTTAGTATTAATAAATGCATGATTTATGTTGATTTATTGATTATGTTGTTGCTATTTTTTATATCATTTAAATGGAAAAAAAATAAAAAAGTGTAGTTCATGGCTTTTTATTTATCATTGAATATTATAATGTAATTAAATATTAATAATGTAAATGGCAATTTGTTTGATGTTAGATTCCTTTTAAAAACTAAATTATTTAAGATAAAAAAATGCATATCTTGACTCAAGAAAATCAGTTTTAATACAGAATTTTTCATTGGGGCCATTTTTACCTACCTGTCATATGGGGCCATTTTTACCGGGGCCATTTTTTCCGGGGCCCTTTTTTCCGGGGCCATTTTTTTCGGGGCCATTCTTACCGTACACCAAACTACTACTACTTTAGTCATGATGGTTTAGTTACATTGATGGACAAATAAAAAATGGAGATGTATTTTGAATATACAATAGCCGCCTTCTGTCAATTGTTCTTTTTTATTACATATATTTGAAAGAATTTTGCCTTCTTTCAAATGTTTTTGAAAATTATAAACAATTTCCATTAAAAATAGATTGTATACAGTATTATTAAAATTTCATAATTAATTAATTAATTTAAGTTTATTTTTTCTTATATTTGGATGCACTGTTGGGTATTGTCCAACATGTGCCACTGTTACAAAAGTGATATTCATTAAATTGAATTGAATTGTATCACATTAAACTAACATGCCATCTTGCCTAAATTTATTTAAAAAAAAGAAAACTTTCTAAAAATTAAATTACCTGTAATTAAATTGAATTGTTACTATTATAAAAGAATCAAATTTTATGCAATTTATTGTGCTTTGTGTCCCTTAATAGCAAAAGGTGTAGTATAAATTCGTGTATCATCTTCAATCAGACTTTTTCATATTATCAATTACTGTATTAGTTTTACAATGTGTAGGCCTACTTTGCGGAATGAAACCAATATAGGATGAATGAATTAGATATTTCTTTCTGCTTATTGTTCTTGAATTATATATTTTAGTGGTTTATTTAGCTACAGTATAAATATATTATAATAAGAAATATGAGCACTGAGAGTAGGTGCTAATTTAAGCCGTTAGCATATGATAACCTTTTATTGGTAGACTTGTTATGAGTCACAGGGAGGTCAAACATGTATTATACATGCTTCGTTATCATTTTAATTAACTTATCCAATCGCTGATTCTAAATTTGAACTGTGAAATTTGAAGCATTTGAGCAAAGTTCATGCTTGTCCTTATTAATAATCACAAGTTTAATTTTTACTGTAAAACCATCTAAAATTACAACTGGTCAAATTTTCATGTTTGTATTTTGTTTTTCACTAGTTTTAGCTACTGATTTGATCATCAGAGGACACAGCTTAACTGAATGTGTCATTCAGGGAAAAAAAGAATTTGAATGAAATTTAATATTATGTTTTCTTTCATTTATTGATTAATTGACATTAAATTTATTATCATTTTTCAAAAAAATCAGCTTGCATTTTTTTTGTACACTTCTTGACCATTTGAGACGAATTTCACAAAATTCAAGATAACTCATTAAATAATGAGTGGTGTTGATTTTTAGTATCCAAGTACAGTATAGTGTGCTAAGTATAAAGATGACGATTTCTAAAAATACAGATGATAGTATATCGTCCTATGACTGTTTGATTACATGACCTTTGACATAGTTGCATGTGCTGTTCATGATGATGGTGAAAGAGGCTTAATAAAATACACACGTACATGTGATGCTATAAAACTAAGTTAATTATTAGACTATGAAGCGGATCTTCATTACTGTCATGTGAATGAAATCCTGATCTTTATTCAGTAGTTGAAGAGAGGACCCGGATATTGGTAGCTGAACATGTATTTTTACAACCATAGTACAGCAAAACTTCAATTATGCCAAGTAAAAAAAAATTAGTTTCTCGTCCTAATATTTTGAAAAAGGGAAGTAAGGGCACTTTTGATGGGAAACAGCTATACAGTACTTTCTCACTTTTTTTACCAAGTACAGTACAGTAGACACATTGAAAGCAAATACAAGAAGTACTAGACATGATTCATACAATAGGGCCTATGTATCCGGAACAACGAACGATTGATAGAATAATTTTACTGATATGAGTTAGCCACATTTTCGTACATTTCGTAAAGTAAAGGAAACTTATTTAAAAAAAATTAATAAATTTGGTGAGGCAGAGAAAATAAATGCGCAAGGGGATGAGAAACTATTAATTTTTTTAAATTTGGCCTTATGTTTATCGATATCATGTTCTACAACATGTGTAATTTTTCAAATATGTTTTGTAATTCTCTAGAATAATTAAATCATACAATGATTGCCTTGTTATCATTAAATAAAATGATAGTAAATAAGCTGCAATATTAATTCCTTTTGTTTACATTATTACTTTTTGTTTTACTGTATTAAATGATTAAATAAGTACTGAGACACAATTTTTTAACCTTATAATAGAGTCATTACAAATTTTTGGAATTCTGTTTGTTATTCAATATTAATATTCAAAACAGAATTCCTATAAGAACCACTACTCCATCTAATCAAAAGCTACAATTAGTAGCATTTTTTGAGAACAGCACTTATTCATGATTAAGTGTTTTTAGTAAGCTATGAGTTATTTAGATTTTATGATAAACAATTTTATATTTTTTTCTTCCCAAGGTTATGAACATGGAGTCCTCATGTTATCAGCTCATTATTCTAATCAGTCTGGTTTCCATAGAAGCAGCAAGTATTTCGCTCAATCAAGACGGAGATCATGTTTGTGAATCCACTGAGAGGTAGGAAAATTTTTTCTGTTACACATTTTTTTTTATAAACTTGCCAATAAACTGATCTTTAGTATGCATGATAAAATATTTAAACAATATAATTTTTATACATTTTGTTGATGAATGATGAAGAAACCATTTTCACAAGAGTACAAAACAGACACATTTGTCATTAGACAAGGGTTTGCAGTTGACAGTATTGGCATGTACTCTTTTATGAAAAAGATAAATTTTTATGATTACAATTATATTCAATAGTTATTTGCTCCAAAAGTTGTGAATGGGCTATATCTGCTAAACAAGAAACAATGACAAAAATTATAATATATTGTACTGTATACAGTAATTTCAGCATTGGAAGGGTCACAGAAAAGAGTACTGTATGTTTTGTAAAAATGATAAACATAATCGATGGTACCTAAAAATACTTAAAATGCTCAGAGCCTGGGGGCTTGCCCCAATAGTCATCATTCATCATTTATTTTTTGATTTAATTTATTTATTTGGCAATTAAAATAGAAAAGCAAATTAACCAAATTAACGTTATTTTAACAGCTACTTAGGGTCCTACGCAGCCTCGTATACAGTTCCCTATGAACAAGTGTACTATACCACCTGCACGGATATACGTAGCCTTTTTAAGTGCACAAGAAGAAGGTAAGTGAAATAATATTACTATACCTATGAGCAAAGATAATAAAAAGCAGAAGATAGAGCAGCTTCGCTATATATTGGAACGTCCAGTCAAAACGCATTGTGGGAGAATGGAAAGCAATTATCAATAATACAGGTGCCGCTCAGGTTTGTTTGTTTCCTGTAGTTTCTCCACCTTGCCCTGCTCACGGGAGGGTGGATGTTCCATCAATTTTAATGCAAGTACGCGGAAGAACAATATTCTTCTGCTGTTTATGTCCTTAGCTGTGAGTAATCTTGCTGACCACTGTTTTTAACAGTAGTCTGAAATTGCAAAAAACAGTGCAGTGGTTTGGTTCCCGCACTACTAGTTTTTATGGTTTTTTTTTTTTTTTTGGTAAAGGCCAGGTTAAAAAAAGTAGTTTTTGGTCCTAATATTTTCAAAAAAGGGAGAATAAGGGTATGTACATTTCGTAAAGTAAAGGAAATAATATAAAAAAAATGTTGGTGAGGCAGAGAAAATGGATGCACAAGAGGATGAGAAACTAGTATTTTTTTTTTTAATTTGGCCTAATTTTGGGTTAGTCTGTTCGTTTTTTTTTCTGTTCTTTGAATCTCCTGAATCGTTGTTTCTACTTTTTCTTTACGATCACCTTACCTTTTGTTTACTTGAATATGGCGCTTAGAGACATTGTTTATTTGCACCTTATAAATCGACCTATTATTATGATAATTTTTTTCTTATCTAAATTAGTACATGATACAAAATATTGATTTGTTAGTACAGTAATGGCAATGTCTCAGACCATCAAAAGAATTCATGAAGTTTGAATGTTACTGAATTACTAACATGAAGGTGCAGACCATCATCTAAACCATAAGTAACCTAATAAATTATACACAGATATTAGCACATACCACAGAATAATATGCTGTTGGTACTCAATCATTCATAAGTAAAGGTTATGGGATAGAAGGAAGGTTATAATCAGTGCATGTTTACTGAGAAATCTTTCTTTACTTGAGATGATATGTGCAACTATATGGCATATACTCTGTCTGAGGGAAAATTCTTCATGTGTGGTAATTACGTGGAAACTCTTCTGAATGATTCTTAGGAAACATTATTATTATTAACATAAAGTAATGTTGAAGTACTGTAACTTAATACAAAAACGTCTTTAATGCAGGCATTTATGATCCCCAAAACAACGATAATATCAAGTAGATTTCTACTTTAAGCTATAACTTCAAGATTATTCTATTATTATGACTTTGAGAGTAAACCAGTCATAAGAAAAAAGAATCTTGGAGTTTTTAGGATTTAATAATAATAATACTGTAGGTCAATTTCTAAGCACTATGTCTAAGTAAACAAAAGATACGTAAGGTGAACGTAATGAAAAACAGAAAAAAATGAATAGATTGGAACCCAGGACTGTGTAATTGAAAAGCAAAGTATCTTAACCACTAGAGCTTGGTTTCCATGCTATTGCCGACAGCTTTCGGTGATGCTGATTGGTTGGTCGAATCGGGGAGCCTTCCCGATCACTTCTGCGATCACTTCAACGATTGCGCTGAAAACACTATAGCAACAGTGTAGCAATTTTAAGGAAACTAGGATTTATTACTCATGTTGGGATGACATTGGCAAGCCTTATGTACCCTAAAGGAACATTAGTTCATAATATTACTCAACATTTAACCATATTATCTAACATATTATTTTCGATTTTAAAAGCCCAATATATTTAGTGTTTGAAATATATCACGTCATACCATTGTTCTATCAATACAATTACAAATTAGCGTGTTTTTTTTTTCTTTTTTTACTGACTGCTTGTCTTCCTATTCCAGGTGATTTCCTTCCTATACTTAAACAGAATTCAAGCCGTATGAAAACAAGCCAGTGTTTATTGTTGCTTAATACTGTATATAGACTAACTTATACATTTATGTTTCTCAATCAGTTTGGAGGCGAGAGTCAGTGATCAGTATTTTAGTATACAGTACTTGTAGTAATTTTTTCCAGCTGATGTACGAAACTTGTATTATTTTGTATAATTGAGACAAAGGCAAAATATATTTTAATGAAATTAAATGTTAATTATGATGAAAAAAAAGTATTTTTTTTGTTTTGTTTTAAACAAAAGCAGATATTGGAATTGTTAGTAATTAGTATTAAACAATGAAATAAAGCTTAGATAATACTGCACTTACCTAATTATTGTTTTGAAATCTTACATAACTGGCATCCATTATTTTAGGAATTCATAAATAGGCCTACAGTACTCGATTAGACATTGCTCTCTATTGCACTGTCACTCAGCCAAATTACATACAGTATTTAGCATTATTCAAGTTTACTATGTCTCGTCTGTGCTCCACATACAATATTGTAGAGCACTCAACAGCCTTTCAGCCGTAAGCAAATATGAGTGCCAATTATTAACATTTTTTTCATGACGACGCCTTCATATACAGTAGTAGAACATAATACTGTACCTTGACATTTGGTTACCTCTAACATATTTTCCTCTGAACTATTATTCACACTTACTACAGTAATTCAACCAACTATAGTATAATAATTTTATACTGTTTTCTGAAGACTCATTTTATTATTTTTTTCAAAGCGCAATATTTTAAGAGGTTAGTGTTCTAATAAAATTATAATAAATAGATGTATTTATGTATTTAGAACAGTACAAACAATTAATATATTAATTTTTTTCAGCCGTGAAACATTCAAGTTTTATTTTAAAAGGCGTGTAATTTAATCATCATTGAAATCCAGATTGAAGTCTCATCTTTTCAAATACTATACTGGGACTGCCAAGCTGAGGCTGTACCTTGTTCCTTCTTGGCCACACCCGCTGCTTGTACTTGAGGAAATAGATATTATTATTACTACCTTTCAATTCATGTTGGGATGACATTGGCAAGCCTTATGTACCCTAAAGGAACATTAGTTCATAATATTACTCAACATTTTAACCATATTATCTAACATACTATTTTCGATTTTAAAAGCCCGATATATTTAGTGTTTGAAATATATACCTCCAAAAAATTAACACAGAGTTTAATAATTAGCAAAAAACAAAACCAGTTGATAGACCAAATAAAATTAATTGTTATTTTCACATCCGGGATTTGAAATTATTTTTTGGTGAAGGTATTTAATTTGTTTTTACTATTCTATAGTATATATACTAATGGTCAGTCGGCTGGTAAATAGTAAAAATATTTTTTTTTATAAAAGAAGTAAAATGAATCTTTGTAATGTATTTCTGCCATTATGTTCCCACCTCTTCTTAGGTACTTGACATCATTCTTTCAGATGGTCATTATTTTTATTGTTCATGGAAAAATTAATGTTTTTTTGAAAAATAGCAATAGTAAATTTTTTCATGAGTCTGCAAGATTTGATGAGGACGGCAATGTGAAACTAGCAATTTGAATTTGGCCTTAAATGTATAATGTCCATAAATCCTGTACTGTCACGCCATACCATTGTTCTATTAATACAATTACAAATTAGCATGTTTTTTTTTTCTTTTTTTACTGACTGCTTGTCTTCCTATTCCAGGTGATTTCCTTCCTATACTTAAACAGAATTCAAGCCGTATGAAAACAAGCCAGTGTTTATTGTTCCTTAATACTGTATATAGACTAATTTATACTGTACATTTATGTTTCTCAATCAGTTTGGAGGCGAGAGTCAGTGATCAGTATTTTAGTATACAGTACTTGTAATTTTTTCCAGCTGATGTACGAAACTTGTATTATTTTGTATAATTGAGACAAAGGCAAAATAAATATTAATGAAATTAAATGTTAATTATGATGAAAAAAAGTATTTTTTTTTGTTTTGTTTTAAACAAAAGCAGATATTGGAATTGTTAGTAATTAGTATTAAACAATGAAATAAAGCTTAGATAATACTGCACTTACCTAATTATTGTTTTGAAATCTTACATAACTGGCATCCATTATTTTAGGAATTCATAAACAGGCCTACTCGATTAGACATTGCTCTCTATTGCACTGTCACTCAGCCAAATTACATACAGTATTTAGCATTATTCAAGTTTACTCTGTCTCGTCTGTGCTCCACATACAATATTGTAGAGCACTCAACAGCCTTTCAGCTGTAAGCAAATATGAGTGCCAATTATTAACATTTTTTCATGACGACGCCTTCATATAGTAGAACATATATACTGTACCTTGACATTTGGTTATCTGTAACATATTTTCCTCTGAACTATTATTCATACATACTACAGTAATTCAACCAACTATAGTATAATAATTTTATACTGTTTTCTGAACACTCATTTTATTATTTTTTTCAAAGCGCAATATTTTAAGAGGTTAGTGTTCTAATAAAATTATAACAAATAGATGTATTTATGTATTTAAAACAGTACAAACAATTAATATATTAATTTTTTTCAGCCGTGAAACATTCAAGTTTTATTTTAAAAGGCGTGTAATTTAATCATTATTGAAATCCAGATTGAAGTCTCATCTTTTCAAATACTATACTGGGACTGCCAAGCTGAGGCTGTACCTTGTTCCTTCTTGGCCACACCCGCTGCTTGTACTTGAGGAAATAGATATTATTATTACTACCTTTCATTAGGCCTACAAGTTACTACTTTGGACTTGCTTGGCAATGGTTTAGTCGTGGATGGGCCCAGTTTTGCAAAACATATTGTGACTAAATTTGATAAAGAATGGTGCTATGGAAGTCTCCAGAATTATTTTTATTATTTAATGAATAAAAATTTTGTAATTTTTTAAATTTGTTTTTATTATCATCATACTATAATCATTATTTTGTGTTTATGTTCTTAAACTTGTTTTGCCCATTATTCCTGATATCTAGTATATCTGACTTTACAGTGGCTTTGCTTATGATAAATTATTCTCTTAAATTAATAATTAGTATTCCCTAAATCCCCATATACAGTACTATACAGTACTCACTGGAATTTTTAACAATGGATGTATTTTTCAACTGTTAATTTCCCATGATGCAACATATAAACTAAATAGAATCTAGCATCCTGCTTTATACCTCTACCCTGGAGGATTGTTTTTCTATGATTTGATTTATTAATCAAGCCTGGCGGATAGCCCATATCGTGAATATTTAGCATTTATAAGTGGCACGCCCAACTATAAACAATCCCATACAGACATTGTACACAGAGTGGAGAAGAAGTGAATAGGCTAATACCAGTACACAGTTCCCAACATTATTGTAGTACGGTGTGGACCTATGGAAGTTATATAATTTTGAAATATATTTATTTAATATTCTATTTTAAATTGAAGAATTCAGTTAACAAAATAAAGAGAAATTTACCTTCCAATGAAATTTTAAAGTATTATATAATTATTAATTCTGTGTACAGTACTATATTTTATATTATTATGATAATATTTATTCAATTCTCTGCCTGCACAATGTATTGTGGAAGATCCTGATTTGATATCAATTGTGATATCAATGATAAAACCATGAAAACCTACCCCAGTAAGAATACTTTTCAATCCATCTATTTTTGTTCAAGTTAATATAGTTTACTGTAGAAGCTTATAGATCAAAACAATCAATGTATGGATTTTTTTAACACTATTTTTAATTTAGTTTTATTTTATATTTAATTCTTATGGACCCCACTGGAAATTAATGTTCTTTTGTGGGTTATTAGAGATTTTATTAAATAATTCAATTTAGCCTACAGTCAATCAATTAGTCAATCAATCAATCAATTAGTCAATCAATCAATCAATTAATCAATCAATCAATCAATTAGTCATTCAATCAATTAATCAATCAATCAATCAATCAATTAATCAATCAATTAGTCAATCAATCAATCAATTAGTCAATCAATCAATTAATCAATCAATCAATCAATCAATCAAGCAGTCTATGTCCACTTGACTACTACTGAACTAATAATGTTTTTTTATGAAGGCAGTATGAAACAAACTCCAAAGAAAGTGATACAACTAACCATGTGATTCTAAATTATTATTTATTTCCTGAAAATTATATTTCAAACTTTATTTGCTCATCTATATGAATGATGAGATGAGATAAAATTTCCGGTGTCAATTGGTATAATTCCGCTTACATGGTTTATACATAAATTAATTTAGAAGTAATCACTAAAATAATCCCAAAACAATAATATTGAATTAGCATTAATAAGTAGTGTGATGTCCTTAAATTCAAAGTGTATTTATGTTGAACAAACTTGTTCTCATTTTTTGTGAAGTTTAATGGTATAATATACATATATTTATACTTTTTGTTATTCTCTTATCACTTTAGTTCTATGTCAGGATGTATTTTTTGTATACTCAGCTTCCTGCTTCAAAACGCCCCTCAACGCCTCCTTTTTGTCCTTGGCGGTGCACTCATTTCGTGATAACCTAAAATATAAAAGTTAACTTAACCCAAATGCTTTAAATAGCCTGAGAGAACCCTTTGTTATGTATTGATGCAAATGAATTTTAAAAGTACCGGTATATCAGATGAATTCCGTAAGGATTTACTGCTACTAAACCTATTTGCATATCATTGATCCAAATATCAATTTTAGGCTAGTAAAAATGATGTAGCAAGAGGACAGCAGTCACTAATATTTGCGGTTGTCATCATTTTTCATAGGCTGCTCTACCGTAAGGCATATCGGCAGGAGGTACGTACACTTTACAGAACTCGACGAGAATGTTGCACAGGGTATGCGCAAAGTGGAACAAACTGTATTCGTAAGTAAAAAAAAACAAAGTTAAGATAATTCATAACTTAATGTGAATTATTTATTTTTAAAAATGTCTTTGAAAATATATTTTAAAAATCTAACAGACTGAAATATACATTTTTTTTTAGCTAGGTAATTACTATTGTTCATAATTTTTATTCTGTTAATTAGATTTTATATTAATTTTATAAGGCCAAGTAAAAAAAAAAACATGTTTCGCGTCCCCGCCCGCATCGTTTTTTTCGCCCGCCTTGATTTTTTTTAAATTTTTAATTTTTGGAAAATTCATGAAAATAAAGAAAAAATATATCGAAAATTTAGAATTAAATGTTAGGAAAATAAATACCCTAGCCTAAAATAGTGCAATATCTTCATCTAACCTTTCGTATAGTAAAGCTATGCTAGGCTAGCCCAATATCTCTACCTAGGCTAGGCCTAGGCTAGCCCGATATCTCTAGGCTAGGCCTAGGCCGTCGCCTACTCTGGGCGTCAGGCGGCAAACCTCGAGTTCACTTCACTAGAGCGCGTTTGTCATGCATACAATTGCCGTATTCGATTGGGACTATAGGTTGCTCTTATACACATCTAGATGTGTATAAGAGACAGACGAGATACAGGATCTTGTCATCTAATCATCTCTTCTAAAGGATGTAGACATGACGAGATCCAGGATCTTGTCATCTTATCATCTCTTCTAAAAGATGTAGACATGAGATCAAGGATCTCGTCATCTGATCACCTCTTCTAAAAGATTTAGACATGATCATCTCTTCTGATAAATATAGACATGACGAGATCCAGAATTTTGTCATTTAATCTTTTCTACGGGATGTAGACATGACGAGATACAGTAATTATCAAGACATCTGGGATGGCACCTTTAAGCTTCCGTACTTATAACTAAGTCCTTGGTTCCTGTATCTGATTCTAACGACCCGAACATGGAAGAGTATCCATTTTAAATTGAATAATTATTATATTACTCCTTTCTCTTATACACATCTAGATGTGTATAACAATTGCCGTATTCGATTGGGACTATATGTTGAGTATGTTATCCCGTTGAGTACAAAACTCAACGATAAATTCCGAGCGTTAACTTCGTTGAGCAGTTTCTGTTGAGCAGAGCACGAAAGTCCCAATCGAATACGGCCGATGATTTCCGATGAATTCTGGAATTTCCCGTTATACTGGCCCTCTATGTCAGATTGTATGGAATAGTTTCATGTGAAGACGTCTGAGACGTAACATCGGGAACGTTCCGATTGTATATAGTAACAATGATTCCTAAATTTTATATGTTGAACAAAACTAGACGGGAAATGTCAACAAGTCTGTAGAATGGCGGCCATTTTGAAAAATAAAAAATAAAAAATAAAAAAGGCCTCTTCCTCAATTTAAAAAAAAAGCCAGATGTGAAACATGTTTTTTTTTTTACTTGGCCTAATAACTATAATTTATTCTTCCAAATTATTTTCAGTCTCATTAAATATGTCGTAGTACCACTGAACTACATTCTATGAATCATTGTAGTTACATACAGTGATCTGAATCTGAATATAAGATTACCAGTATTTAGATTTCAATTGGGATATCAAATATCAGTGTGTTAAATTTTATATTATAAACGTTGACGATATCACCAGTTATTGACATCATCAAGCTGTGACGTGTGCTCGTTGAGGAATCGTAAACTTATATTGCTATGCTCATGTTTTGTTAATTGTCGTATGCTCCATTGTGGCCTATTTACATTAAGCATTGCATCAGCAAGTATTACAACATGAAATATAATTGATCACTTTCCATCAGTTTTTTGCTAATAATGTCACATTAACATATAGACTTTTCTTCTAACAAACTATCCCCATATTTCGATATTCCCTCAGTTGAGATGTTTGAGAATCGTCTTAAGACTCGTCTTTTTAGTTTACTTTAATTTGCAAATTTCCAGTGCATAGAGACCTATGTATTATGCGCTTTACAAATCCCACTTATTATTATTTATTATTATTATTCCAGTCTGGCATAATGTTCCTACTACCATGGACATTATTACCTGTATAGCTATGGTCTTTCAAATGACAATCATTCGATAAATCTACCAGTCCATTCATCCATCCATACACTATTTTATTCCTCCATGATCTATTCATCCAATCATTTATCATCAATCATTTGGTTTTATTTAAAATGTCTGCATCAGTGTATGAAAATAGGCTCTGAGTTTAATAGTAACCTCATGCATTCCAGAGATAAAAAAAGTATTGAACATAATACATAGTTAATATATATAAGTTACTGTTTTATACAATACTTTTCAGATTCTTGTGCCTTTGTTTTATAGTGTACTGTATTTGTTTATTCGGGAAATCAATTTCGTTTTTCCTAATCCACAATTAATTATACATACTCAACATTTTGTGTGCTTTCAGCTACACTTCATTGGGCAATGAACTGTTGATGTTGTCAGGTCTGGTCGCTAGGTGGAGTGCAACCTCTACCGTCGGTGCACAGTCTGTTGTTGGTGTACTTGTTTAAAACTTCATGTAAATTGTAAAATAGGCATTAATATGTGTCAATAAGTGAGGCTAACTATATCATTGTTTATCGTATTTCCTAGCTTTGTGTTCCGAGAGTTGTCTTCATGGTACATGTGTGTCACCAGACACGTGTGCATGCGTTTCAGGTTTCCGTGGACAACAATGTGAGAGCCGTAAGTAAATCATCGTTTTATAATCATTTCCTCCCTTGTCCCTTACACCTACAGGTAGTCTCTTGACTTAACATTGACCCTGCTTCTGTCCACACACATTTCGCCTGTTCTTGAATTTCTATGGTTATTTAATAAGCATATGGTATATAGTACCGTTGTAGTTGTGTTGTAGTTCATGCAGATGATAGCATGATGGCTCATGAAGTGAATATATAATTGAATTGAATAGGTATTAAACATAATTTCCTACCATGTTTTTATGTATGTTTACTGTGAAAGCTGTTGAAGGATGTTTTTATTAATCTGGGACATTATTTTGTAGCTTATGACAAAGTTTATTATTGAGTACAGTATTGAGAAGTGATTGTGGATCATGTAGAGTAAACAGACTGAACAATATTATCTGTTTTTCAAATTTCATAATTTGTGGCTAAAATTTCCTTCCTGTCAATTAAAAATATAAGCCAGCCAAGATTCTTTCTGCACCTCCCAATATTGCCCTGGCATTGGATCAGACTCCTCCTATAGAACACATATTCAGTTCCTTGGGGTTTATTCTATAATGATCAAGTTTGATGACATGAATGAAGTATCTTACATGAAACAAAATCGAAGACAGACAAGCTCCATTTTATCTCCTTATCTCTATGTCACATTCAGTGGCACATTCAAGAGGGACTCAGCTGCCTTCCTCTCTCTCCCTACATTTTTTACAATAAAAAAGTCTGAGAGAGCCATTTCTGGCAACCTAAAGGTGCCATAATCATAATTTTTCTTATATCAGCCCCAACCATGGTGGGCCTGAGGTAGTGGATCCTTTATCAGTGAAAGTCTCTGCCTGGGCCCCCTGTTCCAAATACCCAGATCCGCCAGTGACACGTCAACCCCACTCATATTGGTTTCCCTGCTTTCAAAATTCTGATTTTTCACTGGAGGTTCTTAAATAATGTTAATAATACTTGACCAAATAGCATATGTGTCTGATACATTAATATAGCATAAAATCTTAGAAAACACCACATTTAATGGTAGCAGTGTAGGGATTATTTTATTAAGTCATCATCACTTACTGACCATTACTTTTCTTTGTGGTAGCTTGCAAGGATGACCTCTGGGGTGTGGACTGTGCAAATAAATGCCAGTGTGCTAATGGAGCTTCCTGTGACCCGAAGACCGGAGCATGTCTCTGTACCCCTGGATTTAAAGGTTAGCGACACCATAGCATTTCTAGGCCCATAATGATCAGTATTTATCCTTAATTGTTAAACAAGTTCTTTATCATTACACCCAGAAAGTGACTTTAGATCAGCTAATGAATGTCCAACAATTAAATATGCTGATGATACGGTAATCTTGGGTCTAATTAGGAAGGACGACCTGTCTTTGTATATTCCAGAAATTCAAAGGTTTGTGTCTTATTGTAAAGATAACTTTCTTGAAATAAATACAGAGAAAACGAAAGAAATGGTGATTGATTTTCGAAAAAAGCGGGTTAAGGAAGAAAGTATCATTATTGAAAATAAAGAAATAGCACAAGTTACATCGTATAAATATCTGGGGGTAATCTATGATAATCAACTGTCGTGGGGAATTTTCTGTGACCATTTAGTTAAGTAACTTAATGTGAGAATGTTTTGTTTTAGGAAACTTAATTCTTTTCAGTCAGGAAGGAGATAATGCTGTCATTTTATAATTCTATTATTCTCGGATTACTTTGTTACTGCTTAGTTTGTTGGGGTGGGAATATTTCACAAGGTGATAGGGACAGATTACAGAAGTTTGTTAACAGGTTTGGGAAGATTATCGGTTCGGAACTGCAATCGGTGCACTCAGTCTACGAAGAACAACTAGTTAATAAGTTTGATAACGTGATGTCTGACGAAAGTCACCCGTTACATTCAACTATTGCTAGTTGCGTTATACAACGCAGCGGTAGACTGAGGGTACCGGCTGCTAACACGAACCGTTATTCTAACTCATTCAAGATGTGTATAAGAGACAGGCATTTACCTGTTTAATAGTAGATATGTAAGATAGTTATTATTTATTGCATTGAATTACTTTTCCTGCTTAATTTATTGAAAGAGCGATGTAATTTCCAAGGATTTGGATTAATAAAGTGATGTCTATGTCTATGTAGAGGTCAATAAATTTCTTCATTGTAAAAAATGAAATTACTTCTTGAAACTGAAAATGATTTCTTCTTTGTCAAGCAACCATCTAACCATAAACTCAATGCCATGCGGTTATACTTTAAAGAATATGCGTTGCCTTCTAGGAATAATTTAATTTACTATATCCATTTAGTCTCCTATTGTTACAAAGATAATAAGATCTGGATAGGTCAACCAAAGTGACCTTAATCATTGTATTTTTAGTGCTGCAGATGTCTGGTGTTACTCCTTTTTACATTTTTTCATCCCAGTTCTTTGTTTTATTGTGAACTAAGACAAACTACTTTGTTTCATGATAAATTTCAAATATAACTTTTTAAAAATTGTAAAATTAACTTTGGTATCTGTATTTTTATTTTGTGAATTCTTTTCTCAGCCTTTTTCTTACAAAGTCAAACAGATTATAAAGTGTACTCCATTGTATAACTCACAACAACAGTAACTAATGTATCTTTTTAGGTGAATCTTGTAATAATACATGTAGCAACGGTTATTACGGACAAGATTGCGCCCTCAGATGTGAATGTAAGAATGACGCACTTTGTGACCCAATCAGTGGGATGTGTACCTGTAAACCTGGTTTCACTGGACCATAGTGAGTACCCATTAGCTTGTGCATGTAATCACTATCAGATTTTTTTTTCTTGAGCCGAGCACACAGTGTGCCCAGTGGCTTGCAACAGATCGTTTTTAATTACAACCTGCTCAGACTGCCCCAAAAACAATTCTGCAGATGTTGTCGCGTTGTCAAGCGCTCACAGAAAGCAGTATGGATTCATTGGCTGACGGTTGTATAACTGTGGTATGACAAAGAAGAGTGCCCAACTTATTATTTTTAATTGTGCTTGTATAGCGCATACTTTGCTAGAGTTTCTATGCGCTTTCCAGAAAATTAAGACTGAATAAATAGATAACTTTAATGTATTAGTAAAAATCACTTCCCTGTTTCTATCTTATAATAGGCTGAGATGGCCTGATACCTAATACTATGGCCAGTTTTAATGTACATGAATGAATAAAAATCACTTCACTGTTTTTATCCTATAAGCTAATATTTACTGTTTGCCAAGATTTAGGGTAAAAAAAATATCAGTAGAAATCACCTCATTGGCTCTGTCGTTAAATGCCATAATAACCCAATAGACTAAAGTACATTTTCCTGTTTCTCTAAACTTGGCACATTTTCAAAATTATCCTGGCTTCTTGCAGTTAGCGTCTTTTGCATTTTTTTTTTCACAATATGCTAATACATTTCTTGTCATATGTACTTCTTGTTATATGTGTTACTCTAGTAATATAATTTTAGGCAGAAGACCTTTTGCCAGATTTACCTACTTACAGCTTTACATTCAAATTTAATCACAGCTAAAATGCTGGATCAACTTAAACATTTTCCTTTAAATGTTAGTAGTTTTAAAGAATTTGTTGTTTACCACCAAAGTGTAGAAATGGGTAAAAAAAAAAAGGAAATTAAATAATCCTTAAGAAAGGCTGCCTTGAAGGACGAACAATGTTTTTTGGCCTTGCATTTTTATATTCCCTTCATAGTTAGTCATTTTGTTAAGTACTCAAACATCTTCATCTTATCTTGAAGACATATGGTACAAGGGAAGTAGAAAGCTCATGATATCATATTATCACTTGGTTGGAGTATGCAGTTGGAATATAAATGTAACAATAACAACATAAATCAGCAACTAGATAATGATTTATAAGAATAAATAAATGAAAAGTTGATTGTGTTATTGTTTCTGGAAGTAGAAGATACATGCAACTTATTACAAATACTTGAGGTACAGTAGTTAATTTTGTTTTATAGAAATGTTGTTCTAAAATAATTATTAAATAAATGAGATTATATATGCTTCTCCACCCCTTTAGTTGTGAATCAACTTGTCCAGGTGGAACACATGGCTTAAATTGTGCTTTAGAATGTAGCTGCCATCATGGATCATGCCATCATGAAACAGGGAAATGCACATGTGATGCTGGATGGAAGGTAAGCTTTTCTCAGTTTAATTAGGCCTAAAAAAAATGTTTGTTAGATGTCACATCATAGTGTAGAAAAGGTTTTTGTTTTTGCTTTTTTTTTTTTTTTGGTTGTCAGAAAATATCCTGTTCCCGTAACAGGAATTGAACCCAGGACTCTGGGATTTGAAAACAAGCACCTTAACCACCAAGCTGTTCCATTCCACTTATTCTTTTATCAGAACCACTCTCTTAACACACTTCTCAATTTTTATACACAGGGTGAAATTTGCTCCATACCTTGTAACCAAGGCACTTATGGTATCAATTGCACTGAGAGTTGTAAGTGTGAAAATGCAGCATCCTGTGACGTAGCAACAGGAGCTTGTACGTGTCTTCCTGGTTACATTGGCGAAAGGTGCAAGGAAAAGTGCAAGCCAGGGTTTTACGGTATTGACTGTCAACAACCTTGTGGCTGCCAGAATGGAGCATCATGCTCACATACCAATGGAGAATGCGAGTAAGTGTCATACAACGCAATCAGTAAAAGAAATGATTAACATTATGCATTTAACTGATCCTTTTATTGTATTTTGTCTTACAGGTGTTTACCTGGATTTGCAGGTTTAAAGTGTGAACAGGATGGTAAGTCGATTAAATATAAATTTGTTATTTTTGTTTTTAATTGGTTGTTGTAGTGTATAAACAAAGATTTTCTAATGTATTTTTTATATATTGGACAATAAAAGATTGAATTTGAATTTGAATTTTAAAGCCAGATTTCAGAGGCCTCCCCTCCCCCTCCCAGTTTTTAAATATATTGAAATCTATATCTTATTAACCACTTTCAAGTTTCATGTCTTAGAAAAATCAGTTTTACAGCATATATATTTTTGCTCCTTACAAGCTTAGCACAAATAAAACGCTTACATATAAACTACTATGTGTTTATGAGCAGAATTTTCTTATTGATAACGACAATCCATATTTTTAAGTTATCAAAAGATGACAAAACATAAAAGTTGTAATCACTGTACCTGTATAATAGAAGTGGTTTGATATATTTTTTTTGTATCATATTATAAGGAAAGTTAAAAAATATGTGTTGTTCCTACTAAGACAAGGTTGCAAAAGAGGTGCAGTAGACCTTTTTTTTTCACTATATATAATTGTATACTGTATTTATTTTATTTTATATCTTTTATTTTATATTTTGTTTATAGAATGCAGTGCATGGAAGTTTGGAGGGGACTGCACTCAGGATTGTACATGTAATAAAGAACACTCAACACGGTAAGTGGCCATTGTATTTCATAGCAATTTCTTATTTCTACATTTCTATACGACTTGCTACATCAAATATCCAACCAAGTTTTTTAGGATCAGTATACTTACACTTAAATGTACATAGGATGAATGTAATTAACAAACTTCAGTGTTATTATTATACTGCACATGCCATTTTGATACATTTCTCCTGTGGGTCAACTGTTGCTCCTATTTTATTTGTGGAGCTAACATTTTCCCTTAATCCAAGCTAATATAAAATGGAAGAATCTCATAGCTTTCACTATAGTACTTCAAGCAAGCAGGTACAGCCAAAAGCCTGCAGTGTTTGCCTTTAGACTAGCTTTTAATTACAGGAATTAATTTTAGGTTGGTTATATTACTTTTATTCAGCAAGCAGGTTAATATATCATTGCTACTAATTATTTCTACCAATGTGTTACACTGTAGGAATCTAGTAAATTAACTGATTTGTTTTAAATTATTGTTGCTTCATGTAATCAGCAAACTGAAATGAGTTCAAGTACACATATAAAAATGAACATAGTCATAGTGATGAGAAATATTTATGAATCCAAGTTGACTCATTTTTTTTTTTAATAGATGTCTGAGCCACACAGGAGAGTGCATCTGTTCTCCGGGATACCAGGGTAGTGTCTGTCGGTCACCATGCCCCTTGGGTTTCTACGGTCTGGAGTGTAAGGAGCCCTGTGGGTGCAAACATGGGGGAAAATGCAACCATATTGATGGATCTTGCACCTGCACAGCAGGTTGGCATGGTGACCAGTATGTGTTATTTAACTTTGCTTTTCTTTCTGTTGAATTATGTACCAGTTTTTAATTTTAAAAATAAAAAAGAACAATTTTTTTATCAGGTTTTTGACTAATTAAAATTATCAAAGCTGTACTAAGAACAATAGTAAATTAATAGTAGTAGTAATAATAATAATTTAAATAGGAAAAAGTTCTAATTATGATGATGACAGTTATGTTAATAGAGATTAAAATTATCACATACAGTGTATGGGCACAGTGTGTAGGGGATAAAATATTTTGTCAATTCTCTATTTATTTGAAATATTTTAACAATACTTTTTGTTATATTTTTTCAGTTGTGAGTTACCCTGTTCCTCTGGCTCTTATGGAATGAATTGTGACCTTGTGTGCAACTGTTTGAATGAGGCTACATGCAACAATGTAGACGGCACCTGTGCATGCGCACCAGGTCGGTATTATTTATGTCTTACTGTCATTGTACATATTTACCAAGAAAGCACTGCTCTTGAATAAACACTGTTCTTAATTTATTGCTGCACCAAACTTGTGTTTTTTGGCTAACCATCACTTCCGAAATATGTGGGGGCTTATTGGAGATACTCTCTTTTGAATAAATGTTGTGGTGCTTAATTGAGATTAAAAATGTATATTATGTACCTTGATCAGTTGATGTCTGTGCAACTTGAATAGCATAGAAAATGAATTACACTGCTTTACTGAATGTCCAATATGTAATGATTTCAGATCCCACCTGTACGATTATATTGTCCAAATCAACCCATCCTTTGCAGACTCAAACTCTAACAACAAATTCAATTTTTTAACGAGCGATGGCAACCACTCTTATAGGGTAGTTAAATTTGGATACCAAATCCTCTCCTTACGGCAGTCTATTGTGTTTAAATCATATTTTAAGAAATGTTTGTATATCCTGTTTTTAAAACATTTTTTATCATGTTTTTTGCTTGGGTTTTAAAAATGTCCTATATTTCACTCATAAGCCAGAATTGGCTAGTCTCTGTTTTAATCTGAGAGTGTGAAACAAATACATAAAGAACTATCTAACTAACTATAATTGGGACAGTTTTTAAACAACCAATTGATATTACAACAAGAGTGTTAGCACATAATAAGCTCAACACATGCTGCCATCTGTTATGATAAGCAGTGCTTGCATTCTAATCAATAACCTTTATCAGTATTTGTTGACCTCCTTCACCTAAGTATAATTAATATACTATATATAGCTTCCTATGAATGTTGTAAATGTAACATATCATTCTGCGGTAAATGTATTGCTGCACATACAGGGATAATCCTCAGGAAGCAGAGATCGTTGCACATTCATGACACAAGATGGTTATGGGAAAGAAGTTGCACTTTTTTTTATTGTGGGATGTACTATATGAATATAATCATCACCACCATAGCTCCTCTGGTTTATAGTCCCCACCCCCTTTGAACACAAAATTGGGCCACTTTTTTTGCAGGTGGGTTTATATCTGAGCTAACCCTTTTTAATCAAATGGTATTTTTTAAGAACTGTATGCCCAATTCAATGCCAATATTTGATGTTTTTCTGAGAATATTTATAAAAGTCATACCCTGGGCTTTTGCTTGAGAAAAGGCTGGTACATAAAATTGCACGTAAATAGGGGATGGGCTTATACCCGAGCAACTATGGTAGTAATATTATTGCATATATTATTGATGTTTAATTCTTGCTACAATTTTTTTTATATTTTAGTTTCTAATATTTCATAATATTCACAGGAGTAGAGTTTAACAACCATTCTATTTTTCGCTGTTTTGTTTACCAGGTTGGGATGGAATCATTTGTGAAAAGCCTTGTCCAACTGGTTTTCATGGCGAAGGCTGCAGTATGGCATGTGATTGTGATAATGGGGCGCCATGTGATCCGGTGAATGGGACGTGTATTTGCCCTGTGGGATTCACTGGTGAAAGATGCCAGGAGCAGTGTCAGGTACAGTTTACACTATGTAAATATGCTACCTCATCACATGTTATGAGACACCTGTATATCCCTTATCACACCCAATATCTTATTCACATCTTCATGCACATATTGAAACTTGCATGCCAGCCCTCCAGCTGAAACTCAAGGAGTCAGTGATGGGAGTTGAACCTGGGACCAAGTGATCTTTAGGGTTCAGTGTACTGTACTTGCAATGGCTACCACTAGTATAGCCCAATTATGTGTGACAGCATTACCATATTACCTTTAATTTGTGTTCTTTTATTTTTTATATTGTAGCCGACCCTGTTTGGGATAGACTGTCAGAATAATTGCAGCTATTGTGGGGAAAATTCGTATGGTTGTGATAATGTAATTGGTCAGTGTATCTGTCTCGCTGGTTACAGTGGTGAGTAAATAAATAGTTGATATCTATATTCATAACTTGTCCAGATGGTATTCTGTACCTGATTAGCTCATTTGAAAAATGTTGGCCAGTACAATTTTGAAGTCTAAAATCAATTGTTCCCTCCCACTCCACGCCTTTTAATGTCTTTTTTTCTTTCTACAGGTGTGATATGTAATAGTACCTGTCCCCTTGGCTACTGGGGACCACAGTGTGATCAGATTTGTAATTGTAAAAACAAAGGGTCATGTAATCAGTTTGATGGTTCTTGTATCTGTCCTCCAGGGTTTTCAGGCAAATTTTGTGAAAAGTGTAAGTTGCTTTTTGTTGTTATATTTATTTCTTCATATATATTATCTGCATCAAAAGGAGATACACATTCCAAAGTGGAAAACTATATTTTTTTAATAATCAATAAAGAATATGTTTGTAAATTGATCATACTGATTGATCATAGTGATCAATTTACAAACAAACATTTTTTATTGATTATATAAAAATTATAGATACCATACATGAAAATATTTAAAATTACCATACATGAAATTGAACATTCCAAAGTGGAAACCTATATTTTTTTTATAATCAATAAAAATATGTTTGTAAACTGATCATACTGATTGATCCTAGTGATCAATTTACAAACAAACATTTTTTATGAATTATTTAAAATTATAAATACTATACATGAAAATATTAAAAATATTATGGGCTATCTTAAAGAAAATTGTTTTATTTTGATAGTGTGTGATGATGGATTCTATGGCTACCAGTGTGATTATGCTTGCCCTGATTGCCCCACTGGAACCTGCCATTCACAGAACGCAAGTTGTGTATGCCCCACAGGGTTTACTGGCCCAAAATGTTCTCAGAGTAAGTAATATTTGGTTGCAGACCATCTCATTTCATTATCAGAATGCTAGTTATTTTTTATTTAAAAATCGTTATTATTATTATTATTATTTTATTTAATCATTCATTTATTTTTATTTTTTTCGGCATGATTTATGGTCTGAACTGTGAATACTGTCAGCACCTTGAAACAATTTTATTGTGAAAGGTACTTGCTCTGCAAATATACTAGTACTATACTGCCATATTATAGATATATTTATTTACATTACAAATGTTGTTCATTTTGTTTGACTTCAGTTTTTATGTGTATATTTCTTGTTCTTCTAGCCTGTGATAATTACATGTATGGACATGACTGTGAGAATGTGTGCCAGTGTTTGCATCGTGCTGACTGTAATGCAGTGAATGGCGAATGTTTGTGTCAACCAGGTTTTCAGGGGCTTTACTGTGAAACAAGTAAGTTGAGATTTCCTAATAATAAAGATGTAATAATGTCAATAATAGATCACAGCAGTTCCCATTGGTAAAGACAGTCTGGGATCAGGGAGGCAGTTGTCTATCCATTGAACGAGCATGAACCCAAGAGTTGTTGGACTGCACTTGAGGTCGTTGAACAAAAATATTAATGTGCCAACCTAATGAAAGTATTTGTGATTTCAGTTCCTTAATAAGTTTTGCATTCCTATAGTCTCTCTGCAGAAAGAAAATGTACCCCTCCCTTCGTTAAACCCATACCAGGGGCGGATTGCTATAAGCGGTCTTTAGACTGTTTTAACGCACCCGGCTTTAATCTTAACGTCACTACTGGTCTATGATTATAGCCCATTGCTATACCGCGGTCCAGTTAGCCGTCTTAAACTTTAAAGCCTACTCGGAGTAGGCTTAAAACGATCATAAATCATTTTCCTCATGTCGTTACAGGTACTACACTAATAGGCCTAGATCATCAAAGACTAAGAATCGAACGAAGAACATTCCGCAAGCTTCTCAGCATCTGTAAAAACCGGTCTACGGTTATTTACGCTCATTTTGATAAATATCCATATTTAGAATAAGCATAACAGCGCCCTCAATTTTATATTACCAGGAAGTGCTTGTTTGCGTTTCAATACTCAAAGCGGTCTAAGCGAAGACCGTTTTATAGCAATGGTGTTAGCAGTGTGACTTTAGTAAGACCGTCTAAGTGAAAAAGCCGGCTTAATTCGAGAAGTTAAGACTACCAGTTAAGACCGTTTATAGCAATCCTCCCCAGGGGTTTATCCCTGACCCTAACCAAAGAACTTAGGCTTTTACAGACCGATTGGATAAGATACCTTCTGATCGCTTCAATTAAATGAATATTGTAATTTCTAAATAAATAAATAAACATTTTTTCTCTGCAAAGCATGCAATCCAGGTTTCTATGGATTTGAATGTGCTAACGAATGCAAATGTCAAAATTCAGTGACCTGTGACCCTTATGATGGAGAATGTATATGTAAGCCAGGGTGGCATGGTGCATTTTGCTCTATAGGTAAGTTAGTTTTTTGTTTTTTTTTCTTTTTTTTCCCTTTTTTTTTTATTGCCTTTTATTGCCTATTACACTTAAGTTTTTTTACTGGGCTTTGTAAAATACAGATGGTGATTTTTCATTTTATTTTTAAGCAAAGCAGCAGTTATTATGATAACTATATTATTGTCACATTAAAGATATACTGTTGGTGTTGGATAAAAAAATCTTGAACACTAAAATTCAATATTTTGAATTGCTTACTTTGTATATATAACTGAATTATCTGTTATAGAAAAATGAGACATATGCATACTAGTGTTCCTATCCTTTTTGTTGGCTTGTAATTTAAAGGATTTTTATAGTATAAACTATTATTTGTACTGTGAAAAATCATATGTAAATCAGCAAATTAAAAAAAAATTATTATTTTCATTTGTCTCATGTTTTTTATTCAATATTTTACTGTTTTTTTTTCAAGTTTAATGGATATTTATACATTTTTCTGTTTATCTTATTTAGAATGTCCTGATGGAATGTATGGCGTAAACTGTACTGAGCAGTGTAAATGTGAGAATGGGGCAGTTTGCAACCCTACCACTGGAGATTGTATATGTACACCAGGTTGGAAAGGACCAGTGTGTAGCATACGTACGTTTTTACATTATTAATTATTAATAATGGAATGGACTTGTGTACAGCAGCATATCTACTTCTCACACAGAGAACATCGACTTCTAATTTCTTACATAACAACATGTCATTTTCTCAGATAAAACACATCAACTTACGTAGCAAAACGTAAACCTCTCATGTATCAACATGTCCATCTGTCATTTAGCAACATGTCAACCTCTCATGTAGCAATACATCAACCTCTCACGTAGCAACATGTTAACATCTTAAGTAGCAACACATCAGCCTCTCATGTAGCAACACATCAGCCTCTTATGTAGTAACACATCAAGCTCTCATGTAGCAACACGTCGACCTCTCATGTAGTAACACCAACCTCTCATGTAGTAACATGTAAACCTCTCGAGTTACAACACATCAACCGCTCAAGTATCAACATCAACCGCTCATGTATCAACATGTCAACCTCCCATGTAGCAACACATTAACCTCTCATATAGCAACACATGAACCTCTCATGTAACAACACATCAGCGTCATGTAGCAATGCGTCAATCTCTCAAGTAGCAACATGTCAACCTCTCTTGTAGCAACACATCAGCCTCTCATGTAGGAACATCAATTTCACCCATAGGAACGCGTCAGTCTCTCACAGCTTCTCGTGTGGTAACATGTTGACTTCTCACTTAGTAACACATAACGTAACAACATGTGAAGCTCTTACTTACTTAAATAATGATATTTTGAGGATGCGATTTGCTTAGATAAATCCTGTATAATTTTCGCTGACAATTTTCATTTTACCGTACAATTTGTGTTAATAATATTAATTTGTCTCATACTTATATACATATATTTTAGCAGCGTGTGGTTTTGGATTTTATGGACTAAACTGTAAAGAAAAATGTGAATGTGCAAATGATAAATTCATCTGTGACCCTATTTATGGTTGTGTCTGCCCTGATACCCTAAAAGAAGATTGTGTTCCAAGTAAGTATCTACATCAGCATATTTCTTCTTTTTTATTATAATTTTTATTTTTATTGAATGTATCAAGTATTCCCCCAACACGACATAATTTTGTCTTTACTTATTGTTAGCATCATCGTTGTTATCATCATCACCAGTAGCGGCATCATCATCATTGTTTTCAGTACTGTAATTGTTATCACCATTTGTATTCTGTTTTTGTCATATACCTATAGAGATCAAGGGAAATGTGGATACATTGACAACTGAAAAAGAAGGAGGTTCATCATACATCCTACCCCTTGTTATCTCTTTCCTCATCATCATCCTCCTTGTAGTAATAATCCTGTTTCTCATACTGAGGCGTCGTAGAAGGGAGAAAAGTGCCATTCCAGCTGTATCGTAAGTATTTTGGAATTTAACACATTTTTAAAAAGCGATATGTATAATATACATATCTGATCATTAAGAGGATCATTATCATTATCATTATTATTATTATCATCATGATTATTATCATTATCATTATCATTATTATCATTATTATTATTATTATCATTCTCTGATTAGTAAGATGTAAAAATGAATACAAAACAAAGAATGGACAATACAGTAGGAGTTTTTCAAATCGCAATGTAAATACTTTACATCAGAATTTACCAACCTGTTGAAAGAACACATGCATAATTTTGCCCAGAACTTTTGTAATTCTGTGATCAGGACAAAAATCTAAACAGATTTAGTATACAATACAATTATTAAAATATATGAAAATGCATGTAATTGATGTTGATTTATGTAGATAATTCAGAGAGATAGGCCTACTCATTCATTGTATTCTCTATGTCAGTCATGCACCTTGAACTTAAAATATTTTTTAAAAGTATATTTAGCATGAATATTATTGCATCAAGTGATATCATGCATTTTGTGTTTTAAATCTTGATGATACAAAGCAACTTGCAATAATTAGATCACAAAAATATGCAAACATTGCTGATTTTCAAATCAACAGGTATTCAGCATCAGCAAACAATAGCGGACGCATTTATACGCGAATACCTTGTGGTGATGATTACAGGTTTGACATGATTCTTAATTCATTTGCTGTCGTTTGGTGACGTGGCCTATAACTCATCCACACTTTCTAATTCTTGATATCCGCTACACATACAACACCATATACATACTCTTGCTTCCAAAGTGTTGTGTAAAATGTTTTTCATAGTTTTCACCACCATCATCACTCATCTCAAATACTAGCTTTTATTTCAGAAGTGTAACCCTTGGTAACACTTCCTAGATGGAGATGGATTGTGCATGCATGCTGTTAGTTTGTAGTTGCAAAGTGGGATAATTTTTTGCTATTTTAGTAGAATAAACATTTGCACACTGCACTATTTGTTTTTCATTTAGAGTACATGATATTTTTAGAAATATCATTTTCTGGTAGATTCCATTTTTCTGGCGGGAGGTTCATCATATTGGGCTTACTGTGTACAATGTTTATTTTTTGAGGGAAGTGCTATGATTGAGGAATCTGATGAAGTTGTTTTACCAACAACTGGTTCATTTTCTTACTGTCAACTGTACATAAAAAGCTGTAATTCAATTAAGACAGTATTCAGCATCAAAGGTGTACAGTGGCAGGCAGCTCTAGGATATATTTTCTGGGGGGGCTGAGCTGTCCCACAGGGGGACTTGAGGTTGTAGGCCCCAGCTGGAGGAAGGGTTTAATAGGGGGTTCCCCCTCCCAAATGAGATGGATGACCAGAAATGACACTCTCAGGCTGTGACAGACGTGTGTTGCTTTGGCGTAGGACTATTTTTGTATTTTTTTTTTAGTCCGACTGTCTGATGGGGGGGGGGCCTTGACCTGTCCAGTGGGGCGGCTAAAGTGCGCACAGCATTGTCGTTTATGTAAGTTGTTAAGAATGCACAAAGGCATTATGCATCCTACAATAGATGTTTATTGTCTTCTGATTAATATTCAGCCGTTCTAATGCAAAACAATTCAACTGCACAAAAATATAATAGCAGTTTACGTTGTTTTTACTGTATGTAACCAAAGGTGTGGGGAGAGCATATTATACATTAGTTTTAGATACATTTCACTGCAGCACAAGTTATAATATATCTGTATGACTGTAGTGTTCACCAACATTGATAGAGCTTTTTCAAATTGTGTGTCGGTACAGTGGTCATTTCACTTGCACCTAAATCTTTTAATTCATTACATATTAATCTGGTCTGCTTTTATCATATTTTTCCACTGTTCTCCGCACATCTTAATTGCCCACTTTATTATCGAGGATTCTTCTATCCTATTAATAACAGTTTCCAGTCTAACCCAATCATGAATCTTTCACATTTATTTAATGAAATGAGCTGATAGAGAGGGTGAGACTGTTCACTGTTTGTGTGTTCCTCAACCATTTTATAGCCTATGATGCAGTGAGCAACCTTATCAACACGTTTGCTGCCAAGGATGTGAGTTCACATCTGACAGGTTCATCAGGGTGCCAACCAATCAGAGCTCACGTCCAAACGTGTCAACAAAGAACTTCTGTACTGCATGTAAATTGCTGGCAGTGTTCTCCAGTGTACAAATTCTTGCTATGGCAGATCTGGGAAGAACTCAGGAACCATTGATCCAAAAAATATATACCATACGTTTGTTCGAGTTCCATTACAGATTGGAGATTATTATTGTGATGCCCACAATGCCTTGGCATATGTGCAGCAACTGGTGAAAAAAAGTCTTGGCAGCCAACATGTTAAAAACCTCATTCATTTTCAAAGTTACTCTCTGTTTGCATAGCACAACTATTTCAGGCCATTGTGCCACTTCCAAAAATTTTACTTTTTCTTGTGGTAGCAGTGATAATGCTGATTTGTTTAAAATCTCATATTTGACAATTATTTTAATGTTTATTTTTTTCCATAGCTTCCATGCAGATAGAACCACAAACCATTATGACACCACCATGGACTTCAACCCATGTACTGTTCCCGTTGGAGGTGCCCCTAAGAGTTCAATTCGCATGCAGAACAATGACCTCTTCGATGAGCCCTTAAAGAAAGGAGTAGAATCCAACAATGTTGATGTCAATGGTGCTTGTGGTGGTAAAGATATCTCAATATATGAAAAAAGTATGATTTAAATATTGTTTTTATATTATTACATTCAAATTGTGAAAGCCCTAATATTAACTTGTTTGGTGTTTATTTAAGCCTATGAAAAATAATGAATGAATGAAAAAGAGAATGAATTTTTACCATTCTCTTTACCCATAGACTTACTTCATTAATTATATCTGAAATGTTCGTATTAATATTGTTATATTTTTTCTATTACAAAAATATTGTTATTGTTAACAATTTTGAAATTCAAGAGCTAAAGATGTTTTGTTAAGTGCTTTATTAACTGTACTTGTTTTTATCTGTAGATGCTGATGCAGATTACTATAATCCACGTAAACCGCCACCAATTCCTGCTCATGCTAATATCAATTATTTTGATGGTGCAAGTGTTAGCAAAATTCCACATGAAAAAAATAATTGTAAGTACACTATTTTAAAATTGAAAAAAATATATATAAATTGGAAATCAGCAAGAGATTTATTACATACAGTTGTGAAAACTATATAATTTCTTCCATCCCTGTATGTCTCTGAAAATCATACTTTAGTACAACTCCTTATGTTAATTGAAATTATAGAACTCCTTAAGTTGCTGGTTTATTTTTAATTTAGTAATTAATTAAGTTGTCCAGTAGCATGTATTTACAGGGTGGAATAATTTAATTTTTTCTCCTTTTAATCTCATTATAAGGATTAGGGGTGTTTTGGTTGCGAAAAAAAAAATCTGGTCATCTTACATGATTTGAACCACCAACCCTGTGGTTAGGAGGCGAGCATCATTTTGCATATTACTCTTCTGCTGGCTCATAAACCTAATTGACTCATTATGCTGCTGGAAATGTTTTCATAACTAAAATAGTAAATGTACATACAATACTTGGTTTCTATTATTGGAGATATAAAAACATTATTATTTTCTGTTATTCTTATATCAATAATGTTTCTACATAAATTTTCTTCCTCAGTGTTTTCTGAGAAATCTAAAGAGCAGCTAGTTAATGGAGCTGCAGGAGGTGCTAGCCAATCACAAGGCAGCCAAAATTACTACGGCAACCCACCACATCATCCATCTGATGTTCAAGGTAACCATAAATGATGTCTTTAAAAATCTGATCAGTGTTTATATATAATGATAAATACTTGCTGTACACCACATACTGTACTTACTTCTGAAAAAGAACTGTTGACTTGTTGAGAGTTGTCTCAATGTTTTTATTATGCTTCAGTCATCATATATTATCCTCCTGATGACGACGAAAGTAACTCAGTTGAAATGTCGAGACACTCTTAACAATCAACATGGTATACCGAAAGCATTTATTAGTAATGCTTCACCATGCAAACTTTCAAACAATATTTTGTTTATATAGTTGAAAAAAGATCATCTGGTTTTTTTGTCTTTCATTTAACAAAAAGAAGATATTTACTATTGAAATATTAATTGTCAATTACTAAACATGTATTACTATTATATGTATAGTTTTTCTGTATTTAAATGTGAATGATAATTTACAAAATCAACTTTATTGTTTTCCATACAATTATAATATTTAAAAAATAAATGAAATAATAAAGAAAATAAAAATTGTTTGAAACTTTGCATGGCGAAGTAATAATATATATAATGATTGCGGTACACCACGTAGATATTTCTGAAAAGAAATGTTGTTTGTTAAGAATTAGCATTGAAATTGAGCAAATGAAAATTTCAAATTACATATCTAAAAGTGTAAACAATATTTTAACATATATAAAACCATATTTATAATAACTAATAATAATATAAATTATAATAATTTAATATTTTTTCTGCTTCAGCCTATGATATTCCAAGACCTCAGCATGTTTACTCTGAAATTCCTGAAAGCTATGAGAATGTGTCTGTTGGAGCTTATGGCTACACATCAATTTGATAACTGCTACCAATATTACCACCAAACCACTTATTACAGAATAATCAGTTCTATATTTTAATACATTCTAGTGAAAGTCATTAAGGTCATTTTCTTGATTAATACTTATGTCAGTAAAGCAAAATAAAATAAAAACAAAATAAAGCACACAACTAGGTATCTGGCATAAATTGATCACAACAAAAGAAGAACGAATGTACCTTAACCAGCAATATATCCCAACTTGAATCCAAGAATTGCTTGTGGAGCGAGAATGCCACCCTCAGTCGAGGAGATAGGGCAGGAGACAATCTACGTATGGCTTAAAGGCAGGCCTGTTATAAAGACTGGGAATTATTTGGCATACCAACTGTCCCATAGATGCCAAGTTAGCGAGAGAATAACAAAGTATAGTATATTTTTTATTATTGACAATATTTGATTTATGCGTGAGATTTTGTCCTCAAGCGTGAGATAGACTGGAAGCGCGGGACCCTCACGCTGAATGTGTCAGCCTTGACGTATATGCTGTCCAACTACTAATTGTGTGCAACTTATTAAATAAAAACTCCACAAACCTACCTTCAAAACTAAAATAGTTTATGTAGTGTGCATTCTTAATAAAGTGTAATATTAAGCAGACCCCCAGAGGGTGGTAGGCAGGTTCTGACATAAATCACATTTTTGGAGAGAAAAGGGGGCTTTGACACTGAAAGATTAGTTGTTGGCGATGGCAAGTCAATTTTTGTGTGTAATGAGTCCAAGCATTATGCAATTTTTTTAAAATTATGTTTGTTGTGGCTTAAACCCAGTTTAGTATATATACTCAGCTATATACTCAGAGATATAATGTTATATAGGATACATGCTAAATGTTAGACAGGCTTTCTGAGATATTTTCAACAAGATACCGTCATTTTTAAATGAGCGAATACAAACCTTTGCTAAAAGGTGGTACAATTTATACGCAAACAGTAAAACTCTCTTCGTACAATGTTGTGTTGTAGAAGGGTCAAAGTTAGTGTCCTACACCATGGGGTCTAGGACAAACCAAATAACGATGTCACTGGGTGAATGTAAGCTGAGCCCACTGTAATGCTGTGCAACAGCTACTTTGTAAATAGTAATTATACTGTATATATTCATAACATATTGAAAATCTGTCATAACCTATTTGTTGTAGGCTACATTGTGCTTTCTTAATGGTGTTAGTAAAGTTGAAGAAAAATATAGGTTGTGAGTGGTCTATCTAGCAACATAATTTGTAAATAAATACAACATTTGTAATAAGAGGAACATGATTCTGGATGAAATTGTCAATTGTGACAGTCAAAAACTATTAAGGAGGAAAAATTCCTAGTACCCTTGGACACGCACTGAATGTGCTTGACCATTTTGAGAAAGAGTTAACAGCTCAATATTTTACATGCCAAATTTATTTATGTATTTTATGTTTTGTTTGATTAACAGACCTCTAATTTTGGTGCATTTTATGTTCATGTATGTAAACATTATAGTGGTTTGAAAAAATATATTGTTGAATATATTTATACTTGAGGGCATTACCTTATATGTACGCACTGTAGTTTGGTATGCTCTGTAGCAGAAAAGTCTATGATTAATCTGTGCAATGTGGAAAATAATCCTGCCAAATTTTCAAAATATTATGCCCTTTAGAAATGTATGTTTAAAATGCTTTTGTTGAATTAATTTTTGAAGCAGTGGCACACACATATCCTTAGTAATCCACAAATTTATAAATGATCATAAAATAGCTCTGTGGTTAAATAGATATGAATTAGAACCTCTCTGAAACGATGTACAGTAAATCATCTTTTGATGCCAGTGAAGAAAGTCAATGTGGGGCTGGGGATTATATCGCATGAGATTTTTCTCTGTTCCACCAGGCCTCAGGTTTCTACTGGTGGTGCTTTAATGAACACACTCCCTGCCAACCTTGTCTGATATTTTATGGTAATATAAGGGGAAAAATGTGAGTGTGTATGCATGTTTAATTTTGGTTTATAAGACTTGTTTTTTGCAGAAAAGGGTAGATTCCTATTGTTCTTAATTTAATGTTAAGTGCATCGAAGCTCCGGCATTTTGCACTATAGAAGTCTAACATTATATTATAATAATACTTATAATGTGGTTATAATTGTTTGCACTTTAATACAGAAATTTATGAGCTTTATAATAAAATCTGAACATAAATTTGCTCATTCAGAAAATGCTTTTATTCAACTATCCAGATGAAGCTGTAGATTGGGAGACATATTTGTTTGCTTGCATTTCAATACACACTAAAAACCTTATAATTTAGGCCAAAGAAAGTTTATGTTACACAAGCTAGACTGACCCTAAACCTCAAGAGATATGATGGATGGCAATGAACCATAGGATTAGTCATAAGCCTATGATGAACCATAGGATTAGTCCTAAGTCTATAGTCAAAACATCCAGATCGACCTTGATTTTTCAAATGTTACTTGCTTTAGGCAACACAATAATTTGTGTTTGGCCTTAGATGAGACATATTATAATATGTTTGTCAGATTTATATAAGCATGTATTTATATGTATATATTTATTAGTTATTATATAAGTATATTATAAAATTTATATAAGTGTATATTTATATAAGTATATATTTATCAGATTTATATAAGTACATATTTATGTAAGTATATATTTATCACATTATAGTTTATATTTATATAAGTATGTAAAATTTATATAAGTATATATTTATGTAAGTATATATTTATCAGATTTAGATAAGTATGTAATTATATAAATATGTATTTATCAGAAGTATATGTCTATATAGGTGTGTACATCACATTTATAGTGTATATTTATATAAGTATATGTAAAATTTATATTTATGTAAGTATATATTTATCAGATTTAGATAAGTATGTATTTATATAAATATATATTTATCACAAGTATAGGTTTATATAGGTGTGTACAGGAACTGTCTTGCCATACTCATAATGTTTAAGTAGGAAGTTAGGATTTTAAAGTTTTTTATTTATTTCTTTATTTAAGTAATAATACAGTTTTAGGCCAAATAGTTGAGGGCATAGTCATAGCTACCTGATCCCTACAGTATATTGCACCTATGTTTCACCTAATGCACCACTACCATACTGTGTTTCATTAATCAATAATACAGATATTAAATTTGAGTTACAAAAACACAGCCCAAGGGACTACACGACAGGATGAACATTTTTAATTATATTCATATTAACTGGATTCAATTGATTTTGGCTGTTGAGGTAATGCGAGTTATTATGATTATTGTATGCCAAGATGTTTCCACCAATTACAAGATCAAACATACTTTTTTAACATTATCATTTGATATATTGCTTCATTCAAATTGCTATAGTATTTTTGATCAAACATTGTAGATGAAGTTAAATGATTTGTATATTGTGTTTGGTATTATATTTCATCAGATTTTGAATGTGTAAATGCCAGTTTTAGCCCTTAAATTAAGTGTCACACGAGCTGAATCTTGATAAGAATTGTTTTGTTTTAAATCGTTTATGAATATAAATGTGCTTAAATTATTTTTCTTCACAATTTTGCATACAGTACATAAATATACAATGTATTGTAAATAGGAAAGTGGCTTATCTGTACGTTACTTTGTCATTTTGTGGACAACGTTTAATTATTTATTTTTTGTTATTCAGAATATGTGCCTCTTGCCAATGTAATGTAAATATATAATATACTTAAGATTTATGCCATTATGAAAGAAAAAATATACTGTATTGTTCAGTGTACTATAGTTTAAGAACATGTGGGTAGTGTACCACATAGCATGGGCAGTTAGTACTTTAAAATATAAGCATCAGATCTGCCCGAGTTTAGTGATGGCAGCAGTGAAAGTTGGGGAAATTTTCTCCTTTTTTCCCAGACTTGGAACATTAATTTGCTGACCCAGCCAAAGATATTGTGATTGCAGTAGCACAATCTTACCATCCCTAAACCCTCAAATATCTCTTTTACAAAGAGGTTCTCTCTTTTGAAACTTACTAGGGGACCCCTAGACCTTGGCCCTGAGACCTTGTAATTTGGTCCCGTGGTTGAACTGGTTGGACAATTGTTGGCAAATTTCTGGCGCCATCACTTGATGTGTTACCTCCAGTGCATGTTTGGATCAATGAATTTTGCATGTTCATATTGTTTGATGTTATAATTTAAATATGTACCGGTATGTGTATTTGTTTACAGTTTGTGTATATTTATATGCTTACTTATTGTACATTTCCAGTCAATACAGCTATGTGCTGTGAAGTAGATTTTGGAAATAAAATGAAATAAATTAAATGATCAATTACTTTAGTGGTATACTGTATTCTTTTCAGTTGCTCAACAATTTATCATGTTTTATATATAGCATATTATTATTTTTTAAATAACAAAGGTGACTAATTTGATCTTTTTTAATAACATTTCACTGAAATGTTAATAGCATTTTAAATCACAGAGCAGCATCAGACATTCAATCTCAGGGATTTGATCAACCTGTCTTGCATGAAGTTTGTGGTAATTAATGTTCATTTAATGTGTTGTTTAATTGGATTTGCATAACTGTGCCACGTCATTGGCTGAAATGCCAACCAGATAACAATTAAACCATCTTTCATATAAGATCCTGAAATTACTGCAAGATTATACTGTACTGTATATATGCAGGATTTCTGCTAATGTCATAGGCCTGGCTTCTAAACCGATACCATGCACCAGTTGACTGAACAGCCATATTATCTTGGATAGGCATTACCTCTGCCACAGGGGTTATGTATTCAACATTGTTAGTCTGTTGTTTTGTTGGTTGTTTGTTAACATGAATAGGATCATCATAAAACTTTGCCATGTTTTTACTACTGTATTATCAATTGTCCCCGGGAGAGACAGTGCCAATGGGCACTTGCCGCAGCAAAATAAAGCCTGTTCAAACAGATCTCCCCGGAAATGGCTCCTTACAATTTGGGACCCCGAACTCTGCCATATCACAATCATTGGCTGAAATTCACATCCAGATACTGTACAATTAAATCAGCTTTCATTCCAGTACTGTACTGTGAGAAGTATTTGACAAGATTATATATGCTGCATTTGAGCTAATTTCATAGGTCTGGCTGTGCTTCTGAGCTGATACTGGCACTGGCTGTTGAACAGCAATATCTTGTGGAGGCTTATTAACTCAGCCATGGAGCATGGAGCGGGAGCAGGGGAAATTCCCCCACGAAGTCGCAGATCAAAAATTTAAAAAAAATACGGTAATTTGCCTATCCTTTATATTGATTGCCCAACCTGAATATTGTAATCTAAAAGCCCAATTTGGGCCTTACTAAGCCATAAATACTCACTGTGAGCCCTACTAGGGGTATTTTTATTTCGGGACCAGGATCAAGGCTCTAGTTGGCCTCTTGGTTCGGACCCTGCTGTCAGACCCCCAGTAGCAGATTTCTGGAGCCACTGCTGCATGGAGGTTACAGTACCTATCATTGATGCTTGTTGGTTGTTGGTTTACAGGATTATATAAAATATAATGAATGCATCATAAAATTAAATGGAGCAGTACATATTGATCCAAGAAAGATGTGAATAAATTGAAATTCAAAGGCCATAAAGTCAAATCATATACAGTAGTCTGGCAGAGGTATGCACTAGCCGATCTAGGTTATGTACTTCACACATTCACCACAAGAAAGACGCACACATTTACATGCACTAGTCTTCCCACAATCCCTGGAAATCAGGATAGCCTCTTTCACTTCTCCCCATAAATTCATATTTGGCAAACAAGCAAAAAATTAAGTTGACTTTAGATCCGAAAGTTACAACGTCCACTAGAAAAAACAATCTATGAGATGTCCCGATACTGTAAGCTCAATATTTTCCCCACAATATCCATATTCTGTACTGCAAATATTGACTAACTATTGTTTATTTGCCATGAAAACGTTTAAAACAATATTTTATAAATACTTATTATAAATTTGTAATAAATATTTGCTACTGTTAATGAAAACAAATAAACACCTGACATTCCTTGAAGCTACTTCAATTTATTTAACTGAAACATATGTATGCTGTTCATTCATGAAATTAGAAATCAATTTCAGTAATTATTTTTTACTAATATTTTCAAAGGTCTCTACATTGAATATAGGTTATATACGCTTTGAATTCACAGATTAACATATGCAAAAACAGTATCTTAATAGTAAATCCACCCTCTGTTAATAATGGAATAGCTCATGAGTAAAATGAAACCCCTCCTGTAAACAATAGACTCTTCCATGTAGTATATGTACAAAAAACATCATGGATAAGACATGAATTTGTTTCATTTTCACAACAAAAATATATTTATTTATTCCGAGACAATTTGATTAATTGAAAAAGCCCACCGTCTGTAGACATAATTGTGAATTCTGGAATAAGTGTATACTGTACTTCTTCAGCATTTTTACTTAATATCATTTAGCACGCATGTACATAAATTCATTCATCAGTTGGAATAACTCCCAAGCTGAGTAAAAATTTAAAGTTTATCATACAAAACTCATCAATTTGAATGCATTAGGATAAAAGACCCTACAAGAGTTGTCGATGGAATTTCATCATAAACAAAGGACATGCACGCTGCATGGACTGGAACAACACACTCTGTTTAACAAATTAAAAATTCATTCCTGAATTGTAAAGGAGTAATACATTTACTAGTCAATAAAACAGGTTTTTATTACTCATTTTGATGATGGTAATAGTTGCGTACAATGGCAAACTATTTGTTTCATTATGAATAAGAAATATAGAAATAGGCAGAAGAAATAATACAAATAAAATAAACACACCAGCATTAACTGGGCTTAGAACTCAGAATTATAACAATATATAACTTGTTAATAATTGCAAGTGGACTGACTTTTACTTAAACCATTCTTTCATAAACATTCAACTGTATTTGGTCCTTATAACAAATCATGATATTGATGTTAACATAATATGGTGTGATGTCAACTTTTAAAAAACATCCTTTAAATGGTGACAAATTATAATCCTAGGAATGATATAATTTAAAGCATTTTTTAAGGACCACACACACACACATACACAGATCTTGGTGCGTTAGCCTTGCCCACATGATCAAATGTATGAATTCCGAATCAGTGACGCTTATAGATATGAAATACAGAATACAGACTATGCATTTAATTCATTTTGGAATAGTAATTTTATTACTCACTGTGAAAGGTTCCCCCTATCTACCATCAACATCTAGTTCTGAAAAACAAATGTTTCCAATTGTTTCATGTAATGTACAGTAGTTAGATTTATTTACTGCCGGTGCATAAATACCAGATACCTAATATCATAGGACACCTGAAGCCAGATACACAATATCAGATGTATGTCAGAGCATTGTTGCATGATTTGTTCAGACTTCCCTCTAAAGTAAATTGACAATACATAAAAAAAAATACACATGGGCTTTACTGTACTTCAGACGAGTGTCCGCACAATGCTTACACAGGGCAAAATTTATTTAATGTGCACATTTACTTTGAATTTACAGCACTTTAAAGCTTACAAGTAACTATGCTAATATTCCCAAAGTGATAAGAGCTGGTCTCGTCTCGCAACAGCTAGTTTGCACAAATTCTCAACATTGTAAACAATTATGAAAACATTGTGTCTACAAACATTTACACACCACATTGGAAATCACAATAACATTTGTATTTACTTGAGAAATTAGTGCATCTACACAGCTCATACTCTGAGACTGCTCAGCAGGAAATCATCCATTGTAACTTCCAACTCATCTGACAAAATTCTGATAATGTATGCCTGGCTATACACTTCAAAGAGTTGAAAATAAGGAGTAGACTATTTATAAAAAAAATAAAAAATAATAATTTATACAGTCTTGCCTAAAATAAACAGTTTAAGCCCCATAAATGTTTGCTAGTAATGCCTGCCACTTTAGGATTTGGGGTTGTTTTGTTAAGGAAAGGGTAGTGGAAATTAGTTATTGCATTATCACATCATATTATTAATACAGTGAGGAAAAACACAACAGTAGAAACCCATGGGCTGGCCAATTAAATTTAATAAATGAAGCAAGTTAAAAACACTCTTTATCAAAATGTTAAACTTTCAATTAATAAGAATCAAGGCTAGATAGAAATATTTGATTGTAGAAATGAAATAATTAAAAGGTGGTTTAAAATGCTATGTTGCTTTTTTTTTCCTAATACAAAATCAAAACAAAATTTACCAACCAACATCATGATGATGAAATGAATAGGTTGCTTGAAAGCCTATTAGCAATACTGTGCTAGTTGAGGAAATAATCTTATTTCTATCATACAACACGTTCGACCTGGTTCTTAACCAAGTATAGTAACCACCATAACAAAAACTAAAAGACTTGAACAAAAAACTATCATTTTTGACCTGAACATTTCAAACGAGCAGTTGCCTTTTGAAGTTGTACAGGTCAAATCGATAGTATTGTGCCATGATCAAAACCATTATTTATAAACAAACCAATATAAAAAACAATAAAAATTATTAATATTATTATTATTCTATTATTTCCTTAATATTAGTATAACAATCATTAGCAAATAATGATTGTAAGAATTTGGTTATCACACTGCAGATTGCTGACAGTAGTGTGGGCAGCAAGTATACCATAAAGGAACGATAGCAATAATAATGATAATATTAATAATAATTTCAACAACAACAATAATAAAAATAATAATGATAAAAGCAACAATATCAATAATAATACAGTAATAATAACAATGATGATGACGATGATAAAGAATCATGTCACAAACTGAAGCCTTCGGTGATGGTAAACCCTTGTTCTTTCTTATGTTGATAATTCCTTTGCCATGGTTCTAAATATCCAAATTAGAAATTGATACTTGTTGGTCTGTCCCTTAAATCTCATACTTGCTGTGCAAGTGCACGGCGATACAGCCAGGTTGACACGGGACATTTCCACTTCAGTACCAAACCCATATACTATATACAAATTTATCTGGATATGTTCCTCTCCTTATGAAATACAACAAATGTCTTCCTATCTCTTTACAGTTTGCAAAAAAGTGGTATTAAGATGCGAGTCTCGCATGATCTATTGTAGTGCAAGATTCTGTTGCACGGTCGATAAGTTGACGTGATCGGATTTAATGACAGAAAAGCTTATGATTGACAGCATGGTCTTTTCTTAGGTTCATATGGTTGTGTAGGGGGTATTTTTATAGGTTCCACGTTATCAGTAGGTGATCCGTCTCCATTTCCGCCATCACGGATGTTCTTTTGTGATACAATCTTGTAGATATCTGCAACGAAAATAATCACCATCAATACTGTTAACAAAGTGTTGAATAAATCAATTACACTCTATTGTCACGGGTACATATAAATATATAAAAGCTACAGTACAGTACCCCTGCAAATCAGAGAATTGGTATCTGAGGATATTTATATTCTGTAAAGATACGTGGATTAATCTAGACATGTCAATAATCATAATAGACGTTATTAATACAAAGTTGACCAAACAAAACTTTTTTTTTAAATTATAAATTTTTTTTTTTTTAAATCACCTGTTAAGATTTGATGAAAGGCCTGTTCCACATTTGTTGAATCCAAAGCTGAGGTCTCAATAAAAGACAATTGATTCTTTTCTGAAAGAAAAAAAAGGAACCCAAACCATTATTAAAGGAAAAATTCCATCAAACCATTATTTTGTAGAATTAAAACATTAGGAATAAAACAGTATTCAATCAATTAATTTTAACAAGAATCCATGACTTTGAAATGGGGACAATCAACTGTACTGTATGCTAAAAGGAACAGATAACATGAAGGACTATCAAACAGTAAAGGAAAGTATTTTAACAGAGTGGCAGTTAATTCTACCGTACACTGATTGTCTTCGAGAGGAAGGAACATGCAGTACGTGTAGAAAAACAATTAGAAATGTTACTACCACCCAGGTGAACCCTGCTTGAACTCTGTAATGACATCCACTGCCAACTAAAATTGATTTTCTTCCATTTCAAGAATTCATGAGAAAATGAGTTAAGTGACTGTAGGTATTACAAAAAGACAAAACAATGTTCTTGATGCTGTTAAAACTATGGAGAACACATTAGTCTCTTTATTTTTCAATTCATGAATGTTATTTGATGGCCCATTACAAGGTTTGTCCTTAAGACACTAGCCAAATTATACGTACAGTATAATGTAGTAGCAATGCTAGGAAATCTGAAGTACAAAGTCTAACTGATGGTGCCCTACAAATATTATAAACAGCAATATTCCTTTTTCTGTATAGTAAATTACAAGCTAATGTACTGTACTCATCTAGAAGTAACATACAAACATTTTTGATACTGTAATAGGTTTTTTCAACTCTATAATCTTTCCTAAAGTATCTGCACCAAAGTTGAATACTAAGCGATAATTATTGTACAGCTTGATGTATGTGACAAAATCAGTGCATTACTAGTAGCATTCAACATGTTAGAGAACGGCATATAATTAGCATAAATTATATTAATTAAAATACATGGAAATTAGTTTGTAAACCCAAGTAGGCCCCTACTGCATATAAATTACTTAGTCTAAAGATAACTCTATTCAGCATCATGCATACATCACATACAGAAACTATAGTAAATTAGTTTTAATATATTACACCTTACTGTAATCAATTAATTAAATGAATTAATATTCCATTTGCCTCATCATCATTTATGTTTGAGTCATCGTACATGTTCGCAGCAATGTTTGTAATCAAACCATATGCTGAGGATGGAATATTGTTGTACATTTTGTTGTATTTACGCATTTGTTTATATTCACACATTAAAATATTAGTATTTACACACAACTGTCAAGAGGGATATAAGGAATTCTTAAGCTCTGTCATGATCCAGATTATTAAATTTTCTATTACAAAAAAACTGGTGTTTGCCCATATTATTCATGATATGCCTATAATCATGATGTGATGTCATCATGACCATATTTTTTCAAATAAAATTTGGCAGACTGGCCAGGGCTTTAAATTAGCTACAAAAGTCTGTTTTTTTATTACATATTCTTTTTTCTTCTTTTTTTTTATTCTAAAAAATGCATAGACTTCTGCTTTTAACATGCACTTGGTGAAAACTTAGCCCATTGCTATCCTGACAAATCCGAGTATTAACAGCACAGTAGTTCAAGTAAGTTGGGAATAAAAATTTAAAAGAATTAAAAAACCACTAACAATAATATAATAATAATAATTTAGAATAAGGAAGAAATATCTAACTTTCCTGGGTTAGTTGTTGTTAACAGAAAGCCAATAACAATTAAACCCTGACAGTGCACTTATTGCACTTTGAATAATAACTACTGCATAACAATAGCAATCTTTATTGACTACATTTTGACTTCAACTGATTTGCAAAATACTTTAACAATAAGTTGCACATAATTCCAAACAATTCAGTACCAAAAATAACAAACAAGGAGCGCTGTATGCCTGCCTGGCGACAGTGGATATCCTGCTAATGTAACTCCTGAGCTGTGACTGCCAGCTGAATAACAAAATGAAAATAAATAAAATAAAAAATTATTAGGTTGAAACCTACCTGCAAAGCTTCTAGCTTCATCTGTGGGTACTGCACGTAGATGTCGCAAGTCGCTCTTGTTACCTACTAGCATTATAACAATATTGTTGTCTGCATGGTCTCGTAGTTCTTTTAACCACCGCTCCACATTTTCATACGTTAGATGTTTGGCTATATCGTATACAAGTAAGGCTCCGACTGCTCCCCGGTAGTATCTACAAAGAAAATAAACAAATCAAAAAAATCGGTTATCATTATGCATGTTTATCCACAGGGCTATTCTATTTTTTTCCAACATAGTTGTCAAAACAATGAAATATCAGTAGGGGCTAATAATAATAATGTTCATTTCAATAACCAACATTTTATGGCATCTGAAGTTACTCCATAATATTGATGAAAAAAAAAACCCAGTAATTTTAACACCACTAATAATATTAAACTACTATAATATAAGAGTTTTGAATTCATGCCATTGGCATCTATTAAAATGCTTTGTCTCATAAACTCTCCACACATAATACACTGTAGCATAATTCATGAAAGGTAATAGCAACTGTTTTCAATTGCTCATCAAAATCGATGTTGCATCAATCTATTCTATAGTCACATGAGGAAGAAGATACTGTATCCATCACACTAGACACTGGAAATTCAGAATGGCATTCTTGCAAATTTATTATACTTTAATAACAACAATAATAAATTTTGAGACTATCCATCCAGCAACACCTATTGAAATGTAAACATCCTTCTTTCCATGGTATATAATTGGCTGTACATTTGCAGCATCTGATGACCTCATTTACTTAACCTATAGAAGACTATTTTAGAATAAGCATATGTGTCAGTACTGTACAGTATGCTATAGCCCTGAGAATACCACTGTGTCGGTTTTTATTGTTAATACTATCGTGCCTCCTTAATAAGGAGACCTGAATTCTTAATTGCATTAACTTGAGGTACAAGTGTGAAGATTAATTTTTTAACATTTAATGAAAAAATTGGATAATGTACAAGCACAGTTGGACTAGGGCTGTGTTGATACTACACTGTTGGATTGAACATGAGCCCCGTTCATATCCAACTATGGCTAGATAATTTTAGTCGATGAGCTAGAAGATCTCGCCATAAGTTTGAGTATGACCGCTCAAGTATGGCGAGATGAAGGCCACAACTCGACTAAGCCCGTCGAGTAAATTTATGTCGACTAACTTCTTAATCCAGCCTAAAGCCAGTAAACAATTAAACAGCGGGTGGCCGCAGGTCACGAATACACCAATCAAATTGAAGCAAAGTGACCTTCCATTCTTGCTGGTTAGCGCGTTTTTTAGTTACTGTCATAAACACCATTCAGAATTGACGCAGTCTCCCTGATCTGTGTACTTTAATTTCAACAAGTCTTATTTTGCAAATGATGGCCGAAAAGTCAGTAAAAAAACGCCATCTCTGGACGAAGCGCAGGAATGCGATTTAATAGATATCTGGAGAGAGCCAGAAATCGCCGAAAAAGTTGAAGATAAATTGTATCGTCAGAAGGCTGGTGTCCACGAAAGGATAACAGAGAGAATGCGGGACTCAGGCCACAATAGCATAACATCGGCAATTGTTGTGACAAAGTTGAAAAATCTAAGAGCAGACCACAAGGCTGTGAGAGACGTTTTTATTCATGGGACGGGCAAGGGGTCGGCCAATGTAATAACTACCACGCGCTAAACGAAATACTTGGGGGAAAACCCAGTGTAAACCCTCCAGCTGGACTCCTCGGCCAGTCTAATCAACCGCCGAGACCTAGGCCTAGCTTACGCCTATGTCTCGATCTAGCATAAACTAGTCGCGCGAAAATCAACCCACCATGCGATTGTACTTCCTGTCTAATGATGTGTTTTCCGAATTTTTGGTCAAAATATCTCGCTCTAACCTTAACATCGAACGTGATTAGTGGATTTAATCCAATTAACTTGGCAAGTAGATCAGCTACTTCATCTGGCTATAATCCCATATGAACCTAGCTATGGTGTTTTGTCATTGAACACTAATTACCGCTGGAGGCCGTTCCACCAATGACACCCATTTATACTTGTAATTTTGAAACCATGTTTTAGTAAATAGCGTTGCATTGTGGGGTGTGTGGTCAAATCAACAATTTGCTTTTATCCTAAATTGCTGAGGAGTGCATGTCTTAACTGTACTTTCCGTCCAGCCCATTGTTTGTTAAAACCACAGTAGAGTTATTCCTTATACAGGGGTCTCCCACTAGAACAGTGGAAATTAATAAACTCATCTGCAGTAAATTTGCCTTTTGTTTACAGGTTAGAGCTGCAATTTACAAATGAAAATTATAATCCTGACAAAATTTCAAGATTACCGTCTTAGGTATAACTTGAACATCTTAATCAATTGATGATATTCTGCATTAAAGGCTCCAATAAACCATGAATAAACTATGCAGAAAAGTTTTTCAATAATAAACTGTACACTTCTTGGTGACCTCGACTTGGTCAGTGATTAATTACCACTTGATGTTGCCTGCAGGCACAAGTAGAAATCCCAATCCACCGAAGGGCCCGTTCGGACGAGTAAAGCTTTACTGGGTACTTCCAACTGAGAGGCCACGTGTGGCAATTAAATTTTGTCTCTAGCCATAAAAAATTAAGAAAAACATCTGTCCCAAAAACCCATCTTTTTTAGTGGATATTTCAATTACCGCTGCCTCCAGGCACCGGGCCAGAGTAAAATTCCTATCGTTCAATCCCGTTCCCATTTTCTCATAATACTTTAACTCCTTATGAAAATAACTTAAATAATATTTAAAAGCATTAAAAATATTTTAATAGTAAGAACTTTAGCAAAACACAAGAAAAATGATGTTTAAACTTACAACAAAAAAAAGTTTTTTACGGTAGGCCAGCGAGCGAGGAGCGACATTTTTACATACGTCCCTGTATTCGTTCAAATGTTGTATTTCTAAATTATAGTTTATTATTTGTTAAGTGAGTATTACTGCTTTAAAAACTTGAAAATTATAATTAAATGTAATTTGTATTTCAATAACAGAAAAATAATTTTATACCTACTTTTAAATTAGTTTTGTTACAACAACTTAAAGAGTTGTTTTACAGTCTACAACAACATGGCGTTTGACTAGCGGCGGACATGTGCCGAATGTAATAAAGTTTTGTTACCAGTGAAGAAATCACTTGAAGCTCCAAATGAAGTTAAGGCTAGATTATGTATAGTTTTAAACAGTAACAACAAAAATATTGCTAAAAAACTTGTGTCTGACCTTGGTTGAAGGAAAGACATACGAGAAGTTACTGGTTTTACCGGTTCTTATTCTACTCGTCCGAACGGCCGTCGGAATTATCCCCAAGGCTATTATTAGATTACACATGTATTTGAGTTTACGTCCGAACACGGACAAATTTGGGGATTTTTTGAAGTAGCCTTTTAACCAGGTGTTTGTAATCACACGGAATCCCTATTCCATTTATACAACACACATTGCTGCTAAGCAGTGTTAAAGCGTGTTGTATAAACGGGCCATTACTGTATATAACATACAAGTTTACTGCTAGGGTCATACTGTACATCACTGCTTTCTACATTTTTACATTTAAAACTTGTCACTAAGTTAATAAAAGTTATGAATAAAAAAGTAAACTCAATACAGATAATTTACTTTTTAAAATTCTTAATTAACTTGGAAATTTATAACAATTCCATTTTCCAGGCCAGTGAATAATAGTATTTCATAAGCACAAGATATAAATGTATCAATAATAATACACACTGAACAACTTTCAATCATATTTAATTTGATCACTTTTCTGAGAAAAGTATTCTCTGGCAAAACTAACACAAATTTAATGTTGGCTTCTTTAAGTCCAGCCTCCAGCAACAAAGGTGACACAGACATGAAACATATTATTCAACAGACCTGTCAGAATGCATCTTCATATACTATAACCAACTCAATAACTGGGGTTAAATTGAGGCCAACTGACAGTGAGCCAGTAAGGAGAAAAGCAAATTCTGTTTCTGAAAGGATGATGAATTCTAGTACCTTGAATGCATTTTGGAAAATATTTGCCTATAACTTTTTTGAAAATTTGAGTTGTACTCAAGAACACACTCTCACTTTCTTATTTGTATAAAATAGATCTTGTTAAACACCGTTGGTATTTATTATGCAAAACAATGAGAATCAGTTACAGATCTGAATCCAAAAATTAAAAAAAAAAAAAAAAAAAAAATGAACTACACATAGTTTAGTTTAATTTAATTCCTCTGTGTAGAATCATTGAGGTTTCAACAAGGAAGTTCTAAAATAAAATCACAAAACCAACTGGTAGAGTGGCTGCATTTAAATGGAAATAGTATCAGATTACATTTAAAATGTTTGACAATATAGCAGTGTTTGCTAATCATATGTTATCATGCTCCCCTTCATGTTATCATTTTGGAATATAGTTTTTCCGTAATATGGTGGTAATCATATCTACAGGTAGGACAGCAACACCAGCCATCTCCAACTAAAACCGTGAAATGTTATGCCATTTTATGCGGATATGAAAATATGCAAAACTGTAATTCAAAATTTAATGTTAGGTTTAGTAGTATTATGTTTATACACATATTCAAGTTAATGGTTTTTATTATTGTAAAGTCCTATTATACCATATAATGGTTGAAATAAACAGTCCATTATTCACGACGATAACAAGATTAATTAAATGTTAATAGTACATTTTAAGAACCATAATTGAATACAACAGATAATAAAAAGTAAATAAACTTACGCGCTTGTGATAGCTCGATACCTTTCCTGGCCAGCCGTGTCCCAGATTTGTGCTTTTATCGTTTTGCCATCAACCTGAATGCTCCTAGTGGCGAACTCCACGCCAATTGTACTCTTGCTCTCCAGGTTAAATTCATTCCTTGTAAAGCGTGACAGAAGATTACTTTTTCCTACGCCAGAATCACCAATGAGAACAACTAGTGGAAGGAATAAAACATTTAAAATTTCAGTTTTGGATTCAAAATAAATGAAGTTGAACCAAAGAATAAAATCAAAAGGCTAGAGTATATTTCAACAAAAACCAAGATTGATATCAGATAAAGAACACGATCCTAATTGACAGTACGCTGTCTTGAGGATACTGGCACACTCATGTGGGGACAAAAATTGCCAGTTTGGTTGGTGCATTTAGTTATTAGAATTCCTTCTGACAGTAATCAACAAAGTATAGAGTTAAAAGCTTCTTCATGATTCATCAATTTATGTCTCGTAATCTTTTTTCTGAATTTCCAATTCTTAATGGTACTGTACACAGAAAAAAAAAAGATTAGGGCCTATGTAAATGTATCGTTGTTTGGATTTTATGGTACCTACAGTAAATACTTTTCGTTTAGTATGTGGTTGGCTTCAAATAAAGGAAAATGCAAATGCGTTGTTTAAAGCTATCTGTAATGTAGAGATTCTTATTCCTGTAGTACTTCAGGGATACTCATTGAAGGTTATGAATATTAGTGACTCTTGCTTTTCGGTTGTAAATTTTAGAGACACACCTCCAACATGTCACCAACTGAATATACTGTACTGTATTCCTTTCAGAACCAACATGGATATAGCTGCTACTTATGATAACCACATAATGAATTGCCAATATACAGTAAACATTTTTTTTTTGCCACATTAACCTTCAATGAAATGATCAGCTGAATCTAGTACTGTAATTTTAAAGCATTGTTGGCAGTGGCACACCCACTGATCATTGTGGCTAGATTTTCCTCCAAAACCAAAATATATCTACTCTGTTACACGCTTCAGTTGATATTCTGAATCAATCAGGAAATGCAGAAAGGGGAAGAAATGAGCAAATGAGTGCTAGATTATGATAATAAAGAATGAATCAGTCAGGAACACAATAGAATACCGGTGAATCACAAAGTTCCCACTAATGATTAATAGTAGTCCGAGTTTGAGAAATGCCGGTTGACTTAAAAATGGACCAGCAAAGCATATTTTGCTTTGACAAATTTAGCCCACGACTCCATTTCAACCTGTACCCAAATATCATTTAATTGATAAACAAATAATATTTTATAATTTTAGTCATTTCATCAGTTTTAGGTTATTTGAATTTAACAATGAACAGGGATAACCCCTAAGATAGTTATAACACTAGCACAAACAATTATAAATTTGTGAAGTCTTCTTCTTCCGTTTAAGAGCAAACTTTATTGTTGAAGGCTACAGCTTTCTGGCTCTAGCTTTTGCAATTTTTATGTATCATTGGAAAAAAATCAGAGTTACTTACTGGGGCAACTGGCAAATCACATGATAATGGGTAAACCATTCTAAACCGATGCCTGGTTAACTTCTTACAATAATCTTATTCATCTTACTCTCACTCTATATGTGGATGGCATTAACACACATTTGCACTTAGATCGATGGATAGTAATTGTAACTACTGTACTGTACTTTGCAATTTTGAGTAAACTTAAGTAGTAGCTATATGAAATAATAAAATAATTTTCCGCAAATTTGCAATAAAAAAAATCAGCCTATTTATAATAAAAAATAAACCTATTTCTTATGTAATGAATAGTAATCGCATCTGCATAGCCCCGCAAAACAAAAACGATACAGAGCATACAACATGCTCTTAAATTTAGCTTAATCACTGCTTGAAGCTGTAGCTGTTATTTTTCATATTTATTATTTGATTTATTGAACAAGATTCAGGTGAATTATGTTTCAGCCATAATATTATTCATGGAGGTGTACCTCCATGTATTATTGGATTGAAATATAAATCTGCTCACACTGGCAATGAAATGATACAACTCAACAACTCAACGCCTCAGTTGGCCTCAAGGATAGATAGTACTGTACTACTAGGAGCACATTTTTGGTTGTATGTCAGCCTAATAAAACAGGGCATGAGATTTAACAACAGTATCTGTCACATATTATTTTCAAATTATGAATTTAGCATACCATTACAGTTTTAGGTTCTTCAAGTTATAGTAAGCCACATTACAAAAAGGTGCTGTGAAGTATGTAAATCCCTACTCTTATTACAGTAGCTATTTTGAAAGACAATCTCACTGAACTGACAGTGAAAAGCAGGGCTGGTGCGGGGAAATCTATGACTGTGCTTGGCCACATGAAATCTGTCGACGGATTTTATGAATTAACGATGCATGGCAGACTTCTGCAAAAAAATTGTATTGATGTCTTGCCAGGAAAAAGTGCAACCAATACAAGTAACTATAGTGACATTGATTCCATGTTCACAGCAATTTTTTTTAGGGCATAGCTCAGGTCTGGCTAGAACCACATATTATTATTGTATTCTTGAGTTCCTACTTCAGTGAACTTATATTTTTTTAACATAGGCCTAGAAAATTAAATTTTGCTGTGCGTGGTGATATCTCATCAAATGCTTAACTTAAGGTTAACAACTGAAATTGCAGATATGTGCACTAAAACCATGTGCTAAAATAATATCATGAATTGTAGGGGATGGCTAGGTTAGGTCTACATGTAGATTCTGAAATATTTTGGCTTGGTGGTAGGACGTTTTCTGATGACCCTGTGACTCGCTGGAGACTTTAAATTCCTGTGTACATGGACTAGCCTAGCCTCTAGGCCCTACTACTATGCTTTACTTTAGGTTGACATGGGCTAGGCTAGTTCTGGCCTATGCCTTGCTAGGCTAGATTATATGACTGTTCAGACAATCATTTTCATATTTCATACATTATTCATATCCCACCAAGACATTTTAAAAATTGGTGATTTAATGATCAACAAGTAAACAATCATCATTTAGCCTTGCCTATGTCTAGTTTATTTATAGAAAATGTTATAGGTTCAGAATGACAACCTAAGCAATAAATATATATCTTTAACTTTAGCCTAGGCCCCATACCTAGGCCAGCTTAGAAATTTCCAACAACCAATTCACCCTCAATTAGCCGTTGGCGTACCTGGAATTTGTGGTAACCTCCTTCGGTCCGGCTTAGGCCTAGCTTGGTTAGGTATCATCATCCCAGTGATGCGACCATACCGCTGTTAAGCAGCAAAACAATTAAATGATAACTAGAAAAGATACCTAAATAATAAGTGATAATATTCTATCGAATTACCTTTAAATAAATAATCATATTCATCGTCTTTGGTACCCATCGTAGCGACAAAACGTAAAGCTTTCAACTCCTTCACCTACAACTTCCGGATTCAAAACCCTTTAGTTTCACAAATGAACAGAAGTAGGTGAACTGACTGAAGAAGAAATTGTCAAATATATATTCGTAAGAGTTCTTTTCTAAAATAAAAACTATATAAATGTAGCTTTTCGACCTTCGATGTTCAAGATATTTCGTGATATTTTCTATGATTCATTCGCCAGATAATAGATGACGTTCACCAACAGCTATGGCGGTGTCCAGCCAAACGCCCCTTTAGTTCACTGCGCATATAAGTGACGTAATTTGTACGCAGCGAAACGGGAATACTGTCCCGGATGTACAAACATTGATCGATGGAATTTACCACGGCCGAGTTGATAACTCCAGATTCTAAATAAGATCGTGTGTTGTATTTTATTTCGCTATAAGGTTATAGGCCTATATAAAATGCACGTAATTAGGTGAGAAATGCAGGATAAAATCCTATAAATACCCCAGTAATGCGATATGATTAGTTATCAGTTAACCAAACCAAAGGTAATAATTTGTCTCATAGTGTACGGTAAATAAAAGGTGAAATATCTCGGACTTTGTTTAATGTAAGTACTGTATAATGATATTTTTTCGGGCTTAACATAAAAAGAAACCTGAAACGAACATTAACATATACGTATTTATAATAAATATTAAAACCATTAACTAGTATAATAAATATTAAAATATACATTTCACTAAATCGTCAATGGAAATTAAATTTAAAAAAAAAAACCAAAAAAACAAAACCTTGTATAGGCCTATGCTTCAATCACTGTATGTAGGCCCTACGCAGAAACGAAATTGGAGGGTTGCTTAATATTATTTGCTCGTTGGACCATGTTGGACTATTATTGCTTCGGGCGCAAAAACTCTTTTGGAGTCTCCGCCGCCGCGTACCCGGAAACTCCCGGAAAAAACGGGGGGTTGAGTTGAAGTTCTCTCTGAAGGAGCGCTTCAATTAAATACTAGTTCAGGCAGTTTAGTTGAATTGACTTGGTTTATATGCCACCAAACCTCCGAAATTGGAGTACTCTACCGTCGCAGAAACTCCGATTTCCGAGTTCTTCACGGTTTATAGTACAGGGTTGATTAGAAAGTTGTTGCTCTCTCATAGAGAGTTTGTTTAATTAATAATAAGTTTAGGATGCAACAAAACCTCCGAAATTTAAGTATTTGCGCCCGCCGCCAAAATTTTGGAATTGCTGCGTATAAGTACGACGCAAGAACTTCGGAATTTCAGTGGCGGCGGGCGCAAATTTCAATTTTCAATTTTGCGTAATACACAGAAACCCCCGGAAATCGGAGGAAGGTTTGATTAGTAGTTGTTTGCTCTCTCTATATAAGGTGAGTTTCATTAATTAATAAATAATAGTTTTAGGCCTTAATACCTCCGAAATTGGAGTATTTCCGCGCCCACTAAAACTCTGATTTCGTAGTACGCAGAAACTCCGAACCGCGGCGGGTGCAGACACTCCAAAATTGGAGTAAGTATGCTCTGTAACAAAACACCATGTGGTCTACTGTGTTAAATGCAGCAGAAAGATCAAGGTACCTTGCAGGCTCGAGCAGCCAGAGGGGTGGGGGAATTTTCTCCTGACCCCCACCCCATAAAATGATCGGTAATGTGAAACAAAAGAACACGGTCTTCTGTGACAAATGCAAAGATCAATCCTTGCAGGGGCGAGCCAGAGAGGGGGTTCAAAGTGGTCTGATACCACCCATCCCCCCTTCAAATTAATAAAAATGTTAAAAAATATCCCGATTATAGTAGTGAATGATCGGTAATGTGAAAAAAATAAAATACAGTTATGAAATGTATACAAGACACCCTCCTTTTATGATTTACAGAGTAACGTAGTAACCCTTCCCTCGGGCCGGCGCACACTCCGTGTCATCTATAAATCTCGAATGTTGACGTGCGTATAGTAATAATTACAAATTAAATTAAAAAAAAAAAAACGTTTTGTTTCAATCATGGTACGGTACCGTAACTCTCTGATTACCCATATCGAGGTAGCAAATGAAAACACGGTAATTTATTACAGTACCGTATTATTTGGTATACCGTAATCAGGCAAGAGTTTAATCTCTTTCCTGATATGTTACAGTTTAACCTCCCTAGTGCGACCACTCCCGATCACCTCCCTTTACGCCCACTCTCGTTATGGTCCTGTTTGTTCTCTCCTCTAATCAGTGGTTAATACCTCTCGTACCGTACCACCAATACCACCTCCCGCAAGTAACCGCGACTACTTTTTGACTTTCGGATTTTTTGTAATGGTTTACCTCCCGTAAGCAGCGACCATAATTTAACAAGAAACTTGTCTGTAATTCCTGATGACATAATTAATGTCGAAATATTGAATCCCAACACGATGGCGTGTATTTCAATACTTGGAGTATGTATTATACTTTCTTATCTGAGATTAATCAGTGGACCTTTCGGTTTTTGTCTGTAATACTTAAGTATAACATAAAATTGAATTTCGCGGTCAGATTTTAAAGTTAAGAAAGAAATTTACATAAACACCACGTTACACGGAAAGTCAATAAAAATAGCATTACAAATGTGGAGAATATAAACGTGAGAAACTTTAAAACTGTGAAAAATCTGTTAAAACTTTTAACAATGATGAATTAAATTAAAACCTAGTTGTACATGAATGAAATAGATGGATTCTATTTGGCAAAAATGAGTACCGACATATTATACAAAGTGATGGAGGCAAATGATGTTCGATCTGTTGTAATAATTATAAGCAGAGTGTAGAAGAGGACGTGTAGGATCTTTCACCAGGCCACCTTATGTAAGTTAACGGCTACAGATTTGTCATAATTATATTGATGATACTCGGTGTAAGGTCAGTGTGGTATTAATGATGCGTTGGGCAAGTTTCCTAGACCTTTAAAGTTTCCTTTTTGTCGTTAACTGTTGCATTTTAATGCAAAACCTTAAGTCTGTGATCGAATCGGATTATTAAAAAGTCGAACCGAAATTATTCAGCAACACTATTAAAGAAAATAATAATATAAAAGCGATAAAATAAAAAGGCCTACGCTTTCTCATGTCCAAAAAATGCTTGCACAACATCCTATTTTTAATGCCTATTTAAAAATATGCCTTCATCGGAGAGTCATGATTATAAAATCATTAAACTTTGTTGGTGGAACTAAAGAAGAGTGAAATCTCACACCAAATTTATTTTCTTGTTTACACATTGGTTCTGGCAATTTTTTTTTTTTTTGTTAGAGGCGCTATAAAGTAACGTTGTAAAACCGCTTAATTCTATCTTTTATCACGTGAAATAACGGAAATGTTCCGGGCCTTCGGTCCCTGGACCCTGAGCTGGGCCCTTGTCCAAGCGTGTTCGCTCGCTGCGCTCGCAAGGATTCACCCCCTCAGATTTTACCCTGGCTGCTAATTTTGGAGCAGCCATGTAGATTGGAGACAATAAGATGAGATTGTTTTAATAGTTGGAGTGCAAGTCAGGCAGAATTTGTTGCTATCAGGAGCGGATCCGGTAGGGGCACGGGGGAACGTACCCCCACCCCCGTTTTGCCACAAAAATTTAAAATTTCAAGGCATATATTGAAATTAGCGCTCTCATTTATCACGGGGGAACGTGCCCCCCCCCCCGTTTTGCCACTAAAATTTAAAATTTCAAGGCATATATTGAAATTAGCGCTCTCATTTATCTATTCTGAATATGCTGTGTCCCCACCACCTCCCCCCTCCTTTGAGGATCCGCCCCTGGCTATGCAGGCGAGTTGGTTACACAAGGTTTTTTTGTTGTTCCTCATAGTTTCCGCCGACCAAACCACGATAAGAACATGCAACTCCCCTGATTGTTAACCATCTGGACATGCATTTGACAATATTAAACCATACAAACGATTTCAGATGTATAAAGAATTTCATTTTATTAAATAATATTTTGTACAACAAATACCAATTTTCTTTTGTTCCTTATGAAACACTTTTGTTTATATTGGCGAACAATCTAATATATTCGACAAACGTTTAAATTATTTATTAAATACTACCTTTTTTAACATATCATTTATGAACTAACGTACCGGTATACTACCGGTAATTCAACAACGTTCAATTTGCGATTATCAAAGCACATCGCTTTATAATAAGACAATATAGTTTAAATTAATTATACAGTATTTGAAAAATTAAACATCCTTATTGGTATGGTGGGTCGGGACGCGTCCCTATTTTGCAGGGATATTCGAGTCACATTTACCCTTTCAGACAGCTGAACGATTTCCTTAAGAAGATGTCTTGCATTCTTGAAATTACTTAAAGCAAGGGCTATTCCTTTACGTTGCCATGCACCAATATTTCGTTTTCTTTTAAAATGTCTATCTCAATACGTATAAAATTAAAGAAAATAAAAATAAATAAAAATATATTTATTATGCACTAATTTTGCCAAAAAAAGGTTCAACATAGAACTTCTATACCTGCTGTCAAATTAATACAATTTGCAAGTTTAATAAGGCAGATTAATAGTTCTATAAAAGAACCGTACTTTAAAAGAATAATTAATATCCTTATGGTTTTTATTAGCAAATTAAGTTTTTAATATGTAACAAAAACAATGGACAGAGGAAAAGCAGTATTGCAATCTTCCTTTACAAATTATGTTTGTTGGTAGCTCAGATTTTTACCATATGGATCGGAGCGGACCCATATATAATCTTTCCGCTTGCGTTGCTCAAAGAAGTAACAGCCAGTTATACAGCAGCAACAAATGAGACCGACGAACACCAGGAAACCAACAATGCTCACAGACACCACGATAATTAGCCATATCCTGAAGGAATAATCATTCAACTTTGTATCAGTATACCTATATACCTTGTAATAATTTCATAAAAGTGTGGGTTGGTAGTCGTAATAAATGGTGGGAGGATGGTGGTGGAGGTGAATCCCCGACAGCAGAAAAAGTGAGTGGAACCAGAGGCGCGGCTCAGGGGTGGTTCAGTGACATTTGTTGCTTTTTTTCTTCATGACAATTAAGTTGTGTTGAGCTCCCGACAGGGCGGAAAGTGGGTACCAGCTCTGACACCCATCCCCCACTGGTGCTCTCTATATAATCATAAGCATTAATAGCAGGCGTTCTTAAATTTGTCTTCAATATTTCGACTTGAGAGATTTACCTACTTGGTCGCAATTACAAACGCTGAGAACTTACTTGAATGATTGTGTACAGCAAGAATCTTGGTCATTTATACGACAGCACACGGTAGCTGATGGTGAGTCGTCTAACCGTGGACAATATTTAAACTTATAATCGTCAGGACAATCATCAGACAATGTACCTACAGAGAAAACAGGCCCCCTTTCAACAAATGGTTTGACACTGGCATGGAAGTTCCTGGATGATATATTATTTTATTTTATTTTTAGGGTCTAATAGGCTAAATTATGATACCAAAGTATTCTTACCTCTGCTATACGGAAGTTAAATAGATAAATAAGAACGGGAGCCATTTTTCATGCTCCAGAGCTATAGGCGTATTGTGGAACACTCACTTAATAGAGACAAATTTATGTTTTATACCGCTTATCTGTCGCTTAAATAAGATTAAACTTTACCTGTAACTACAAATATCAACACGGCAACTACTGACGCAAATTTCATTTTGGTTTTTTGTTCAATAATCGACAACAAAGAAAGCCTCAGTACGAACAGAAAAATGTTGCAACAGGGAAGTAAAAACGTACAAAAACAATATTCTGAAAGTTTTTCCTGGTTGAAGAGCGGTCACCACAAACACCCTAGTTCGAAAATAGAAGGACGCCATCTATATTATTGAAATATCGTCGGCATTCAAAATGTAGCTTTATATATTAATTTATAATTTTATATTTGAATATTTTCATAAAAAATATAATTTATTACAAATAATAATAATTTAATTAAGTCTATAAAATTTAATAATGAACTATTTAGTTTGCTGATTGTTTAAATTCCAGCTTATTTACAACCTACTTTTCGAATTGATGCAGAGGCCAACCGGTCAGTTTTAAAAATTCAGATTTGCTGGACTGTTGCGCGGTGGTTACGTGTTGGTGTGTGGAGGGCTTAATTTAATATGTTTATTATCCAGTTTTTTGGTTGCTATTGAGGTATTTAGAAAATATACATTCATACATTTGGTTGTTAGGTTTTGCACTGAATCAAATAATTTAATAAATAAGCTAAGTATAGGCCCTAGCCTCTAGGCAAAGGCCGCCCTACTAGGCCTAGGCCTACCTACTAGCCTAGGGCTTACCTCTAGTTAGGCCTAGGCTAAGCCCTATCTGGCCTAGCCCCTAGGCCTAGCGTATCTTATTAGCTAGAGGGCCTAGCTTAGGCCTTATGCCCTTTTTTTTAGAGAGAGAGAGCGAGAGTTTAGGCTATGCTTAGCCTAGGCGTCGTGGGCCCGATTTAGTTAGAGTGTGGCAAATTCTGACCGGTGGACAGAGAACCCCGAAGGAAGTCGTCTGGCCGGCGTGCAAACTCGCCCCATTTGATGGGTAGTAGTAGTAGGAATTAGGCCCATAGCGGCCGCCCTCCAGAACGGCCGCAGACATGTGTATATGTATGGAACGTCGATGACGCATTCACAATGCAGTACAGTTTAGTTTAGTTAAGTGGTTTGGCATAGGCCTAAGTCAAGTAGGTTTGGCATAGGCCTAGGTCAAGTCGGTTTAGATTGGGGTAGGACCGGTTCGGCTGTGAACAAGTTCGGCCGAGATATATTTGTATGGAACACCAAGTAGGCGCAAAGCTGTGCATGCTGTACGTGTGTGTGTGTGGTTAATCTATTGCTGCTACAGTAGCTAGAAACATAAAAAAAATTGAAATGTTGCAAATATTTTTTAAATTATTTTTATAAGAAAGACATAGCTGAGTGAAGCATTTTAAAACAAAAATTATGTAAATCGGACCAGTATCAGCGGAGATATTGCAATTTTAAGTATGTTTTTTTCCCGGAGTTAATTCCTATGGATGCCAGTCAATTCGAGCGGATGTCAGTTCAAGCGGATGCCAGTTCGAGCGGATGCATTTAGTGCGAAGGCGAATTTATCGTCGCCGTTCAATGTTTGAATTACAGTCTTGGCAACTCCGACTACCAAGACGGCCGCTAACAAGTTAAAACTAATAGAATTGCGCACTTTTCAGCTTAAAAAAGAAGAAAGTGTATGTTTTACTAGAGTGCATGAGAAGCACACACACACAAGACGAGTGACCATTATTTTTTTTCACGGAAACAAAGTGGGGTGGCTGGCCACCCTATTCACCACCCCTTCCCCAGATCCGCCACTGGTTGGGGTTCTGTATTTAAAAAAGCAAATTATATTTGTAATTGAGTTATGCTACTCACTTACCTTTTCTGGAACTGTTGTGTGTCCCCTTCCTTCCCCTTTGAAAATGTCAAATTTTTAGCTCAAATTATATTTGTAATTGAGTTATGCTACTCAATTATCTATTCTGGAACTGTTGTGTGCCCCCTTCCCCTTTGAAAATGTCAAATTTTTAGCTCAAAAATAGGAAATTTTGAAGTAATTCGTATATAACTCGCACAGATTGATGTTCGCACAAGTGGATCTTCTTCCGCTCAAACTAGCATCCGCTCGAATTGGCCTTCGCTCGAAGTAGCATCCACTCGAATTGACTGGTTCCCGTATTTATCAGTATTTATTTATGTAACATCACATTGTCTAATTATTATACATAATTAGTTATGTAATTATTAAGTTAGGTCAGCGGTCACCATCACATGTCAGTCGCTGTTTAAGGTCAAAGGTCACCTGTAAAGGTCAAACGTTTAAATATGAATTAACACTTTTCAGAGTGGAAATTTGGGTAATTAGCGAATTTTAAAATTATTTATTATGCACTAATATTATTATTATTATTTATTATTATTATTATTGCTGTGTGTAGCAATTGGCTGCTTAAGTTTCAGCACAACGTCTCGCATTTCAAGCACAGCACCATTAGTTAAGTGTCGACCATCGAGCCTACAAATGCCATCTTCCTCAAGACTGGATAAATTAATCCCTAGTGCATCTGAATATTCACCGATATAATTTGCATCTTCTTCCATGCTCTTACAAAATAAAAAAAAAATCAAATGCAATGATTATTCATTCTAAATATTTGTTTACTTACAATGTATACTAGCATTACATGTTTTAATTAAATAAGTCATGAATGCAAATTATTATTGTTTATTTATAACATAAACAAAATAAATGATGCATTTAGATGAATACTGTACCTTGTTTAAAATGTAATGAAGATGATCAAACAGCACCAATAAAATGGAAACTTAAAATGCTAAATGTATAACAATTTAGTATGATTTGTTTAATTATTCATACCATTGTAGTTACATAAAGTTAACAATATGCCTAATTAATGTAATACTGAGATTACAGTAATTAATACAATTTGTTTTATAGAACTATGCCTAAGTTAAAATTATTAATTTCTTAAAACATAAATTCTCAATAATATGAGTTTAACCCATTCATATCTATGCTTTAAAAATATAATTATTTTTATTAATTAGTAAATAATAATTAACTAAAATTATTTCTACAAGAGTAATAAAATTATGTTTGTTAACAATTGGAAGATAATATTTATGTAAATATGCTGTTATATAAATTATTTTAATTTATTTATTTCTACAAGAGTAATAAAATTATGTTTGGTAATAATTGGAAGACAGTAAAATATTTTACCTAAATAAGCTGTTGTATAGTTTTGTGAAATTATTAAAACAAAAAAAAAACAAAAAAAAAATAATTGATTTTTATAAATAAGTTTCTGATTTTTTATCTAAAATAATACATGACAATTACAAACATTTATAATTTGTTATATACTTATTAGATTTCATAATAAACATCAAATTTATATTAGGCTAGATTTCATAATTATTATAAACTGATAGATTCTACGTAAAATAGATAGAAATCTCCTAACTCTACACTAGGCCTAACTGTATGCTCAGACAACACGGTAGCCAGCGGGGAAAACAACATTTACCCCGCGTGTAGCCGTCGTAAAATTATCAAGGTGTGCCGGGTATTGCTAAACCCCGCAAACACCGCATACCCCGCAAACCTCCAAAAACACAGTGCAAACCCCATCCAAACCGTGTGATAATGATTGAATCACATAGTATAGGACTCAACTTGGTATCTCAATAAAAAAAATCTGAATTTTATGTTCGTCACAACATATTTTTGGGGTAAAAATACCATTTTTTGTATAAAAAAATTGCTAAACCCCGGGGTTTAGCAGTACCCGGGGCGCCCTCTATTCGTTGGAGCCCAGCCTAGCTCCAGTACGCGACAAGGTAATAGAATATGATATTTCGGAAAATCTTTTTAAATTATTAGTACGACAATTATTATTTAAAACTTACTTACCTTTATAGTTTAAAAACTGAAGGAAAAAAACCTGTTAACAAAAAAACTAGCGAAGGATTTATTCTATTCTTGAAAAGCTTCAAAACATTTGTTGTAAAAAAAAAACTTTTACCGAATCGGTTCGTGCGCTTGAAAAAAATATTTTTTGGCTCAGAATTTATTTCTGGTTAGTTATCCGGAACTATTTCAGCCAAATTGTGATATATATCCGCGAAATACCCAATTAATACATTGGGTATCCTATATCCGCCGGGGCACTATTTTCTATCGTGATGTTTGGAACTTCGAAAAAACAGCACCCCCTATCGGTTTTGTTTCTAGCTAGCTACAGTATCCATTATTTCGTGTTTTATTGTTAGGTCTTTTATGTTGCCAAATAATGAATGTGGTTTTAAGGAAATCCGGGCATTATTATGCTGCCATTAGTTTGGCAAGACAACAGTGGATTTTATTAGGTTTTGTATAAGTCCCGTATAAGTTAATAATCAATGATTTAGATGGCATATATTTCGTTTCTATTTAAAACAAACGAATGTACATTATATATGCAATCATATGTTGATAATCTTGTATTTTGCTGCAAATTAATTAATGTCGTTTTAAGCAATTCAATGGCATTAATACTGCAATGAGTTTGCGAAAAAAACAGTGGATTTTATTAGGCGACCAGGTCTTGCAATACATGACCTGGGCCGAATCATCTTCATATCTGAACGTAAACTGAACCAAGGTCACCTTAATACCAGTCGATTTTGACATCTTATACCATAACATTTCCCATAAAACCTGGGGCATAAGAGGAAATGTGAACGTTTGTAGTGTGACCCTGAGCCGACTTAAGGCCTGTTTGTACTTGCAACAATAACGATAAAAAGCTAAAAAGCAATTGTTCATATAAAAAATAAAAGAGATAAGAGAAATTTTTACACTAGGACGATTCGATAACGAATTATCGTGTATACGATAACAAAATATTTTGACAAATCAATTTAAATGATATCATATTCATGGAAAAAAAATAAAATCGTTGTTACTACTACAATTTTCTCGTTTTCCATGATTATGACGTCATTTGAATTGATTTGTCACAATATTTGCTTATCATGTATACGACAAGTCTTAATCGAATCATTCTAGTGTAAAAACTTTCATTAGTTCTTTTATTTTTTATATGAACAATTGCTTTTATAGCTTTTTATTGTTATCGTTGCAGTATAAACGGGCCTTCAAAATGCTAACCGAATGGAACTGTCGTTTTGAGTCGGCTGTATTTAAGGCGGCCCTGGGCCGATATAATAAGTCTGATTCAGGTCCTAAGTCAGTAGCCTTGCTCTTCAATTGGAAAGGTTTTTAGTTAGAGGGTGACCTGTATTTTTAGCATATACAATGTGACCTAAAAGTATAAAAGTGATTTTTTTCATTACAGGTTGATAAAAAAACGTTTAGAAATGGACAATGTACATGTTGCCATTCGTGTTAGACCTCTCATTACAAGGTAAGTGTCTCCAATGTAAATTAAGTTTTTAAAAATTAATCGAATGGAATAAATTATGAACCTACCGAGTGGATGCTATTGAAAGACTGGTTCTAATCTACTAATTCTTCACCTAAGCTAAGCTTGGTTGGCCGCTTTGAATTCATCAGTCCTTTGGTTTATTGTAGGGAATCAAGTCATGATGTAACCTTATACTGGAAGGTTGAGAATAATTCAATATGCCAAGTGGATTCAAAAAATAAAGTTGCTGGTAAACCTTATACATTTGGTAAGTTTCTAAATTAATAGTATACATTTATAAGCATATTTGAGGCATGTCATTGCATAACCAGCTTACTGTCGCTAAATGTTAAATTGAGTGAATTAGCAGAATGTGGCCGTATTGTATACTTTAGTACACAGAAGCTGTAATACTTTTACTCATAACTTAGGCAGTAGTATATTTTAGTAAATGACCCATCAAGCTTACAATGTAAAGAATAAGAATATATTAAGAAGTAAATTTTTATTTTTTGGTTACTAATCCTGGTTTTGAGAAGGCAAGCCTCATTTTACTCAATATGGTACTACTTGGTTTAATTGATTTTTTTTTTTCTAAAACATATTTTTTTCTTTTTAAAATTACTTTTGCATTTGATCTGTGTTTATATTTATTTAATTTTTTAGATTATGTTTTCCATATGGACCAATCAACAAGCGATGTGTACACTCAAGTTGCAAAGCCTATCATTGAGTCTGCTATGGATGGCTATGATGGTAGGTGACATACGCTATCTAACAACAAAACACATCCTAAACTAACAAGCTAGTGGTATACTTTAATAACCTGCCATTTAATTGTTTCTATTGTACACTGTTCAGTATTATATAAACTAAAGTAAAAATGTCCTAATTAAGCAACTACAACTTTTTTAACTGGTGAGGCGAACTTTTTTATTCCTTGTTTAGCGCAATTATTTTTTTTAAAGATCGTCAGAAGAGGGTGGAAAAAAGAAAGTTTTGTTTTCTTGTTTAGCAAATGGTTTTGCCAAAAACATCGAGGCGGAGGAGAAAATAAAAATAAAATTTTATTGGTAAATGTAAACAGTGTAGTAATGGGATGGTTAAATGCTTAAAATTATTTGCGGGTGGCAGGTTCGCTAAACAAGTCTTGCTTGATCAGCAGCATCCGCAGTACTGCGCCACCACAGGTAGTGAATATTTGTATTCCGGTGGGTTTCGTGAACGCCATTAAGCCAGCATTTCTGAAAATTACTAAAATGATTAAATTTTAGCTCTAAGTAGATCGTCTTTGTTATGATCTGACACTTCCAATTAAAGATTGTATTAAAGGTTTACAATTCCTTTGATGAAATTGCTTTCTAACTCTAACAAGCTTACCCCTATTCTGTGCTTCACCATCAACTTTGACAATGCTGCTGCAGGCTGACTCAACCCACATAGAAAAAGTATGCAAAAGATCAACAAACAACAGACAGTATATAAATCTGGTATCACACTTATCTTAGCGCTAAAAATCTTACCATCAATAAGTTAACTTGTGTTTACTTTGTCAATAAGGTACAATATTTGCATATGGGCAGACATCCAGTGGAAAGACATTCACCATGCAAGGTCACCAGAAAGAGCCAGGTATCATACCAAGAGCTGTTGATCAAATCTTTGGCACAATTGACAAGGTAGGAGATTTGCAACTTGTTTCTATAATTAATATCAGTATGACAGATTTGAATCTTGCAGAGGAAAAACAGTCTGTAATGACAATCTTTTTTTTTCTCTAAAAGATTCTCTGGTGAAATGCACAATGTCTTAAGTCTTTATCATGCTGTATAGCCTGACAGTTATTGTGTGAAAATGAAGCCTCCGACCACGAGTTTTGTGTTCGCACATTTTCACCACCGCTACTGGTGACTTTGTCATTGTGTTTGGAGAACTTGTCACAAGTGATTAATGGTACATTTTAGCATCTTAAAATCTGTCACATTGTTGATTTTGGCCTTTTTTCTTCCTATGTAATCAAGTCTCCTGACCGAGAATTCCTACTGCGTGTTTGCTACATGGAGATTTACAATGAAGTCATCACAGATCTGTTGTGTAAGGATGGTAAAGGACTTAGTATTCGAGAACAAGAGGTAACAAATTGTTTTTATAGAATAACATTCTACTTCCTTTCATTGTTTAAAGTTTCCCACTCCCCATTCACAACAAAGTATATTGCAGTAAACATACTTATCCATGGTTACTGCACAACCAATTAGGGATGGAGAGCATGGGATGTTTAAACTACTGGTTTTCTTAATGGATTGATAATGAATAATAGAGTATAATTAATGAATAAATATATGAAGTACTTTTAAGAATTGGCACATGTGTGTTCCCAAACATAAATATATGATGATAATATATATACACAGATACATTGTGTAACTTTCATTAAAATTTATTCAAATACATTAAAAATATTTTGAATTTTTGCCCACTAGAAACGAGTGTTTGTCAGTGGCTTAACTGAGGAAGTTGTGAACAATGCAGATAAGATCTTGGAGTTAATGAAGAAAGGAGATCGTAAGTTGCTAAATATTCGTAACTTGCCTGAGTTTGCAGCCTTTCAAAGCATGCAGCCTTTTTGATAGGCTTCAGTTGTGGCTGTAAACAAACTTCCTAGAGCCTGCAGCCCTTGGATAATTTTCACAAGAGGCTCTGGACAGTTTTGGAAACCTGCATCCTGTGAAAATCTACCCCTCTTGCTCAGTACAGTCTCTCTAGCATTTGCAGCCCTCGAAAAATTAGACTTGTGCCTCTAGACAGGCTCTCAGAAGCCTATAACATTGAACATATTCAAAATATGCAATTGAATTAAGAATATTAAAATGGTGTTTCCTTTTACAGAACAAAGACATGTGGGTCGTACGAATATGAATGAGCACAGTAGCAGGTCACATAGTATCTTCTGTATTGTAAGTAGTCCTTTGTCTTAACTGATTAGAAAACCTATAACTTAAAAAAAGTAGTTTTCACAAATCTTGCTGTGGCTTGTTTTATTGAACAATATTAAGTTCTGCAGTATCAAACATAAGTTGCTGAACACATTGAGAAATATAAAAAAAATACAGATTTTCTATTTTGTTTTTGTTTTATTTTATACAGGTAATTGAATCTCGTGAAAGAACAAATAATCAACAGTCCGACACAGGAGCTGTGAAAGTTTCCCGTCTGGTGAGAAAAAATGATACTTGTACTACCATAAATTCACTACAAAGAACTATTTAAAATAGCCTAATTTAAGAACTGTTACTGTATTGTTCTGTGATTGTCATACTATATGATTTCAGTAACAGGAATATAAGCAGTATTTGTATTTTATAGATGATATATTTCAATTGTTTTTGTCTTTTGTAGAACCTGGTTGATTTAGCTGGTTCCGAACGGCTCAATGACACTAAGGCTGAAGGGATGCGACTGAAGGAAGCTTGTAAAATCAACCAGAGCCTCTTTGCATTGGGACAGGTGATCAACAAACTCAGTTCTGGGGTCGAGTACATTCCATTCAGGGACTCAAAACTGACACGGATCCTCCAACCATCTCTTGGTGGCAATGCGAAGACTGCAATCATATGTACAGTGACACCAGCAGCCATAGACCAAACGCAAAACACTCTGCAGTTTGCAAGTCGCGCCAAAACTATTAAGAATAAACCAGAGATGCACGAAATCTTATCAGACGAGGCATTGTTAAGGCGCTACAAGAGTGAAATAGAAAAACTAAAAAAACAGATTGATCAGGTAAATTGATTATTTATTATAATTAATACGTAATTATTTGATATTAAATTTGGTATAGATAAAAAATAATTCCAATGTTATACAGATCTAGAGAGAAGGGTTTCTCACACCAAATTTGATATATGATTTATCAATTAATAATTATGTATTGATGATGTTGTTGTAGCTGCTGATTATTGTTTTGTTTGAAATTTCATAATAGATTTTATAACTTCATCATACATTGATAAAGATGTTCATTTTTAATAACAGTATACTAATAGTTTTTGGTAAGATGAACTTTGATACCATTATATATTTATAATATAGTTTCAAGGATATCTTTAATACAGTTATGCATCATATCAATTGTTATATATACTGTTATAATTTTTTTTACGATTTAGTACAACAATGATAAACTGAAGGATGGTTGGGAGTCTCTGCAGAATGAAAAGAAACAGATGGCGGAAGAGAGCCTTAAGCTCATTGAAGCTAGGAATCGCTTGGAAAATATGGTGATATCAGGTCAAGATTCACACAATCAGAAAACCAAAAAGAGGGTACAATAACATTTTATTTTCTTGCTGTTATAACATATTTTTATTTCTGATTTTGTTAGTAATTACAATGTAGCCTTTAGGAAAATTTGTTTACAAAACAATGTATCAAATTTTAAATATATGAAGATCAGTTAATCAATCTAAACTAAAATAGTCAACCAGATCTGTGCATCAGTGTTCTCAATGCTACTAAAATCAATTGATACTAAGTACAGGACTTTTTGTCTTGCAAGTAATAAGACCACTCTAATTCCTAATAATATAAGTTTATAGTTTTTAACCGTAATTGTTTGGCACAGCGGGAACGTTTGATTTCTCAACCTTGAGGTCAGGTTTTCAATCCCCTTTCTGTGCATTTCACTTTTGCCCTTGAGCAAGGCACTTTATCTGCATTGCTTCTCTCTACCCACCAGGAGTATAAATGTATACCTGGTGGGATTGCCTGCTCCTGTGCTGATTACAGCAGCAACAGTTAAGCATGCGGACCCAATGACTTGGACAGAAGTGCTTCGTATTTGCAAAGGAATGCGCTGTATGAATAACCAAATAAAATTTAACAAATATAATGCTGGAAATATAATGCTGGAAAACAAAACTGCTAAATATTCTACTAAACTAGCATAAATTTAATGAATTGTTTTTCCATATATTTAGCCAAACCGCCGTGAGACTTGGTGCCCAGGAACAAGAAAATTTCCTCTTCTAGCAACTGATCCAATTGCTGCAGCTGCCGCCGTATCAGCAGAGGTGGGAACCCTCGATGTCAGTGACTATAAAATGACTCCAAAAGCGACCATCACCTCAAGCTCAAGTTCTAGCTCAATAAGCAGTGACGGTACGCATTCTGGTATTCTACTACTTGTAATAGTACAAATAATTAATATTGATAATGACACTTACTGATGTACATTTCTTTGTGTTTATGTAGTGTGCCAGGCCATATATTTGTACAAGATTGTTTGTGAATACTTACCTGCAAACATAATGAAATCCTTTCTTGATTGATACACCCATCAAACTATACTTAACGATTAATATACTATTGTATATTTGCATATACTTTAAAATTGAGTGCCAGATTAAATTTATTGATTATTTTAGTAAAAAGTTTATAAATGAGCAAGTTTCGATGGAAGTTGGTAACTTATTTAATATTTTAAATTGAAATTCAATTTTTTTATTTATGATAAATGTTTGAGGGTTACCCAGTTTTTTTACATAGTAAAAATATCTTCAAGGTAGCTAGTAACCTTTTTTTCAGAATAGACTAATTTGTTTGAACTGTACATGCTCGTGTCAAGGTTAATTGACATAAACAACATACACAAAACATAGGGTTATGTTTATTGACCTTGGATATGAGCAGATCCAACCACGAATTAGCTTATTATTCACTCAAGTATTGATGTGAATATTATAAATGTGCACTAATGCTTACTTATTACATCAACATGTGGAACTAAAGTTTGTTTCCATACAATCGCTACACGCTATCGCCGACAGCTTTATGGTGATGCTGATTGGTCGGTCGAATCGAGACTTCTCGATTGCTTCGAGGACTGCTAGCAGTACAACGATTGCACTGAAAACACTGTAGCAACAATGTAGCCATTTTAAGGAAACCAGCTTAACAGTGAATGACAGTGCCACATAATCATATATTGATGAACTTTTATTTTGCGCATGTAGAATTTTCAGAGAGCAAGTTGGAAATATTCACAAATGATTGTGCAATGAGTTCAGAAGATGATGTGCCAAAAAAGAAAAGGCGACGGGCTGTCCATTTTTCTGAGATACCTTGTGCATCATTGATAGAATCTGATGGGGTTGGAGCAGCGGAGGTCGCCTGCCAAACAGAGGTAGAAACAATACACTTTTTTTATAATCTTCTTTTATAGAAACATCCCAAATAAAGGTTTGCTATTTCGTAAATACTTTCCTGGATAAACAACATATGCCAAACTTCTTTGTTAATATGGTACTTAATGTGATACATATCAAAATAAAAACAATGGAATCGTCCGTTTCAAGGACACAGATATTGAGCATCAAGCCAGCTTCTTTCCGTTTTTGCTTACAATGCTTATTTTACACTGTGTTGTGTTGCTAGGATATGGTTAGCTCTCATGAAGAACTTCAGGAGTCTATTATCATCTGCGAGGCACTAATGGAAGAAAAAGACCTGCTTAAGAAGGACAATGAATTGATGCAAGAGCAGATTAGCCAGATTAAAGAGGAAAACCGAGAGGTCAATGCAAAATGTATTGAAATGTAAGAAATTAATATTTACATGTTTCCAAAATATTTGTTGATATTGTTGCTTAGGTTCCACAAAACGACAGTACAAAAGCATATGCACACACCACGTGCGTTTGTGTGACAACACATTTTTTTTTGTACGACGCGTATATTCCTGTCCCTATTCTGATTGGTCAGTTATTAAGCTTGATTGACATTACTAAAAGGTCCATTCGCATGCTTAAACTATTTTGTGTTTTTATTTTTCAGACAACTTGAGTGTGATCAGGTGAAGCTGGAACTGAAGCATGTGAGAGAAGAGTATCAAGAATTGAAGGAATTTACAAGCTTTGAACAGAAAGTTACAGATGATCATTACAAAGACATCGAGGTTAGTTTCATTCATACCTCTTGATGCTAAGCAGAAGTGAACAATGTATTAGCAAGAAATTCGAACACCTAACCTTACCGGCCATTGTTCACCAATTTACCCATAAAAATGGCTGCAGTCATCTTAATTTAGCTTAGGCACACACTTTGGAGGAAAAATGCTGACTCTGGCATTTCTCTTTATAATTTATATGAAGAGTGTGCGTGTGTTCACTGTGGTCAGTCCTAAATAGAGAAATATTACTTTATAAAATAAAAAAAATACAATTTTTAACAGACAGTTCCAGAACTGTTATGTCATTGGATAAGCTACACTGTACGATTTCTTGATATTTAAGCTGTTTAACACCTGGGTTTATACAAGGTGGGCTTAGTACACATTGTTAATTTATGGTAATTGAAGTAGCTTGAGATCTTGTATTTCGTTTACTTTTATTTAATGTAGGAAACACATCAGACAGCGATTAAGGAACTTAATGAAACCATTGAAGTAAGAGAGAATGAAATTCGGAAGTTTCGCAGATCAGTCTCTCTTCCTCCATCAATGCAACTCTCTGCATATCTGGTAAACAAAAGCAAAAATACTTATCCGTTTTTTATTTGAATAGGGGACACTTTCGTCAGAGGTGGATGGAAACAAAATAAAAATAAAATTCTCATTTAGCAAAATGATTTTGCCAAATACCATTTAGGCAAAAGAGAAAATAAAAATAAAATTTTATTAATGAATTAAACAGTTTGGTAATGAGATTGATAAATGCTTTAAATTTCAGGGGAGCGGAGGGTGCAATAAGAATAAATAAATAAATAAAAAAAATCATTATTTTTGGTGGTCGGACGGTTCGCTAAAGGCCAACTCAGACAGCGTCGTACGACGCAGCCCGACGTGATTTGTTGTCGCCCCGGGTCTGTGTGAGATGCGATGGTTTGCGTCGGGAGTCGTAGAATATTAAGCATGTTTAATATTTCTCACAATGGCTTAAGACCGTCCCCGACGATAAATCGCATCAGGCTGCGTCGTACGATGCTGTCTGAGTTGGTATTAAACATAAGTCTATTTTTTATTCACTTTCCAAAAAAAGTTTGTAAAATTTAGTCTTTAGGAGGGGGAACACCCTTTACTTAATTTTGGGATTACTTTGGTCCCTTTACCCAATATATTCTTATGATAAGCACCTAATATATAATATTATCTTTCCTTGTATTTTTGTTCACGGGCAGGCTGAAAAAGAATTACTTACTGAGAAAATTAAAGATCTGGAAAAAAGTCTAGAAGATGCAGAGACCATTATCATGGATACCAACAAATCTTTGTCAGATATGACAGATAGAAATGTGCATTTGGAGCAAGAGATGGTATGTGTTTCTTCATTTTTTTTTTACAAACCTTTGTCTGTGGTAGGAATATATCTTCATCAAGTACATTCAATTGATTTACCCTGTATTGTGGTTGAAATAGTTTTTAGGAAAAGAAATGAATGTTTATTGATTTCTTCTCATTGGCGGATTTCTATCACATTTTTTTAGTGAAATGCATATTCAATGTAAACATTCTGTGAGTCTCATACTATGTTTGGCTGATTAGTATTAGTTACTGACATATATTATTGATTCCTTTTCCAGGAGAGTTTGAAGAAAAGTATCCAGCAATTGGAGAATGAGAAATCTGACTTAGATGCCTGCCTTGAGATTCAAAAGGAGAAGAGTGATCGTATGAGCGCCAACTTACGAAGCGAGCTGCAGATGACATACAATCAGCTAGCTGAAGTTAAGGGTGAAGAGGTTAATGACCTACCTAAAAGTGCTCCTCCATCCCTACGTGAATTACAAGAGACTATTGAAAAGTAAAGACATTTTTTTCTAAGAGTGGTCTTTGAGAAATACTAGTGAATTCAGATCATGAGAAAAATGTTACAAAAATGAGATATATTGAACGAATTATAGAATTTAATTTACCAGTTAGTCACTGTAGTGCAATGTCCTTATTCATCATGATAACAATTTACTGTATTCAATTTGTATAGGCTGACAAAAGAAAGTGAGGCTCTGAAGGAGGACCTCCAGTTAAGCATCACAAGTGTAAGTGATACTTTTGATTTAAAATGTTTGTATTCCCACAATTATGTATAAAAAAATCATTTCAATATTCTTGTTTAATATCAATCTAGTTTGTGAATACTTAACTGTATAAGCCAAAATAATGCATTTCTATCTTGATTGATATACACATCAAATTATACTTCAAATCTGCACATATCAGTATTATTGAATGCTATGATTAACAAAATAATCTGTTCATCAATCTATACATTTATTTATCTTATAGAGTGTTGAGGTTCAAGAGGATCTGATTAACTGCCAGGAAGAGTTAGAGGCACGTTCACTAAAGTGCAAGACGTTGCAGTCTGAGATGGCTAGCCTCCAAGAAGAACTTAAGCGTACTAGGTCATTAGCAGAAGAAAGATGTTTAATACAGTCTGAAGAAGACCTACAAGGGACTCTGGATGCAAAAGAACAAGAATGTGAAGCTCTTAATATCAAGGTAGTGGCTCTCCAGAATGAACTAAAACAAGCATTGATCGCTACTGGAAATACTCCAAATGAACAGAATGGTGAATTGCAAAATAAATTAGATGCAAAGACACAGGAGTGTGAATCTTTAAATGCCATGATTACTTCTCTTAACGAAGACCTTAAGAAGGCCGTTGCAGTTACAGAAGTATCTCCCATGGAACAGAGTGAAAATTGTGAGTTGCAAGATATTGACAATGATTCCAAAATGTTGTCTCTTCAGGGAGAAGTAGAAGAAGCTGTTGAGAAACCTCCAGATAATCAGAGTGCAATACCTGAGTTGCAAGCAAGGTTAGATACAAAAACCCAGGAATGTGAAACTCTAAATTACAAGATGATTGCTCTTCATGAAGAACTAGAGCAAGCTTGGAAGATGTCAGAAGAAACAACAGAGGAGCATCTGGCAATCCTTAAGATGAATGAGATTCTAGATGCACCTATACAAGAATGTAAAACTCTTAAGGTCAACAAATCTTGTCTCCAAGAAGAGCTTGAGCCGGTCAAGAATGCTTCAAAGGATACTCTGCAGGAGCATTATGAAAGTCATGGTTTGCAAAAGAATTTGGATTCTAGTGCACAGGAAATCATGACTCCCAACACCAGTGTGATAACTCTCCAGGAAGGAATAGAACAAGCTGCAGAATCAGTAGGAAAGACCCCGAATGACGTAGTTGATGTTTTTGAGTTGCAAACCTGTTTGAATGCAAGAACACTAGAGTGTAAAGCTCTCAATGGAATGGTGGTCTCTCTTGAGGAACAATTAGAAAAAGCCAAAATGTCTACAGAAATTAATTCAGTGAACGCTACTGCAGAACCTGGTGAAGATGACCAAGACCTGAAGATTTTTGAACTTGAACAGCAACTTAAAGTGAGTAAAGAATATGAGATAGAACTAGAATCCGAGATTAAAAAGCTTGAATCAAAAATTGAAATGTTAAAAGAGCAAATAGAGGTGTTCAATGATCAAGAAAATTTAAATAGGAACTTAAGAGAAAACTTAGTGGATGTTAGTGTTGGCACTGAATCAAAGGTCTCGGACATGGAAAATTCTACTGCTACTACTAAAGAAAATGAAGCGATTAAAAGTGAAGAAATAAGTTCAGAAGAAGATGATAAAATACCAGTATGTAAAACTTATGGAGTAGCTGAAGAACCAAACAATGATCAGAACATAAATGAGAACACTTATCTTGACTCAAATGTGACAGAACTGCAGGAGAATTTGTCAAAGATGTCAGAACGTCTGACAGAGATGTCACAGAAGCTTGAAGATTCTGAAGAAATGCTCAAGATTGCTAAGGAATATGAATCTGAGTTGGAGAGTCAATTGAAGGAAGCTTGTAAGAGCAAGGAACTGGAGGATGGAAATGTACAAACCCTTCAAGATCAGGTAGGTCATGTTGATACATAGAGTTTTATTTGTGAAAGTAAAGCGCTATATGATTATGCCACATTTAAACAAATTTCTATGACACAAGGGTAATTTGCAAAGGGATGTTGATCAAAAAAGAAGATTTTAAATGTTATGAAAAAATGTGTACAAAACTACATTTGATCATCATGTGAATTTTGATTATTTTCAATACTGTTGAACTTGCCTAAGTCAAGTCCAAAATGGCATTGAAAAATTGTTCGACTTAGATAAAATTTGACTTACAATGTGTACAAAACTACATTTGATCATCATGTGAATTTTGATTATATTCAATACTGTTGAACTTGCCTAAGTCTAGTCCAAAATGGCATTGAAAAATTATTGGACTTAGATAAAATTTGACTTACAGATCGTTAATTAATGGAAAAACAACAATTTGGCATGTAAAATAAAATGAACATAGAAATTATTTAAATTAGGCAAAATCGACTGAGGCAAGGGTACTTGTACAGTATTTTACAATTATTTCTTTATTTTTAGATGAAAATTCTGAATTCGGAGAAGTCTGTTCTACAAAAAGCAATGGCTGAGACAGAATCTAAATTGGCTGAAATGGAGTCTAAGATAGCTGCTTCTGAGGCTATGTTCACCGAAATTGAATCTAAGTTGGCTGAGTCAGAGGCCAAGTTAGCCGATATGACATCTCATTTGGCCGATTCTGAGGCTAAGTTTGATCAATTGAAGGTTGATGCAGAAATGGAGAAACGCTTGATGATAGAACAGAGCATGAGCACTGACCTGATGTCAACACAGTGAGTCATTTTGTGTAAAAAAATAATATACACTTTATTGTTTTTAAATTAATCATTGTACAATCAACTTTTACAATTCCGTATGGTAAGTGAAAATGATTTATTTGAAGGTTATGTTGTAGGATAATCCGTGAGAAATATTGCTGCAATACAATCAATAATTGTTATTGTCTATCATCTTACAGACTAGAAACTTACAGGCAGTCAGCTGACCGTGCAAAGGGCGCACTCATAGCCGAGAGCAACCGTGAGCTTGATCAGCAGCGAAGGATTGAAAGTCTTCAGAATGCTCAGAAGGAATCTGTGGCGGTGTTCCAGCAGTCCTGTAAAGAGAAAGACGAGGTCATCGCTGGATTGGAAAAGAAAGCCACTGATCTGTTGACCAAATTGCGACAAGCTGAAGCACAAAGTGACCAAGCTACTCACCGTTGCCTGCAAATGGAAAGAGAATGCCAGGTATTGTTTTAGCCACTTGGAAATTCTCTCTGTGATTTTCAAAATAAAACCTAGGGCAAAGCAAGCATGAGCCTAAATTTAACTTAACCCTCCACCAAAATATGTGTATGGATTAATGAGCTCATATATAGTGGGATAGACTATTCCATAATTTTTTAGGGGTAGACCATACTAAGTGAAATTTATCAGTTTATTCATGTACGTTTTTCACATATAGACTAATAACATCACATTGTTTCACTAAACTGCATACTTTGTTAATTTTATTAGAAATAGGAGCATTATATATGTTTTATTGTTACTATTATTATTAGGACCTGAAAGAGAGTGTTAAAGAACTTGAAAACCATGCTTTTAAAAGTACCCAGTCTTCTTATAAGCAAGAAATGGATCCAGCAAAGCTTACTCAGCGTATGAAGCAGTTAGAATTCAACCTGGACATCACAAAGCAAAAAGCGGATAAATTTGAGAAACTGAACAAAGAACTCAGAGGTTTGTATGATGTACTGCTAACATGTCTAATACATTAAATACCAGAGTTGATAATGATAGTATAGAGAAAAGTGTTAATTACTATCACTCTCAACAATGTTTGGTCACACTTTATCTGATGGAGCAGTAGGACATTGTCCAAATCGAAAGACACTGTTTTTATTTGATCACATATGTTTGAATCAAACATACACTGTCAGACAAAGTCTAATCAAACAATGTCTGTTAAGCCCTGTTGAGACTATCACATTTTATTTGACAAATGTGATTATGTGACATGCTTGAATATGGTTATGATGACATCACATCATGACCATAATGTCGGCACATCATTCACTTTATATGGGCAAACAGTTTTTTGTTAAAGAAACTCTGGTAGTCTGGACAGAGCTTTAAGTCTGACAGATTTGAAAGCCCAAATTTTAGGTCCGTTCCCAACCCTGAAGCCTCATTTTGAGAATTCTGCATCAATTAATTATCTTATACTCCATGCTAAAATTGTCTGGTTTCTTGCTTGTCAAGTTCCCTATTTAATAAGATTGAAACCAGAAAATAATTGCAACGTATAAAGTAAAAAATAAGTACCCAAATGTACTACTGTTTTTCTTTACACAGACTCGAACAAAAAATATGAAGCGAATGAATTTAAAGCAAGTAACCTAGAGAAGCAGCTGAGAGATGTGAACTTTGAATTTGAACGTGAACGCACAGAGTTCAGCAAGTTGAAATCCCGTTATGACAACCTAATAGTGGAGGTAGCAGAAGTGAAACATAGACTAGCCAAATCAGAACTCAAGAATGCCGGTGTTGACACTGAAAGGATGAAGAATGATCTTTGCACTCTCGAGAAAGAGAACTTGGAAATGAAGGAGAAACTAACTGTGACTGATCAGAAATTACTACAATTTGAGAATGCAATGGAAGTTGAGAAGAAGAGATATGAACAAGTACAACATGATATGAAAGATGTGCAGGTAAAAAATGAAATTTTGTAATTAACTACAGAGTAATTAGTTTAGATTTCACATTCATTCATTGCTTGTAAATATTCTTAACTCTCCCAATATTTGCTCTTGCTCTTTAGGATGAGTTGCAGTATTGTAAAGCCACCATCCATGAACTTGAATCAGAAAGAGAACACCTCAGATCCAAGATGGAGAAAGACGAAAAACACTTTAATGGCCTGTGTCAAAGATATGAAGATGAGGTAGAATCCTGTAAGAAGGAATTAACCAAATATCAAGAGAAACTTGAAGAAGCTAAGGTAACACTATTGTTTATGTTTTTAAAATACAAGTTTATAATAGTAGTGGTAGTAGAAGTAGTTTAATTATATGCCGCACCAAAATAAGGAAAATTAACTGAAGATAGCCTTTACTTCAGGAGGATTGAGGATTAATCTTAGGCACATTTGAGTCTTCAACTAAATATAATATTTGCTTCTTTCTTTACTTAGCTTAAAAACAATGAATATAATGAGAAGTTGAGAGAGTTGGAACAACAAGTGGAGGTAGCAAATAAGAACGGATGCCAAGACTGTGAAGCATTGCGCCAAGACAAGGACCAGTATCAGGTACAAATCAGAGAACTTCAAACCGAGAGGGATGAGCTAACCTCGCAAATGAACCAACATTTTGAGGATCTGAACAGCATGTCACAGGAGAAAGATGGCGAGTTGAAGAGGTTGAATGAGGAACTAGCACAGCATGTAGATAAATACCAGCAAATGATGGTAGTTAACAACATAATCTTGTTCAAAAGTTTTTGTTTTTATTACATGATACCTTGATACCTACTGAGATTTTTTTGGGTTGTCAAACCTTCTTTGATAACATCCTGTTAAGCCAGGTTTCCATGAAATTGCTACACTTTAACTATACAGTCTACCCACTGGAATATCTCCACTGCGTAGCTGTCCTTCCTGACATATTAGCAAAGTTGAACCAGTTTCAGTTTTGCCAACATGTTTGGAAGGATTTGTAACCACTGACTGATCATCTGCCAAATTCACAATATAAGTTGTATAACAAGGGCATACAATTTAAAGATTTTTTGTGAAAACTAGTGCTTATTATACATACTGTACTTTTTAATGAATTAGTGTAACTGTAACTTCAATGCAAATACACACTAAGTGTACAAACACCCATCTCAAATTTGGCCTAACCTGTTTTTACACTTTAGAATGAGTTGCAGTCTTGTAAAGCCATGATCCATGAATTGGAGTCAGAAAGAGAACATCTGAGATCCAAGTTGGAGAAAGATGAGAGACACTTCAATGGCCTGTGTCAAGAATATGAAGATGAGGTAGAATCCTGCAAGAAAAAATTAACAAACTATCAAGAACAACTTGAAGAGGCTAAGGTACCTGCATCAAGTATGCTATTAAAATAGTAGTTTGTAGGTTACCTGAAGCACTTCAGCATGTTCCGTAAACACAAGTATCCTCCAGACATAAGCACATCCTTTCCAAATTGAGCCTAGGCTTAGTTGTTACATCTTTTATCATCAACGTATATTCCCTCTTTCGCTGGCATTATTATAGCACTATGCTTGCATTTACCATGGTATCTTTAGTATCGGAGGAAATTATAAATACAATACCCTTGTCCCAACCTCACTGTCTTCACTAATTACATACATCCAATGATGACCATTATTTACAACTGATGTTTTGAAATTATTCAGTTTTGAGCAATTATTTTCTCAATAACATAAATCGCTTTTTTGTTTGCTTATCATTTTTTGGAATTTTCCAGTAACCCAGTCAAAAGATTGAAAGCTAGCTCTTAATAGAAGCAATGTAAATTTCTTTTAAAACAGGCTTGTTAAAAGTCGGTGTACTTGGCATCTTAGTATAGATAGCTAATATTAGCCAATGACAAAGTTTGCATTAAATTTTGTCAGGATTAATCTATGACCTGGTGCAGTAATTGGAGGGTAATCAGGTAGCACTCATTTAACTTCTTTAGCTAACTATAGAATTATTTGCTTTCCTCAGTTTAAAAATGATGAATACAACGAGAAGTTAAAAGAGATGGAACAGTCCAATGATATCAGTGTTGTATCTGTTGAACAAAAAGAGCAGATAGCAGACAAGGAGGTGTGCCAGGAATGTGTAACATTGCGCCATAACCAGGATCAATATGAGATTCAAATCAAAGAACTTCAGACTGAGAGGGATGAGGTAGCCTCGCAAATTAAGCAACAAGCTGAAAATCTAAACAGCATGTCGCTGGAGAAAGATGGCGAGTTGAGGAGGTTGAATGAGGAACTAGCACAACATGTAGATAAATACCAGCAAATGACGGTAGGTATAAGTAATGAATATTTATGATTGCATCTATTATTTTTGGCTATTCTTGTAGTGCAAAAATTATAATATAGAAGACAAAATTAAATTGCTGTAATAAACAAGCACAACATGATATGAAAGCTGCACAGGTAAACTATTAAAAGGATTTTACAGGGATTACATTGTATGAAGTTTTTACAGGTAAATAATTTATGGTCATACTCATTCTTAACGTATGTTCTACATTCATCTATTGCTTGTTGAAAGTGTAAACATCCTTAAATCTCCATTAATCTTTTTGTATAATTTAGGATGAGTTGCAGTCTTGTAAAGCCATGATCCATGAACTGGAGTCAGAAAGAGAACATCTGAGATCCAAGATGGAGAAAGACGAGAAACACTTCAATGGTCTGTGTCAAGAATATGAAGACGAGGTAGAATCCTGCAAGAAAGAATTAACAAACTATCAAGAACAACTTGAAGAAGTTAAGGTACAGTATCTGCATCAATAAGTGCTACTAAATTTCCTATTGCTCTATTATTTCAATATATAACCACTTTGAATAAATACCCCTCTTAAACATACTTGCCATATAAAGACCCCTGCCTCTCCCCAAAATAACTTTCCATTTCAAATAATCACTCATCAATGATTCTGTTTGGAGGGCAAGCAGTACACTCTATCAGTCTACTATACATTCTTTTCTCAGCTTAAGAATTATGAATATAATGAAAGGTTAAAGGAGGTGGAACAGTCCAATGATATCAGTGATGCAACCATCGAACAACAAGAGGAGGTAGCAGACAAAGAGGTGTGCAAAGACTGTGAAGCTTTGCGCCAAGACAAGGACCAATATCAGGTACAAATCAGAGAACTTCAAACCGAGAGGGATGAGCTAACCTTGCAAATGAAGCAACAATTTGAGGATCTGAACACCATGTCACAGGAGAAAGATGACGAGTTGAAGAGGTTGAACGAGAAAATAGCACAGCATGTAGATAAATACCAGCAGCTGACGGTAGGTAGCACCAGAATATCTTGTTCAAAAATACTCATCTCATGATATATAATCTTGAGATGGATAGCCCTTTTAAAAAATTGTATTTCATACTGTGTTATAATCCACACAGACTTAATATTTATGACAAAAAATACAATTTTGTGTCTCATTTTAAAGGAGGATGCAGGAAAACATATTATAGAAATAGAAAAACTTAAAGAGGAGAGAGATGTTGCCTATGACAGGCTTCATGAACAAGAGACAGAAGGAGTACATAAACTTGATAACATTCACCAAGAATTAGAACACCAATCAATGAGACATCGACAAGAAATTGATGCATTGAAAGTATGTTAAACATCCTGAGTCAGTAACTATCTAGGATTTGATTTATTCGGTGTGAACACCAAGGATAACCCACAAAAGTGTGACGAAGACTTAATTTTGTCCTTTAACATGCACATGGGCCTTAACACACGCAGGACCAATGGCTTAAATGTCTCATCCAAATGACGGTGCACTATCGTAACTTGGATGTCAGCCCTCCAGCTGAAACACAAGGGGACCTAGAGATCTCCACCTTCATGGTTTAATGCACACACAGTCGTTACCACCAATTAAGCTCTCAATATCCATTATTTCATGTTTATTAATCTATATTGTTCACTTTTTGTATAAATAAAAAACAAAAAGATAATTATATTGTATAACACATATATTTAACTTAATGGTTATAAAAAACATATTGACCAAATTAATTTTTGTAGGTGGATGCAGCGAAATATTTGACAGAAATTGAAAAACTTAAAGAAGAGAAAGATCTTGCCAATGAGAGACTTCAGCAGCATGAGGTAGAAGCTTCACAAAAAGTTGACAACATCCACCAGGAAATAGAAACGCAATCAACAAGACATCAACAAGAAATTGATGAACTGAAAGTATGTTGAACATTCTGAGTCAGTAAATATTTAGAAACACAGTGATATAAACTTTGTCATTCATCCATTACTGCAGTTAATTTTATATATTTATCAGTCAATATTGTTCACTTTTGTATAAATAATAAACCTAAAGATAATTATACTTTATAACTTAATAGTTAAAAAATAAATCTGATTGATTCAATTTTTGTAGGAGGATGCGTTGAAATATATGACAGAGATTGAAAAACTTAAAGAAGAGAAAGATCTTGCCAATGAGAGACTTAAGCAGCATGAGGTAGAAGCTTCACAAAAAGTTGACAACATCCACCAGGAAATAGAAACGCAATCAACAAGACATCAACAAGAAATTGATGAACTGAAAGTATGTTGAACATTCTGAGTCAGTAAATATTTAGAAACACAGTGATATAAACTTTGTCATTCATCCATTACTGCATTTAATTTTACATATTTATCAGTCAATATTGTTTATTTTTTTATAAATGATAAACCTAAAGATAATTATACTTTATAACTTAATAGTTCAAAAATAAATCTGATTGATTCAATTTTTGTAGGAGGATGCGTTGAAATATATGACAGAGATTGAAAAACTTAAAGAAGAGAAAGATCTTGCCAATGAGAGACTTAAGCAGCATGAGATAGAAGCTTTACAAAAAGTTGACAACATCCACCAGGAAATAGAAATGCAATTAACAAGACATCAACAAGAAATTGATGAACTGAAAGTATGTTGAACTTCACGAGTTAATAAGTGGCTACAATATGATGATGTGAATTTTGTCTCTATTCTTGTGTTTTCTCTTCCTTATTCACAAAGCTTCTCTAACTTGTCTTTTTTGCATGATGGATTCTTTTTTAGTGGTTTTGCATGATTGTATTTGACTATGGTTATGGCTGATTTGTGTATTAGCTCAGATTCAGAGCTCTAGTGCACACACCTCTCATATTTTGGACATTTTTTTCATCCTCTTCCAGTCAGGTTTCAAATTTTCTGCCAGTTTCCTAGATGTACACTAAATCACATTTCAGGCCACCTATTTCATAAACTACACCACACTTTGCTATCATCGATCTTGTCTATAGGATGGACGAGATGATTCTGTAGTTTGTTGACTACAGTAGTTTGAAGAATGATTCTATGTTGTGTGTAAAGTGTTTATACTTCATTATTCATCCCACGGTGCCTCGACTTATTATAGATGTTTTCTGTTTCTCTTTCTTGTTTCCCATCCCATCAAAGCATCTACAGTATATTGTGAATACTTACATGGATAAACCGACTAATTGCCATTGTTCCCAAAACGGAACACCTCTTCAAAAAAAATAGAACAGTCCGACCCAGGACGCCACGTACGAACCATCTCCCTAACAATCGTCCTCATTCCCTAGTTGACGTTGTTGTTGAAAGAGCTCCTTTGTGGTGTAGTAGCCTACATTGGTAAGACCATGTGTCTCAAATTGTGTTTTTTGTTATCTTTTGCAAGGAGAATTCTTGGATTGTTATTTTACTTCATATAATTATCCAATTTGATGTAAAGAGTGTCTAGACACTGTGCATATTATCATTGTTTGATCTTGCTTTTTTAGACAATATAAATAATTTATATACTATCAAATTTTGTAGGAGGATGTAGTGAAATATATGACAGAGGTGGAGAAACTTAAGGAGGAGAGAGATCTTGCCGATCATAGGCTGAGGGAACAAGAGATTGAAACTGCACAAAGGATTGACGACATCAACCAAGAACTAGCAAAACAAACTTCTAGTTATCAACTTGAAATGAATGCATTAAAAGTATGTAACAAATTAGTTATTATTTTTATTATTAATTTGATTTAATTTTTAATTTTCTTTTTAGTACCTGTGATTTGTCCATACATGGGTGTGATATAACATCGTATTTTTTTTAGTACCCATGGTTTGTCCATACATGGGTGTGATATGACATGATTTTTGTTAGTACCTGTGATTTGTCCATACATGGGTGTGATATGACATCTAATTTTTTTTTAGTACCTTTGATTTGTCCATACATGGGTGTGATATGACATCGTATAACCATATAATGGCAAGTCATAATCTTGTCACATAAAATTTGGAATAAATGGCTTTCTTGAATACACACCCCTAAATAGTTGTAAACAAGACCAATTTAAGTAACATCATTCTCAACACAATGTATTACTCCAGTAGAATTACATTTTTTAACCTGGTTGGGATAAATAACACATAATTTTGACAGTAATTGTGTGTTAACTGTAGTTCCACATTAACAGTGAAATTAAGGGGAGTTTTAATGGGAGTATATGCGTACCTATTTTACCAAAAAAAAAAATTATATACCTCACTCGAATAAATACCTCCTTCGAATAATTCCCCCACAAAAACCTCTAAAAAATGAACGCCCTGCATCTCTTAATGAACAAATACAGTATGTTGATTTTTAAACCTGCATGGTTGTAGTTTCTTCTCAAAAAAAGATTTCTTATTTCAGTACATTTAACAAGTTACACTTTGATTTATAAAAGTTTCTTCTATACCGGTTGTCTGTATGCAGATTTAGAATGTTGGGCAATACAATTACCCATTTGGCAGTGGAGGCTTTATTAGGCTAGTAATATTACAGTACTGTAGAGAATCAGTGAGAAGAGGAGAATGCGCACATGTTTGGAAGCAGTGCTTCCAAACCAGTGTTAAATTTGCTATTCTATTGCCACCAGTTGGTTAGAAGAATAGCAATTTTAAACATTGACCCACAGGGGCTGGCTTTTATTGAAAACCCACCATGCGGAAATTCTAAGCAGCTTACAGTAACTAAGATACTTGGCTAATTGGACTCACTTTTTTAAATTGAAACAGCCATATCACTTGTTATTTACAGATGATTAAAATCTTGTTAAATTTCTTAGGATGATGCAGTGAAATATATGGTAAAGATGGAGGAACTTAAAGAAGAAAGAGATCTTGCCAATAATAGACTGCAGGAGCAGAAGACAGAGGCTGCATGCCAAAGCGACAACCTCCATCAAGAATTAGCACAACAATCTGCTAAACATCAACAAGAAATTGAAACTTTCAAAGTATGTAACAAATGTGTGTATTTATTAGGTAGGCCTGCATAATGCATACCAGCTATCTGTGATTGCTTGACGGGCTGATTGCTGTTTGTGATCTGAACAGATTGTCATTAAAACTATACATTGCAGGCCTTGTCGTGCTATTTCCCTTTAAAATTTTCACCAGCTTTTGACCATCGACACAGTCTATGCCCGGCTTTCATGCGGTGTTTACGAGAGGATATTAATCCTGAACTTTGGTAATATACAAATCTACAGCTCCACCATGGTTGGACAATTCATATTTATAGTTGTAGCTGTAGAAAACTAAGGATGGACGATAGACACTTTAAGGGTGGGTGGGTGAAAACATGGTAAACTCTAAATATGGATTTTAAGGATGGAGAATGGGTTAATAAGAGTAGGTGGAGGGCCATGAAATTAGCTTTAGACTGGGTGAAAAACTTCAAGGTTGGGTAGCCCTGCCCAGTACGGCCCACCATAACTACATCCCTGATATTACATTACATACGTAACTTAATGCTTGAGATAAAAATGTTAAAAAATGTTGGTTTTTGGATTTCACATCATCTCACTTAAAGAAACCTTGGTTAGTGGGTAGTTTCAATAACAGTGTGGAAGTACTGTTACTATTTTAAATTTAATATTTTCCAGTTTCTGTTTCTTTTATTCAGGTCAAGGTCGCAGCCAAAGCTGAATTACTTGATATTTACAAAAAAAAAATGAATATTAAAATATCAAAACATCAATCAAGCACAAAACATGAAAAATGGAGATAAAAGTAATATTAAAAATGTTAAAATTGGAACATCAAAATTTCAAAAAGATTAAAAAAACACATTAAATGAACAAACATCAATTATTTTCAATTATCAATTATTGTATCATTATTATTACTGTATTATTGTTGTTGTTGTTGTTGTTGTTGTTGTTGTTGTTGTTGTTGTTGTTGTTGTTGTTTTTGTTGTTTTTAAAAGGCAACGTTTAAAAAGGGGCCAGAATTTATATTAGACAGAAATAAAACAATTAAAGTGAAAGCTATTAAAAATGGACCAATATACTGGATTAAATGTTTGTTGTCAGGCATTTACTTAATTATTATTTTCATTGTTATATTATTTCCATATACTGTAATAATCATTTCAATAATAATAACCATCATCATTATTATAAATTAATAATTACTATTGATGCAATTAATAATTAATAAAAAATATACATTCAATCAATAATCAACAACACAATTAATAATAACTATTATAATTATTAACAATTATTATTATTAATATTATAAATATTATTTCTATAATTGTTAGTGTTTTAATTATTAATGCAGCCAAGTCAAAATCATTCATTTAGGATTGTAGTAAGACATGGTTTTGCACTTTTTTGATACTTTTCCACTGTATATTTTTGATGCTGATTCCTCACTCTTCTAAGTTCGATATTGCTATTGTTAACATTAACAATATTAATTAATTTATACCTTTCATTATTATATTCATTATCAGCGTAACTCAGATGCTTTGACGTCCGAATTGGCATCGCTTCGTGAAATGGGAGAGGCAGCTGTAGTAAATGACTGCACTCTGAAAAAAGCATGCAGTGACCTCAAGCTTGAACTAGAGCAAGAACAAGAACAAAATAGAGGCAGCCAAGAGGCACTAAAAGAAGAACAGGTAAGCAAGATTCATAAGTCAGGCTTTTATTAGCACTTCAACTATCAAGTGTAGTCTGTTTAACAAATTTTCACTTAATCATTTACAAACAACAATAATCTCTGTCTGGTTGTCTACTTAATTTTTCTTCATTTGACATTAAATGCTTCTTACGTACGGATGATCATTAAAAATGATACGTCGTGCATGCATCGTGGTGTTGCGTTCTGCATAGAATCATGTCAGCTGCTGACTGTTGAGTGGCAAGGTTAATTGCAAACACGGCCTACAAGAAAATGAAAAAGGATTGCAAAGATTTCAATAACAAAAATGAGGCATGTTGTGGCGAAATGCCAGTGTTGAGTAAATGAGCTATAAAATATGGGAGCTCAAAAAATTGCCTAAAAATCCAAATTTTTTTTTCACTATAGATCAACAGTTTAATGTCTTATTAATCATGTCCCAAAGTATTAGTTCTGGAAGTGGTCAACAAATCGTTTATTTAATGTTATTTAGATAGTTAATTCTATTAAACAATGTGTACACAAATAACTTTGGAAGGCAATTACACAAAATCCTGTTCATCTTGACTCTAAGAGTGCTGTACTTTCACTTTCCAATAACTTAGGCTTGAAATGTCCAATGTCAATGAATGACCCCTCATTTTAAAGATCACATACTCAGGTATCTGAAAATACCAATAAATTAAATTTCAATTTTTGCTACAACTTAGCCATTTTGCCACAACATGCCTCAAATATCATTACTACAGTTTTAAATATCACAATATTTTTTTTTTATTTGTTAAAATATGTTAATTTGTTAATTTTAAAATCCACAGGATAAATGTTCGTTAGTGCAATCCAAATACGACTCGGTAGTCGAGCAGTTTAAGCTACTGAGACAACACTATCAGGAACTGACAGAATTATGTGAAAAGATGCAAGAAGAACAAGAGGAGGAAGAGAGAAACCACAAAGAAACAAAAGCTAAGCTGACACAACTTGAGGTAATTAATTTGTGAGACTTGGTAGTGATATCTATGTTTGTGACAAGATTTTAAAAAATAATGTTTGCAGTAACCTCGCCACTTATGCCAAATTACTATTTAATTTTGCCTGTTGTGTTTTTTGATTGCTTATTTTTAATATTTAGGAGGCAGAAATTTTAGCAATAACTAATATATATCTGTGTCTAGATTTAAAAAAAAACAAACTTTAAATCAGTAATGATTATTAATCGATTATTTTCTTTTCTGTAGGCTAAATACTCTTCTAAGTTTGATTCTGCAATCAACCAAAATAGTCAGATAAAAAAACAAGAGCAAGAAATTAAAGAATTGCATGATAAACTAGGCAAAGAAAAGCAAGAGGCTGGAAGAAGACATAAACAAATGAAAGAAAAATTAAGCGAGCTTGAGGTGAGTAGTTGTTGGTGCATTGGTGTTTGTTACCATGTGCAGTAGTAGTATTGTTACCATGGTATGTAATAGTGCAGTTACCATGGTAGCAGTTATAAAATAATCCAATATTCAGCAAGTTGATTTAAATGTAAATTATCTAACATACTGCATTAATGGTAATGGTAATGGTTGGAGACTTATATAGCACATAATACATGGACTCTATGCGCTCGGGACAACCATATCAAGGACAGAAAAGTGTAAATGTAGGCTAAAAATGATTATCACATCAGAGAACTTATGTCTTCCCTTCAAACCAAGTGGGTTGATTTGAGAGAAGGAATGTGAACAAAGTTACACTTCCCCATTGACAAAAACAAATTGGAATCAATAAAGCATAAATACTATCGTTACTACTGTACAATACTTACTCCAAGTATTGAAATGCACGCCATCGTGTCGGGATTCTGTATTAGTACTGTAGACCAGCGTTCCGCAAACTTTTTACTATTTACGATTCTAGGCACCAAGCCGGCGGCCCAGCATCCCAGCCGCTAGAAGTTTAAAGGAGAGGACTTCCTTGTGTTGTGGTCATATTAGACTGTAATAATAGGACTATCATTAAAAACCATTCAACATAAAACATCAAAATTATTAAGTTAAACTTTCTACTTCGGTGCATGGATATGAATATAACGTAATTTTGGGATATATGAGATTTACATAACATTTGAGAATGTACTGAATATAAAATCTTAAATATTTTACATTTTAATCAGCGATCTATCAGCAATATGGGGATTGGTTATACTGTAAAGCCTTCAGAACAACCCCTGCAATACTAAAATTGGGATCCAACAGGCAGTGAATATTCCATTTTGATTTAGTGTAGATGTTTTTTACATATTTTTATTTTATTTGAAGTATTTTTATTTTTTATGATTCATATGTTATATTTTCCACAGACAGATAAATGAATGCCTGAACTGATATTTTATGGGTTTCATATTACTTTTTATACAAAACAGATAGCATAAATCATATATTGTCCAACTGTGTGCATTGAACATTTGACGACAACAATGTCTCCAAATTCCCAACCGTAACTTGGGCTACGGGCCTCGCTTGACACTTCACATCAAAGGGCCTGTTAATTAATCTTGCACAGCTTTCTCATCATCATCTTCTTCATCATCATAATTATTAATTGTCTATAGCAAAGTAGCGAAAAACTATGAATTCAGAGTGTATTCAATAATAGACGTCTCATAATGCACGAAGTGTATTTCAAAGCATCTAGAAAACAAAAACTTTTCGAATATCTAAAATTTATCTTCCAGCGACAAAACAAGCTAGCTCTCTTCTCATGACCCTCCCAATATGGGAACCCATCTGTGCTATAGCCAGGGTAAACTCTGGATCCGCGCTTGACATGTATTAATTGCTTAAAAAAAGGTATATTTACAGTATATTTATTTATAGAAAATAATGTTGCATACTAGAACTATCTGGAATAAATATACAGATAAAGGCTCCCGAGGGGGCATAGACACACACACCGCTTATAACTTAAATAGTACGCACCATTTGGCACTTCAGCAGCGTGTGCAAGCGACGCATTCGCTGTAACAATGAAGCGGCTTTATTAAAAACTATTTTCTCCATGATGAAACGTCTCTTTGTTATTTTTTTTTTTTTCAATTTCCACACGCCTTCGCCGCCCTCCAAAAATGTTTCGCGGCCCAAATTTGGGCCACGGACCATAGTTTGCGGAACGTCGCTGTAGACTACTACTAGTGTAATTCTGTAGACTACTATATTATTTTGTCATCATCATCATCTTTGTCATGTTTTTTGTCACCATCATCATTATTGTCAGTATTATTGTTGCTACTGTATTATAGTATAAAATGTCTTTCAGTCTTGCATTAAACTGGTCATAGCTTTTACTGTGAACAGCTTCTGTGATCTGACAACTGAATGATGCTGTTATAATGTTAAGAGTGAAAGCAATGATCAGTTTAAATCAAGACTTGCAAAGGTGATACATTATACTGTGGTGCAAAACAAGTCAAGTATCAGTTTACGTGTGGCTCTTATTTTATTATTTCATTATAGATATTATTAATGTATTTATCATAAATACATTCCATGTTATGCATTTAGGAAAACAAATTTTGTTACAAGTTGTTAAATTGTTGGATAACTAGAAATATATTCTGTATCATATATTATCTATAATTAATTGTTACTGTTATTATTAATGAATTATGTTATTTGCTTGTTTAAAATTGTTAATTTAAAAATCTCTAAAGGCCACTGTTGAAGAGAAGAATAAGACTTGTGTTGATAATAGCACACTGAAGGATCTTCAACAGCATCTTATGCAGAAGAAAATGAAGATAGTCACCTTGGAGTCGGACATTCTGAAATGTACTGACCCTCTAGAAAAAAGGTAAGATCAGCTCTGGTTGACACACAGTTGATTTAACAATGTCAACAATATGCATGCTTTCTTGGATTAGGTGTGTGTACTGGACAGCACTAAATTTTATAGCCCATCTAGGTAATTTTGGCCTTTTGATCAAGCTTGTGGTGGTGGTCATGATGGTGATGTTGATGATGACTATTAGGTGTTGAAAACATTTTTTTTCCTCTGACAAGCAAATGTGACCGGCTCTGGCAAAACCCTCCATTTGTCGCAAACTCTAATTTCCTACAAGCCCCCAAAACATTATACTGTAGAATTAAAATTTTATAAAAGCTATATTGAAGTACCTTTCCGCAAAATATCAATCGCTAAATCTAACTGATAAGTATATTAAAATTATTTTTAAATTGCAAATTTTAATAATAAACTATTGATTTTGGAATTTTTGGAAGCTATTTTCTCAAAACCTATATTTCTGATATCCAATGTGTTACATATTCATAACTTTGCTAATACTCAACCGATTTCCATCAAATAAACACTGTCTTAAAAAGACTTCATGGAGAATCTAAAAACACCAAAAACTCAATTTTGAATTTTTCCTACAAACAGCTGGTTTTGCCAGAGCCTGTCACAAATAACCTTCAAAAAATCTAAATTAAATTACCATATTAAAATGGTCAAAATTGCAAAAATTCCATGGCATATAGGCCTGCTTCTGTTTACCAATAATTACATGAATTAATTTTGTTTTCAGAATTTCCCAACTTTCTAAAGAACTTGCAGAGAGTTCTGAAAAGGTGGAAAGTTGGAAGAGCGAAGCAAAGCGGCTCAGACAACAGAGTCTTGATAGCTCAGGTAAGGCATACACATAAATAATCTTCTATTTTTCAATTTTAAATTGTCTTCGTGTTGCTGTTATTTTTTTAATATCTTTATTATAATTGTCAATTATAATGATATTTTATTATAATTAACTTGTGTATTGATTGTTAACTTTTTTCATTTATTTAACAGTTTAATTTATTTATTGTTTATTACTGTATATAAAACAAATGTTTAGTAGAATATTTTAAATAATTGTACAAAAATCACTTTTAACATGAGGGATACAATGATAAATAATGTACTGTTGATTATATTATTAAGGGATGATAATAGTAATGGAAATAAAGTACAAGTGTATTTATTCAGACAATATATTTTGTATAACCTTTCATTATTGTGATTTAAATTGTAGCCTAAAGAATAAGTACATTTTTCATGGCTCTTTTATTTGCAATTTCTATACCATATAAATTGAAGTTATTTAAATGTTTCTATGTTATCAGTTGAAAGTAACACATCATCAAAGACTGAGGCAGGGTATGGGTCTGGCATCATACAGGAATGTGCTGTGTTTGCCCTGAAGGCAGAGAAGGCCAAACTGGAGGGGGAGTTGAAGCGGTTAAAGGCAAAACTTCAGGATTTGGAGAAGAAATACAATGAGAAGTGTATATTCTACCAAGAAGAAATGTGAGTGAATGAATTCCTTGATCAAAATTTTGTTTCCCCTTCTTGCAAATTTACCTAAAATGTCTCAGGTTAGCACACACATGGAGCTTTAATGGTGCAGTCTCACATTGAGCTTTAATGGTGCAGTCTCACATTAAACTTTATTGGTGCAGCCTCATTAACAAGTTCCACAATCTATTTCAAAAAGTGCATATTTATACAACTGAAATGTAATACTGTAACCAATTTTAGCATAAATTAATTTAGTTAGCTCTGCATAGGAGTTTATGCATTCACTGCTGTCTGTGTATCTGTTAGCAAGATTACGCAAATGGATCATCATAACGTTTAGTGGAATGGTACATAGTAATCAAAGAAAGACACCATTTATTTTTCGGGAAAAGGTCAAAGGTCAATGTCACAGAAATTCAATTGTCCTCGAGTATAATAGAAAATAATGGAATCATTCCTCGTATTCAGGCAGCACTCAAGAAAATAATAGACCTGAATACGTATACGTATTATTTTCTTGAGGGTATGCTGCAGATTCGCCCATTATTCATGGCCTGCTTATTGTTGGTATCCAGGCACAGGGCGGAGGTGTGGACTCTTATGATGTGACTGCCCTAGTTTATTAATTGTTTGTTTATCATCAACAAAAAAAAAATAAGTATCTTATGCTTCTTTAAAACAGAACAAGAAACACAAGGCTCCGAGCAGAATTGAAGCGCTATGTAGAGAAAGCTAGTAAAAAACAAGCGCCTGTGAAGATTCAGGATGGAACTCAGAAGAGACCACTCAACGGTATTAAGAATTATTATGTTATTCAGCAACTTCCTTTAAGAGACCACTCAACGGTATTAAGAATTATGTTACTGAACGACTTCCTGCATGTAAAACCAGTATGCCAATAAGCTTAATTTGTTGGTGTAAAATGAAGTAAATGTGAAAACCAATGAAATTTTATCAAATTATTTTGTTTATATGGAATTTTGCTTGGTATGAAATAAATAAGATTTTTTTAGGAAGTACAGGATTCAACTCCCTCGTCCTCCATGCCTAATGGGTCAGAGGAACTAATTGGCAGGCAGGGGAACTCATTTCCCTGATCAGTGGACAATATCTCTGATGATTCACCATTTTTACCAATACTCAATATCTCTTGTTCACTATTTTTAAATTCCATTGCAGATTTGCCCAGGAACAGTCCAATTAAAAAAGCTTTGAAGCTACCAACCTCGGAAGTTGTCAAAGAAAGTCTGCCAACCTCATCATCCACAAAGAAGACGAGAGCAAACGACTGGGACAACTTCTTACAACCGGCGATTGAAAAGCTTAATGAGGAAGAGAAACCTCAACAGTGTGCTCAACAATAGGTTCCATACATTCTCTTTTGAAAACTGTATATAAATAATAACAAGAAAAAAAGGAATTAATAAATAGGTATTTGCATTGCATTATTTCAGTGGATGGAATACTAAATGTAGGATGTTAATAGTTTCAATTTGCACTGCACAATTTTTAAATATTTTTCTTTAACCAGCCAGCTTTCATTCTTCATTCTGATTTTTTCATTCATGTGATTGGCTGAGATGAAGTATGTATGTCATTTACCCATTCACTCATTGATGGCGTAAATGCTTTGCATGAGCAAATATTATATGTAAGCGCATTAAATCAAATGTTATCTGTTGTTTTATTATAATAATTAAGTAATAAATGATCTGATAGTACTGTCATAAAATAAATTAATAAAATCCACCTTTAGATGTATCCATATACCCATATTTAGAAGTATTGCTTTCAAATTTCAAGACATTGCTTAAAATGCACCTTTTCGACTTATATAATACTTTTTTGGTTAGGTCTTTAAAAGTACATAGGCCCTTCTGAAATACATGATGGAATCTATGCTGTGAGGTGCTGGCCAACCTTTGCTTGTTAGTGGTCTTCTGAAAGATGCAGTGTTGATTGGTTCTTCCGCTGTTGCCTGTTTTTAGATTTTTTTTGTATAGTTTTCCTTGGTTGAAAGATGATTTTGATAGGATAATTTTGCCAATTTTCTCTCACCATCATCCCTCCTTGTTTTCTTTTAAGTTCCATTGTATTACATATGTATGAACTATGGAATAATAATAATCTGATGATAAAGATTACAATGATGTTAAATAATAAAGATTCATACATATTTATTATGAGACATTGATTGAACAAAAAATGTTAATGGCACATTATTATGATAAAGATGTAATTACTCTGAGCTCAAGTGTATCACTTCCTCTATATGGGATGTTTTTTTCTTTGAATGTATTTTATAATTATTTCTTTATAATAAAAGTCAATTTAAGACATGTATGTTAATATTGTAAATATAGTTCTACTGTAATACCACAAAGAAAGTTCTTTGCAGTGATAATAAATAAATTATACAGTTAAACCTATCTGTTAATAAGTTTTGTATTTTTATGATTTTAAATATTTATTAAAATAACATTTTAAAAAATTTACATGGTGATGGTCAAAATGATATCACAGAAATATGAGGGATGTCGTGGCGAAATGGTTAAGTTGTCGCACAGGCCAGTATTGAGTAAATGAGCTATAAAAATATGGGAGCTCAAAAAATTGCCTAAAACTCCAAATTTTTTTTTCACTATAGATCAACAGTTTAATGTCTTATTAATCATGTCCCAAAGTATTAGTTCTGGAAGTGGTCAACAAATCGTTTATTTAATGTTATTTAGATAGTTAATTCTATTAAACAATGTATGCACAAATAACTTTGGAAGGCAATTACTCAAAATCATGTTCATCTTGACTCTTAAGAGTGCTGTACTTTCACTTTCCAGTAACTTAGGCTTGAAATGTCCAATGTCAATGAATGACCCCTCATTTTAAAGATCACATACTCAGGTATCTCAAAATACCAATTAACTTGAATTTCAATTTTTGCTACAACTTAGCCATTTTGCCACAACATGCCTCATAAGGTGTTCACAGAAATGAGGTACTGCGATTGAAGTCAGTTCCGATGGCGGAAGTTTCGTTCGAAAAGAGCATTTTGTTGTAACTGTCAAACGAATTAACAATAAAAATAAACTCAATAAGATAGAGAATACATTTGAAGATGTAGTGGCGTATCCAGGGGGTGGGGGTGCCTGAGCAACCCCCCCCCCCTCCTTTTAGATGTTGAGAAAAAAATTTCCCCTTTTTAAATGTTAAAAATAACTGACAAAAATTTTAACATTAAAATGCCATTTTCCGGCATCTAGAAGTCCCCAATTCTTAAAAGTTACTCACTTCAGCCTCTCAATCATGATGGGGCTCACATGGATATAGTAATTTTCGTAGATTTTTATGTATTAAAATGCCATTTTCCGGAATCTAAAAGTCTCAAATTCTTATAATTTTCTTGATGGTAGTTTTCATAAATTGTAAGTACTGTATCCAAATGCCGTTTTCGGCCATCTGTGAAGTCTAAAATTCTTTAAATTTACTCATCTGCGCCCCAAAACCAAGGTGGGGCTCAGGTGGATGTGGTAGTTTTTGAAATTGTAAGTATTCAAGTGCTATTTTCGGGGACTTATTTAATTCAGTTTGTTCAATTTGTGAGAAATTCTAAATTGCTGCTACTAATATTAGTATATCTTATATTAGTATGTTTTATGTTTGTTTTATGCCCTATAATTGTATTAATGATTTCTTTTTACAGCACTGATGTAGCCTACTTCTTATAAACGTTACGTATTCAACCAACCCAAATATAACCAAAATTGGACAACACACGTCAATATTGTAGTAGTAATTGTAATTGTCGTGATGGAATAGACAATAACTGGTTTGTGTCAGAAGAATAAAAAATATAGTTGTTTAGTTTTGCCCAACCTGACGTGAAAATGTACTGAATACTCAGTACGTGTGAAAACACTTGCGAAAAAAAAGAATGTTGTAGTACCTACCGTAAATGCTCGAATAAGCGCCGCGCCAAACGTGATATTTTCGGTAAGCGCGACTCTCTAATTAGCGCAGCGGCGCTTAATCGAGAGTACCCTGTATGTAATGAAACACTTTGTGAAACAGGGTTTTAAATACAGTATAAAGTGTTAAAATGAATAAATAACACAATGAAGACACAAGCATTTCTTTATAAACGTTTGTTTACGATGACCTATGATATACCTACCAAACTACAGGAACACGTGACCGGATTTGTAAATACAGTATTATTCTCATTCGATTTCTGTGTTATTATTTATTCATGCACAGCCCATTTTTATATATTCACATATGTTATTTTACTTTGTCATGTACAAATCATTGCAATTCAGCTATTCGCTGCGAATGTGATTTTGAATAAACTTGAACTATACTATACGGTACATTATATATCCTACCCCTGGTTCTAAATATGCGGCCCACGGGACAAAATTGACCTGCGAAGCCATTAAATCTGGCCTGTGTGGAAAAATGAGATTAAAAACAAACAATAAAGTAAATCATTTGATCAATAATTTTCCCATTATAAGTGAGTCTTCGGCTGTTCCTTGGGAAAGTTTTGTTTTCTACTTGCTTTGAAATGCACAACATATTCAAAATAGATAAGTGAGAGCACAAATTTCAATATATGCCGGCCTTAAAATTTAGTGGCAAAACGGGGGGTACGCGCCCCTGCGTAGCCAGAGTTTCCTGAGTTTACGGTTGTTTGGCGACATTATCGTCGTCGTCAATGTTCAATGTACACAATCGCACAACAGTTACATGATTTATGATATCTCTTTTATAGAAATTAATATGAAACCCATGAGATATCAGTTCAGGCATTCATTTATCTGTCTGTTGAAAATATAACAAAGGAATCATACAAAATAAAAAGAATACAAATAATATAAAAACACATACACTAAATCAAAATGGAATCTCCAACGCTTCGTATTCACTGCCTGTTGGATCACAGTTTTAGTGTTGCAGGGGTTCCGAAGGCTTTACAGTACTGTATAACCAATTCCCATAGTCATGTAAATCGCATATATCCCAAAAATTATGTTGTATTCATGCACCGTGGAAAGTTCAATTGACTTCTTTAATATTACAGTTTAAGGAAGTCCACTCTGTAAATATTTAGCATAATATAGTACAAAGAATTTTGATTGTTTATCAATATCATTATATACGCATGTTAGATCCAAATTCCAAGACATTACCTTTTATGCACGCACCGACTAGGAAAGTTTAACGATAATAATTTTGATATGTAAATGTTTTGTTATGTGTTGATTGGTCTTACTTAAAAATATTACAGTTTAAAATTCATAATTATGATAAAAACTTGATCATAATATGACCAAAACCACATTATACATTCAGTTTTTTGTCATGAAAATGTGGACCTTATCGAATTTGGTGGGGTGTGCGTATGCACCCATCGCACCCACAGGATAAACAGAAATTTTATCTTTTACTTGCCAATTAATACAGTAAGTTTTAAGCTCTAGGTCTACAATTAGGCTGCCCACTCTAATAAAGACCTATTTTTTTTATAGCATTGATCGTTAAAATAATGAAATAATATATATAATATATCTGTAGCAGTAGCCAACAAATACATCTTAAGAATACCACAATAATTGTCAAGCTCAATATCAGGCAAGGCCTAATAGACCTAACTTTGTATACATGTTTTGCGATAATTATTTGAAACAAACAAAATGACATGGCATTTTAAATAATCCATGCTATTCTTTCTCTTTTACAATTATGGTTTCAATCGATTCTCTAAAATGCAATGTCATTGTTTGTTTAAAATATCTATGACTCAATTCCCATTTATTTAAAATAAAATGTTTCACAGTTGTTCACTCCCTTTATAAAGAATACTGCATGTTAGCAATCGTTTCACTGAAGATGGCGAAAGATTTGCCGACACATGCTTATTTATACAGAGTTTTTATAATAAATCTACTAGGCCTTGCCTATATGATATTGGGCTTCAAAATTATTGTGGTATTCGTTATATATTATATATATTCGTTATATATTATATATTATAGGCCTATATATATATATATATATATATATATATATATATATATATATATACCGTATATATATATATATATTAGAATAAAACTGCAGATGTTAGGATAAACACAAGCATATGCTATTCAGAATGCCCAGAATTAATGTAGGCAGAATTTGACAGTAATATATCTGTGGTACATATTTATTTCTGTAAAAACAAAATGCCTTTTTAAAGACGTAAATAGCAATTTCACAAACGGCGCCCTATACACGAGTGATTGCTATCTTTGTTTATTTCCTGGTTAGAGTGCCTACTGTATTTCAGACAACGGTTCCTTGCATTTAACGAAGGACTTCCAGTACAAGTACAGTACATTAATTACCTGCTGTTGTTTACTTGTTGACCGAATAGAACTTTAAGGTGAAGTACTGCCACTGCCATATATAGCCAAGATCTACAATACTGAACTATTAAAAAAATTATTATTATCTTTGCTCAGCTGTAAGTGACTTAATGTTAGTGTAAGAATGTGTAGTCGGTTCTACATTATTTTCTGTTTAATCATCCTCAGGAATGTTGTCTCTTGTAAAAATTGTTTCGATTTCAATCCATTGATTTTAAATACGACAACGCAGTCGCCGGACGTATTGAAATGTCCGTCTAAGTGCACGTGTCAGTATTGCCGGCATAATGTCGCACCCGGTGGATCTATAATCAATTTCTTTCACAAGGTTGACTGTTCAGGAAGAGGAATAACCCGGGTTCCATCTGAAGATATACCTACTGATGTCACAGAAATTGTGCTCTCTTATAATCGAATCGCAAAAATGAGTGCAGATGCGTTCAAATCTACACCAAATGCAATGTATATAGATCTGTCGACCAATATACTAGACTACACGCTCATTGACGACAATGCTTTCCGAGGACTTGGCAAGCTACGCACACTCGTTTTATCAAGAAACCATGCGATTTCTCACATTAGAAAGCAATGGTTTAAGCCACTTATTTCTTTAGAAAATATACGCATTGCAAGTTCTTACGTGCTCTCAATTGAAGATAACGCTTTCCAGGGACTCCAGAATTTACGTATAGTCGTACTGAACAATAACGGCATTGCTAAACTACCACCAGAATTATTCCACGGCTTATCCAGACTTATAGGCGTATATATGCAGCACAATTCCATCCAGAATCTGCCAGTCGACATGTTTCTGGGGTCATCGGACAACTTACATGAACTAAACATTGCATACAATCAGATAACTAACATTCGAAAAGACGTAAACTTGCAGGATTTGACGCAGTTACAGAGGCTTAGTGTGCAGAGAAATCCATATTCCTGCAACTGCAATATTCTCTGGTTTCGTAACTGGTTATTGAACGGAACCTCAGCGACTGTGCTGGGCAAAGATGAAGTCA